ATCGCTGCCCGCTTGTCAAACGGCGCCGCGGCCGCAGGTGCAACCAACTCCGTCGGTTTTCGCGGAAAACAAGGACGATCCGTTCGCGCAAATCGCAAACATCTGCAGCCTATTAGACACAATCAATAGGCAACTCGCCGTATTGTCCGCTAAAATAGCGGCCGCCACATCTGGCAACGAGCGCCTTAGAGCAATCTGTCAACACAAGACGCTTGTAGAAGCCCTATGGGCTTTTACGAGCCAACCATAAAAGACATAATAGTCCGCGCAATAAAACCGCCGCGTCGTTAATTAGAGTCATAAAAACACCTTAATGGGAAGTACAACCGCAGGTAGAACAAAACCTCTGGCTCTGGTTGTTTCGTATTTCAACGCAAACGGCATAAAGGGTCAAAGGGAAGAAATCGCGGAATTCCTTCGCGATTATAACGTAGCGTAGAGATTTTTCTAGTGCAAGAGACATTCTTAAAACCTAGTGTACGCGATCCCAGAATCGCAAATTACAACATTGTCCGCCACGACCGGTTAGCAAACCGTCTGGGAGGCACATTAATCTACTATAAACGGTCCTTGCACTGTTGCCCGCTCGACATTCCAGAGCAGTAGGTTAGCGCTCACCGGCCACAGGCCGCTTGTACTAGTCTCAGCCTACCTCTCGGGGAATAGAACCTTATTTCAAAGCGAACTAGATACGCTATTTAACTTAGGCCCTTCCGTGTTAATTGCAGGAGATCTAAACTGCAAACACGGCTCATGGGACACCCACAGCATCCCAAACAACAACGGAAAGCATCTCTTTAGCTTATCCGATAACCTAAATTTTCGTATAGTCGCTCCCGCGACTCCCACTAGGTATCCTACGGTGGACAACTACCAACACGCGTCACCGAGTGTCCTAGACATCATGTTATTCAGGGAGGTCTCGCTCGACATCGATTCGATAGAGACAATCCATGAACTAGACTCAGATCATAGGCCCGTCCTGTGTAAACTGGGCTAGAATGCCGGCGCGGTCCCTCCGACCAAATCCGTAGTGGACTGGCATCGTCTTGAGGTCAAACTCAAGGCCTTGGACCCCCCGGACTTAGTCGACCTACCCGAGACGATAGCTACGTTCGATGACGCAAATCGGTCGATAGCAAGTCTCCGAAAAACCATCACTTCCGCAGTCGCAGACTCGGAACGGACGGTGAAATTGTCGGGCGACCGACGATTTAACTTTCCGCCCGATTTGCGACTGCTAATTAGGCAGAAAAATGCAGCCAAACGCGCTTTCGACCGATACCGATCGGGATCGAACCGAACCATACTTCGACGCCTTCAGCTAGAAGTCCAAGATCGTGTATCGGAACACCGACATACAACGTGGGACACTCTCCTAGAGGACATCGAGCCATCGCACACCGCCTACTGGCGGTTGGCCCGCAGTCTGAAAGCAGACCCCCGCGAATCTACCGCCGTTAGTTAGACCTAATAGCGCTTCAGTAGCCCTAGATGACTCCGATGAAGCCGAATGCCTTGCGGACAACCTAGAGCAACAATGTACGTCATCGCGTGAACACATCGTTACAGCCCACCTAACGGAAGTGGACCGAGGAATCGAGATTAGGGCTGCGCTTCCACCGGAAGGCGATCCTTTAAGTTCAGTGACCCCCGAAGAGGTCAAAGATGTTATTAAAAACGTAAAACCCAAATCCGCTCCGGGCCCAGATAATATTAGTAACAAAATTCTTAAAGCTCTCCCTGGGCCGCTTATCTGTTTACTGGCGACCATTTACAACACTTCACTCTCCAGTTGCTCCTTTCCTGACGACTGGAAAGAAGCCACGGTTATCTGCATTCGCAAGCCGAATAAACCAGCCAACCAGCCCTCTAGTTATCGTCCCATCAGCCTCCTCAGTTGCCAGGGGAAGCTCTACGAGTGGCTTTTATTAAACAGGCTCAATGAGCACGTGTTTACCAACGGCCTTAAGCCGGCGGAACAATTCGGCTTTCGAGCTAGACATTCCTGTCCCGATCAACTATTCCGACTAACGGAACATATCCTAAAAGGCCTAAATCACCCTAAACATATTAGTACAGGGGCTCTTTTCTTCGATGTCGCAAAAGCATTCGACAAGATCTGGCACAACGGCTTGCTTTACAAGCTGTACACACTCAAAGTGCCAGATAGGTTCGTACACACCATCCGGGCCTTCCTGTCAAACCGCTCTTTTCGATATCGAGTTGAAGGCACCCTCTCCACAAGCCGCCGCCTCACGGCCGCGCGTACCACAAGGCTCCTGCCTCTCACCTTTGCTCTTTACGCTCTACACGAGCGATATACCTAAAGACCCCCACGTCAACCTCGCGCTTTTCGCGGATGACACGGCGCTCTTTTATTCAGACCGCAACCTTAGACAACTTACCACTAGACTCCAGAGCGCGGCCGACCGCCTCGGCGACTGGTTCCGCAAATGAAGAATAGAAATAAATCCCGAAAAGAGTGTGGCGATTCACTTCACGCGAAGTACTTACCCGTCACATCTTTATATATGGCCCTCGCCAATGCAGAAAGTTGGGGCAAATATCCCTTTATGGCCAACCGCTCCCCTGGGAGAAAAAGGTCAAATACTTAGGAGTCACTTTCGACTCAATTAATACACAATTTAACTAACGCTAAAAGTAAAATGCCCTTAAGACACAAATTATTATTATATAAGACCTGCGTACGACCTATTATGTCCTACGCATGCATGACCTTCGCCCACACGCACCCTACTCCCTTGTACAAGTTGCAAATAGTACAAAATAAGTTCATCCGCCGCGCAACCGGTGCGCAGTGGTATCAACGCAACGTCGACCTGCACAGCGATTGCAGACTCCCGACGATTCGCGAATATTTTAAAGTCCTGACCAAACGGTTCTTCGATAGAGCCGAACATCATCCCAACCCTCTGGTGGTAAGCGCAGCAAATTACCAACCCGACACAAACGCGAACGTCAACAAGCGTCGCCCGCGAAACGTCCTCATCGACCAGGTCGAGGAAGGGGACTTAGATACGCCGGACCCACCGCCGGGGGTCCCACCGGATAACACTACACCCACAGTTACTTGCAACAACAAACATGCTAGTTCGTCCTCGCCTCCGAGCACGGCGAGACCAACACAACGCGTACACAAGGTACACCCGCGTTCCGGGGCGGTTCTCACTGCTCCCAGCCACCGATTAGCTAATTGCACAGTCGACGGCCATCAGGGTTTCGGTCGAACCGCGACCTCGATGGCTCTTAGATGACACATCACACTTAAACGCACGCATGAGCACATGCGTGGCCCTACCCACAGCGGAGGGCCCAAACCCGTGGGTTCTGGCTAGCCCACCGGTTCTGCGTCAGATGAAGCTTTAATAGTCTCGGGACTGAAAGCACAAACATCAGTTAATACAAGATGTCAACCTCTCACCCTCTCAAGTTAGGCATGGATATACCTCCAACATTCTATACGCGGCCTCAAAGGTACGGGTATCGCCGTATACCCGGTGCTAAAACCCAGTATTAAAATACGTATAGGTGTTAGTTATGTTCAGGCCTCCTTTTGGAGACTCGGTCGAATCAAACGAATTGAACCTTTGGTTGGAATTGGAACATTTAGATGTTTTTTTAGCAATCAGTTTTTTTTAATTGAGATTTAATCAGTCTAAAATAAGCTCCATCTTTACTAACGTAAAGAACTCTATTATAAAAAAAAAAGTAATTCAAAATAAATATTACTGTTTAACCTTATTACGCAATTATTTATCTACCTAATTGTCATAGAAATAAAGAATAAATTTATCTCAAGGAATTATTTGGTATAAAATGCCTAAATCATACGTTTCAATTCTGGTATGATCAGGAAGAGTCACCGTATTCACCGTAAGCGTTCGGGGAACTTCGTACCTATTAGCGATGGGCGTTGAATCAACGAACTAGTTGAATCAACCGTTGATCTCTTGTTAACGAATTACCTTTAACTGTCATTGAAATCAACTAGTTGAATTCGTTAACGTAGTTTCGGAAATTTTGTTGTTGAATCAATTCGTTTAAAAACGCAGTCAACGACGATACGTTAAGTCAACGGAACATAAGCGTAACGAATTGAAAACCTTACGTTGAAAAAAACTTACGTTGATAAAAACGGCACGGACAACGGTTGTCGCGAGCGTTATATACCGCCACCGTCGGACGAGGCGGCCATACCTATCGGGTATGGAATGGGCCTCTGTCCTGGTCTGTCTTTCAGTAGGTATATATAGGTATATATTCACTAGTTTAGTAAAGAATAAATATCAAATGAGATTTGATACAATTTTATTTGTAAAAACTTGTTTAAAAAAATATTTACGTGAAATTTAACCAATATTCTCAACTTTCATATTTAATTCTTTGTTTTGGATTAATAGTTGTACTTTAATTTACACATATTTTGATTCCTTATAGTTTCAGCTTTATATACGTATTTTTTATTTCGCTTAAGCTGCCGTTATTTGCTAGAAAATATACTTTTAATCAGCCATGACGTAGGCGCTTGACGCAATTAATCACCGATCGGTGGACGTCTATTCAGCTGTCAATAAGGGTTACATGGCAGCGGGTAGATATGTATATCTATGACATACCCGGTGTGCGTACTGGTATGTTCATACTGGGTATTTATACCTGTGCCAGTATATGCGCCTCATCCCTATCTCAAGTCTTAACGTTTCATATTTCAATCATCAAATTTATATATTATATATTTAGTAATTTAGTGAATTTTCATATCATCAGAATATCTAGTTTTTCTATGAAACAACACGAGAGTTCAAAAATCGTATAACGAAGTTGACAAAAGAGTTATTTAGTAAGAAATATAAATTACCCAAAACCGGTGAGCGATAACGCATGCATCTGAAGATAACAAGAAAAGAATATAGGTTTATCATATTTCTTATCGTGCAGTCGGTAGTATACTTTAAGTAATAAATTTATCCGAAAAAATGACCACGGAAGCCGATGAAAAGACACTTCGATATAGAAGGGCTCAAAGTGTAACTAGGGCCGAAGAAATAACAGCAAAAGAAAACAAGGCCCGTAAACTGCAAGTTGATAAACCGTACGTATAATAAACTTACATACAAAAATTTACAGAATAAATAAATTTGTTTTTAACACTCAACAAAATGTATTTCAGCATTCATAAACCAAGAGATTCTTTATTTTCATGGAGTTCAGAGTTTACCAACTTTACCGGTCTAGTCAATTGGGGCTTTTTGATGCTTACTATTGGAGGACTACGGTTATGTCTAGAAAACTTTTTGAAGTATGTATATTAAATTACCTGATTAAAGTTTTAAAACATTATTTTGCTTATTTGGTTAAAAATTTGTTCATTTGTGAATTATAGATATGGAATCCTTGTCAATCCTATTGAATGGATAATTGTGTTAACTGGTTACAATGAGGGCCGTAGTCAACAGTATCCATCTGTAGTATTATTAATATGTAAGTTTGAAGTCTTCATTATATATTTATCTGTAAACAACATAATCCTTTATACATGAAGATAAAAGATTATGTTAAAAGAATCAGTTCATATTTAGAAAAAAAAAATATTTGTGATACCCTCCATATATTAGCATTTCCTTTATATCATATGATTGCCATGTTTACTTTATGTGTAATTCTTTCGCCTTCATGCTGCCAATATCATTTTAATTTAATTTTTTTACACACTAGTCAAAACTGAAATGATAAACATTCCCTTTACATTAACAGTCTTTAAATTGCACTATTTGTTATTATATTTTTCAGTCAGTGTCGTTCCAGCTGTCATTGGTTTGATTATCGAAAAAGCTATTGCAGTTGTAAGTATTGTTAAAAAATAAACTGACCCTATTTTCAATGCAATAAATTCATGTAGTAACCCATGTATGGACCACCTCGAGTAAAGAACTAACATAATCTGAATAAAGTAAAAGTATAGTAACCCACTTAAAAATTATCAATGTATCTACAGATCCACCGATGTGGGTTGTGCAATATTTACAAAACCTTGATGTATTGTTCACAAACATTGATGCATAGTCAATACAAGAATGTCTAAAATGGAAAACATTGACATGATCAGTCATCAGGACAGAAAGAGGCTTTTAGGAACTAGATTAACTAAGCTTCTTTTTCTAAACACCAAAGTGCATACACATTTATTAAAATGACTCTTCCAAAGATCCATTCGAAAGTGTTATTTTTTGACTAATGAATATTTTCATTAAGGAAACATTATCTTCTTAAGATCTAAATTTAATAATCGAAAGTTTGGTAAGATATTGGATTAAAATCTGCTAACATTCATATATTTTGTTATTTACTTACGTCATAGTTACAGCCACATACTTATGTAGTCACAGAATAATTATGTTAATATGATTACTTTGTATTAATTTAAATATCTGAATACATTGTAATTCATGTGATACACCAGAATGATGAAAGAAATAAAAATTAAAATATCAGAATTACATCAATGTATTGTTGCTACAACTGATGTTTCGTAACATTGATGTTTTTAAGAACCCTAATCTTTTTTTAAATAATCACTCTGCAGTATGAACACCATCAAGAAAGATGGTGTTCATAACTTTTTTTTTCAATATCTCTAGAATTAAAAAAAGATCTTGTTATAACGATTATTTCTTGTGGCGGTAGCAAATTGTTCATTGAATCTTTTTGCCTTTCAGGGTATATTAAATCAAAAAGTAGGAATGACTATGCAAATTTCAAATATAATTTTTGTTATCACTTTACCAGTAGCTGTATTACATTTTAAAAGTCAAGATTTTAGTTTTGGTAAGTGTGCTCTTTACCTTTATTGGGTGTAAAAAGGTAAAAATAAGTTTTATAATTCTTGTCAACAACTAAACTATTAATGCTTGTTAATATGACTAACCCATATGTTTGTCATTTTATAAATGGACAATGTTATGAGGTCTTTTTAATTTCAAATAATATTTTTTTGTTTTAGTTTTATAGTAATTATTATCTATTTATTACAGTGGGAATTACAACAGTCTGTATGATTTACTTGATCTTATTTTTAAAATTATGGAGTTATTGCCATACAAATTACTGGTGTAGAACTAGCTTTAAAGCAAAGCTTTCAAACAATAAACTGAGACGCCAGAGTGTTTCTGCTCCTAATTACAGTAAGTAAAGAAAATATTTATTATTACTTTAATCATTCCAAAATATATTGATTTCTTGTTCTTGTAAAATTATTAAATGAAAATATTTTACGGATTTTATCACGCTTTAAAACGTGTAAAATACGTAAAATAGTTAGTCATTTAATACATACAAAAGCAAAGGTATTAATTTCTACGAATTTTAAAAGTTTCTACTTTCCTACAATTTTCGAACTATGGGATTCTTCCCACAGTTTGAAAATTGTTCTTGGAACTAGTTATCTATGGTATTTTATATACAGGTACTATTAAAATGAGAATGTTACCAATTGTTACATTAAAAGAAAATGTAATAAATATAGGTATATCATGTATATTATAACTATTTTCAGATGAACTCATGAATGCTGAACATGAGCGTAAGTTAAGTAAATTCTAGATTGCACTAAAAAATCACTTAGCACTTATTGTATATAACTTCTATGCTTTAAAAAGCTAACTAACAGTGGAATAATGCACAAATTTAGTAAAATTAGAATGTTGATCTTTGAATTTTGCTACTTTGAAGGCAATTATTTATTTAGCATTTTAGAATGTAGTTTAGGGCAAAGGTTTTATAAAATTGTGTTACCTTCATATAAACAGTGAATTTTTTGTGCAAATATAAAAACCCGTAGTTTGTTTGCTTATGTGCGCATTTAGTTTTCTTATTTAGGAATTAATTTTATAACTTATATAATTTCGTACTCACACTATAATTTTCTTTTTATATTTCATTCCTATGCATTGTTACTTTTACTTACTTTGCTTAAACACTTTGTGTTGTACATCCTACATATTTGTTTCATTTTTGTGTCTTATGTCCAAACTGAGCTTGGTATGGGTTGTCTGCAGAGAGCTTGGAAGATGAACAAAATCATGAGTTGGCGGCCGCTGGGTTGGTTCAGTATCCTGATAATTTAAACCTCAAAGATTTGTTATATTTCCTATTGGCTCCCACACTGTGCTATGAACTTAATTTTCCACGCACTACACGGTGAGTTTTGCACGTGATTACTTTTGCTCTTATGCTGTATATGCTTGGTGTGAGTATTGAATAAAAATTGACTGTGTTAGGACCACACAACAGACTTCACTGTGGGAATTACCACAAGCTCGCAGAAGACAGGCTTGAAGTAGTATAATACTTTCGCGTTTCGTCTGGTGAATGAGATAGCTGTGGCCCACTTTTTAAAAGGTTCTCAACACATCTACAAACCCATATGCAAAGTACACTAACTTTAGCAAAGCATTCTTCATTAACTACAAGATTTTGATTATTTAAATTGGTGTCGTGGGTATTAAGGCTCTCGTTGTTGCACTGGTGTAATTGGTTTCGGATTGTTATGGTCCATGATTTTAAATAATAAATACAATACCATGTGGTGTACAAATAATGCCACATTGGACTTTTGCTGTTCCTAAATTTTATAAATGATTTGGAATAGTTATTAAAAGTAAGAATCTTAATATATGCTGACAATCTAAAACTTAATGAAATATATTGCTCAAAAATGCTCTCATGCTATTGCTCCAAAATAAATATAATTTATTTTTACAGAATTAGAAAAAGGTTTCTCATCAAAAGAATAATAGAGGTTGTTTTTGGGTTTAATCTAGTTTTGGCCCTTTTCCAACAATGGATGATCCCTTCTGTTACAAATGCTGTCGGCCCATTTTCGGAGATGAACATGGTTAAGATTGCGGAGCGCTTACTGAAACTTGCTGTATGTCTGAATAAATAATGTTTTATTTTTATAAACCTATAGGTGCAACTGTTAGTTATTTAGTAACTTCAAAACGTCAAAATTGAAGTCATATACACAAAATAAATTGCTATGCTGACGCGAACTTTCAAGATTCATGTCTATACGGCGCCACCTATTGGAGAATTAAGAGCTACAATGTTGAATCGACAATTTTTACATTTCTATGATTGATTAGTTTCTCTAGCTTATAAATAATTTATATCGATTGATTATGCACAAACAATAATCAACATTAATCATTTTTTTTGCAAATGTAATTTGCGCAATAAGCACTGAAATAAGTTGTTTTAAACTGCTGATGACCAGCAAATTACAGGCAACTAAGTATATTAATTCATTCAGTCATCATTAACACTTATTTTATTCAGGCATATATATGTATCTCCTTTTATTCAGGCATATATATGTATCTCCTTTTTTCTTTTATAGGTACCAAACCATTTCATTTGGCTATGCTTCTTCTACTTGAGCTTCCATTCATTCTTAAACCTAATGGGTGAACTGCTGCACTTTGCCGACCGCAACTTCTACAACGACTGGTGGAATGCAAACAATATCGCTGTATTTTGGAGCTCATGGAACAGACCAGTGCACATGTGGGCTGTGAGACACGTGTATATACCTATAACAGAAAAGGGATACGGAAAGTCCAACGCTAGTATCGTCGTGTTCTTCATTTCGGCCTTCTTCCACGAATATTTGGTGTGTACATTTTTTTCATTAATAAAGCTGAAATGGTGGTGGTACTTTTCATGCAACAAATATTTTTTTATTCAAGAACAAGAACTCTTCGCCAATGAATGTAATATAAATTTTGCAATATATTTAAATGACTGTATAATAAAATTTGTGTAATTTTGTAAAAATTATACAAATTTTATTGTAGAGCCGAGTCATGCCTAGTATGTTAAATTAAAAATACAGGGATTTATAATTATGTAATTAATATATCGTAAAAGTATCCTTAGGTCAAAGTATGCTGTGCAGCAATTCAATAGTAAGAAACAAAGTGGATAAAATAGACAGAAACTCAACTATCATTAGTAAATATTAATATAATAAATAACTAAATCATTTGAATATAAATGTTTCAGGTAAGTGTACCTTTACAAATGTTCCGTATCTGGGCATTCCTGGGCATGATGGCCCAACCGCCACTGTCTGTGATCTCCCGTCTCGCCGAAGTGAAACTCGGGCCCCGCTGGGGCAACATCATCGTGTGGAGCTCTTTGATCCTCGGCCAACCTCTCGCCATTATGATGTACTATCACGATTACGCACTCGCACATTTAACTTCAAAAGCTTAATTATTCAATATGGAAATCTTACCTTTTTTTACATAGCTTTGGGGAACTAAGAGTAACTAATTTAAGTTAGGGTCTCTTTTTACTTATGTATAAGTATTAAGAGCTTATCTTTCAAACAAATGAATATCAGTGATGAGTTTTTTAGAAAATTTATAATAGGATGTGATGGTCTACAGTGAGTAATGGATTGTTTGGGATTTGTGTTCTTAGTTGAAAGTCTTCTTGCATTTCCCAAACTAATGTCTAAATTAATGTCTATAATTAAATATATTATGAATTGCCTTTTTAAGAACAAATATGATTATTTATATTGTTTTTACTAAATCATTCATACTTTTTATAAATATTTATGAATTTAATAATAAAATTTTATATTGTTATAGTATTTAAGAAAAGCATAAGACTGAATGTAAAAAATATATTTTAGAGGTGTACTATTTTAAATGTTTTAACAAAACTATTTTTGTATGATTTTATTGACTAAGAGTAATTTTTTAAATTAATATTCTAAAATAATGCCATAATCTTTTTTTCTTAAGAAAGAAGGTATGTCAAAAATATATACCTACATATTTACAATATCATTGTTATAAAGAAAGCCAAAAAGTAAAATACAATCATTTGTATAATTATCTATCAAAGTTACATACATAACAGATGTGTATACTGTAAAATACATTATATACCATATACTAAATAAATATTTAACAATTTACAATTATTATGTGTTACAAATATAAAATCAGTTTTAATAAGTTATTTACAGATTTGTTAAAAAATAGACTACCCAATTCATTTATACCTGAATTTAAAAGATAAGAAGGAGTAGAAAATATTGAATTAGTAAAGTTATGTTATAAACTTATTTATTTACTTTTTTTACTGTCCATTATTGTCTAAAAACATATTTGTTACTTACCAGCTAAGCAATTTTAACTATGGTTACTATGTTTGTAAATTTAGATAGTATCGTACAGAGCAAGATTTATCCAAGTGTTTAAGACTTTGAATTAATATAACAAGTATTTATATTATTCTGTAAAATATACCCAATTTTGTTCCGTCAATTTTTTATATAATAATACTAAAGTATATATATTTTATTACTAGCACAAATATTGAAAAAAAAAATGGAACAAACTAGGTCAATCTACCTCATCAATTTTATTGTAAATAGTTAAAAATTTGCCGGTTATCTAGAAAAGTACTCATGGATATAAGAGAAATATTTTATCATTATAAAATTTAAATTAACAATCAATATTGTTTCCTCATATATATTTTATATTCTTCTTTGTTTTATAATAAATCATTTTTATACTATGCTGTCTTATTTATTATTGTTGTCATATAATTTAATTAATATTTTGCTAATTTCAAGTTTTGATACATTAGCCGTACCGAACGGCGCAAAAAAATAGAAAGACTGAATGCGTGGCACTCGAAGTTTCACTTCTTCCGCGCCGAAGGACTCGACGTGCTATTATTACTAGGAAGTTATAAGAAAACTATGGGGGATGTTATTTATTTGATCAGTAAATGATATTTTCTATCTTTCCTTCTTCCGGCTGTATATCTCAAACAAAGAAAATGAATGTTGTCCCTAGAAAGTGGTAAAGGTATAGGGGCTATGAACAGGGAAGGATGGAGGGTAAGAGCGATAAGAGCATACCTTTTAAATTAAAGAAAAAAAAATATATTTACCTTTTTATGTCTTTTAATTTATTGGTATTATCTTCCCAACTCGAAGCCAGGGCGATTCAAAATAAAACTAGACATTATTCCTAATATGAAAAATTCGTTATCAGCATAGTTATGACACATATACTGAAAACGGTCATCAGTATGAAATTATATCTACCAAAAATTTAGTCAAATTTTTATCTTAGTTATGTTACATTAAGTTTATAGCCACTCTTGTTGATAAAGGTGAGGAATAAATGATTATGATTAACATTTGAGTCATTTATTTTATTAGTATGGTATCTGTAATAACGGATACCAAAGTTTGATGTATCGATAAGATACAATATTAAATTTATTTATTAAAATAAAATAATTCATTCAAAAGTAGATCTTATTTATAGCATTACATATAGCTAAAGTTTGTTATCAGTAAGAAATTATGATAACCAAAACTAACCCAACGGTATTCTATTCACTCCATCTCTTTCGGCACTATATCAACCATGCGTTAGAAAGTAAGGAAGCGAATGGAATTATCATAACGAAGAAAACGTTGCGCTGACCGGACAGAGGCCACCTTCATCGGTATTCGCAAGCTGAAGAAACTCGCTAATTAGCTCTCTAGCTATCGGCCTATCAGCCTCCTCAATTGCTTGGGGAAGCTCTCCGAACGGCTCATAACGGCCTTATGCCAGTTGAACAATTCGGCTTTCGAACTAGACACTCCTGTCCCGACCAATTATACCGCCTGACGGAATACATTCTGACAGGCCTTAATCACCCCAATTACCTAAGCACCGGGGCTCTATTCTTCGATATCGCAAAAGCTTTCTGTAACGTATGTAGACCTAAGTTTTACTGTACGGGCAGTCTCCAAATAAAGCGAGTAAAGAACGGACGGTGTTTTAATGCGCGGGGCACTTCATATCTCAAGCACTTACATATTTCTCAGTGGCGACGAGGACTCAAAGATTTCACGCATATAATTGTTGGTGGATTGTTCGTGAAATAAATACATAGCACAATCAGTCAGTGTACAAAATGGCAATCGGCAAAATAGGAACTTTTGACCTTGAGAAGGACAACTGGGAGGCGTATATTGAGTCGGTCAATATAAGAGCAATATTTTATTGCAAACCAAGTGAAGACCGAGATCCAAGTGGCGACATTGATCACAGTGATAGGTGGTGAAGCTTATGAGCTAATGGTTAATTTGTGCACACCTGAAAAACTTGCTAACAAACCTTATAATGAGTTGGTGGAGTTGATGAAGAATCGTTTGAACCCAAAACCGAGTCAACTGGCAGAAAGGTTTAAATTTCGCCAACGTATTCAACATAAGGAAGAATCTATGGCGGTGTAAGTAGCCGAGTTAATAAAAATGAGCAAAAACTGCGGGTTTCGAGACTTAGCAGAGAATCTCCGTGATCAATTTATATGCGGCATAGGTAATGTAGAAATTCGTCAGAAATTGTTTACCGAGAAGGACAACATATCGTTTAACAAAACCTTTACTATAGCTTTGTCCATGGAAGCGGCTGAAACAAATGCGGCATTGATAGAAGGTTATACCAGGGGCAGAAATGCGGGTGACTGCATACCAAATGTTAACACTACAGTCAATTTCATGAAACGGAACAAAAAAGACATGTTCAAGGTTCAAGAGCCGTGGGAACATAACGCAAGCACCACTCTTCTCAGTCGGCAGCAGCGGTTGTGGTCCAAACGGCAAAGGCGGAGCGAATAGCGGTAAATACCGGGCGAACATCAGTCGGACAATCGCAATGAGCACGGATCACAAATGTAACGCATGTGGTGGCATTCACGAAGAACATAAGTGCAAATTCAAAATGTACGTATGTTGAGTGTGCAACAAGGGTGGACATTTAAAAAGGATGTGTCCCAAATTGCGAGAAGGTACATCCTTGCATAATATTCATGAAGATAATAAAGGTATAGATAATAATGAAAGCGACAGCGACGAGGTACAGTATTATGATAATTATTCTTTAACTACAAAGAAAACACAATCACTTGGACCATTCACTGTAAATGTTTATGTTGAGAGTTGTATATTAAACATGGAGATGGACACCGGCAGTGCTATTTCATGTATAAGTTATGATTGTTATAAAAACTTCTTTGTTCATTGTAAACTAAAGTAAACCGAGTGATTTAGAATTACGATACTACACACACACAAGCGAAACAGTGACACCTGTGGGCAAGATGGAGGTCAACTTAAAGTTTAAAACTAGAAGAAAAGTATTAGACTTGTATGTACTAATGTAAGTACTATGTGTAAGTACTAATTTATTAGGTACAGGTGGTTTATTACCAACATGTAATGTACTTAAAATAAATAATTTGAACAATGTTTTTGATGTAAGGGAATTCAGTTCCAGGTATTCTGAAGTATTCAAAGATGGCTTGGGACGTTTCACCGGGGGGAAAGTAGGATTTCGCCTGCAGGGAGGGAGCACGGCTCATATTCCGGCGCGCTCGACCGCTCGCTTACGCGCTGCGGGAGCCGGTTCAGCACGCGCTCGATCAGATGGTGAGAGATGGAATCATCACGCCGGTCACCGCGTCGGACTGGGCTACACCTATTGTACCGGTGATGAAAAAAGATGGCACCATAAGAGTATGTGCAGATTTTAAAATTACATTGAATAAGTGTTACAATTATTAACACTTAATGCATTATTATTGTCTGTTGCAATGGAAATGTATTGTAAAAAGACAGTTAGACGTATGGTTTCAATTATGATTTCTGACGGTTTCAGAAGAGTAGCATATTCTTGTTACATAACTCAGGAAATTTTTAACTACATATTAAAGTGTATTCAAAATAAAGTATTTATTGATAAAATTGAAAGAAAATCACTGCTAGTGCTTTTGAGTTCAAAGTAGTGCTCAACGCTTTTTTAAATTACTAAAACTAACTTGTCTAGAACCTAAGCCTGAACTGGATCGATCCCGCCAGTATAAATAACTTAAAGTATTTTTTATTTCAAACTATTTCTGATATTCAAAGTAATCACATGCAATTAACACACCATTGCCAACGCAGTGGTTGTTAATTGATGCCCTTCTTATAAAAATCAGCTGGACTGGAGGCAAAAAAATCTGCATTTTGTACTGCCTCTCGAGAATTGAATTTCTTTCCCGCTAAAAAGTTGTCCAAATTTTGGGAAAAGTAATAGTTGGTAGAGGCGAGTTCAGGTGAGAGTGGCGGATAAGGGAGTGCTTCCAACCCCGACTATTGCAGGTTGGAGAGGGCCGCCCGGTTACTGAAACACCGATGATCGTAGATGTTAACTAATCATCTGTCAACCATTCTTTTGAGAAACAACCCAATTCACAGCTGATTAGTTAACATCTACGATGATCAGTGTTTCAGAAACCGAGCGTGACTGCTGTGCAGTATAGCTTCGCGCGTTGTCGTGAAGGAGCAGTGGGGACAACCGATTGACTAAAACTGGATCCAGTGCTGTGCGAACTTCTCAATAATTGTCTTCAGTTCTTCACAGTTCACATCTGCAGTAGTGCTCATGCCGTTTTGTAAAAAGATGTGATGAATCACACTGGCACTAGACCACCAAAGAGTGACTATCACCTTTCTAGGTTTGGGGCATTGCTTTGGTACTGAACTAGGATGTAATCAACTTGCTGAGCGCTTTCGATTGTCGAACAGAATCCATTTTTTGTACACGTAACAATTTGGTTCAAAATTCCTTCATTTCTGTGCCTGTTGAGCAGTGCGGGGCAAGTCTCGACGCGTACGATGCACTGGCGATCGTTAAGTTCGTGGGGCACCCATCTATCAAGCTTTTCACCTTGCCAATTTGTCGCAAATGGGCTAATATTGTAGAACTGTAGATTGAGTATCATGAGCTTCCACAATTACCTTTAATTCATCATTTTGCCCAGTGTACAAACTACCTCAAAGTTTATTTTTCTAGTCAAAATTTCCAGAACGGAACCAGCCAAACAATCAGTTGCTGTTGTGTACCGCATTTGTATATATGGTGTATTGGCTGCTGTTTGTACCGCATTGGTACCACGATGGAATTCATATTCGTTAGACACGAATTTATAAAGTATTCATTATGACGTAAAATGTTGAAACGTAATGAAAATACAACGCTAATCAATAAACACACTTTGTAAAAAGAATTTCATGTTTTTAAAACAAAATTAACTTGAATTTAGAATTCACAACCAATGAAAACTTGTTTTTGTTCGAAATGGTCAGTACTAAAGAACGGCAATTTTATAGGTAAAGACCGTATTACTATATATATGTATAGTAATACGGTACCGTATTACTATACTATATACATATATGGAAAGATCCAGTTCAGTTTCTTAACAGGGTACAGAAAAATTCCTTCCTTGATAGGTCATATCAAGGTTTTTTTTTGATAATGATAACAACTGATATTTTCCATTGCGGATTTCAATGACAATTATGTACATAATATCAAACCAATAATAACTTGCAAATGCTGCTAGCCATAATATATTTCCCGATTGTCCTAGAAAAAAATAATACGTTTCCTAGAAAAGGTATCCCGGACGCAAGGACAGGGTAAAAACCGACCGTATTACCACGTGGTCGACCTGGGGGGCCATTCTAAAAACGTGAAGAATAGGATCCGGTGTGGGTTAGCGAAAATAGCAAACGTTGACAGTTTGCTCAAACGGGTAGAAGGTCGATTATCTTTCTCGCTGCGTGTGCCGTGTTATGCGAGCAGGTAAAGAACGCGCTGTCGTCCGCATAAAACGCCAACAGCACGTTCTCATCCCAACCCGGGTCGGGCTCCTCTATGGTGGGGATATCGTTGGTGTAGAGAGCGTACAGGATTGCTGAAAGGCAGCTTCCCTGTGGAACACCGGCATCCATCCTACGGGGGGAGGAAAGCGCGCTGCCGACCGCAACAGCAAAGCTCCGCCCTTGAAGTAAGTTGGCTATGAGCCGCACTAAAGCGTGCGGCGTGGAAGTGGAATTTAGGAATTTGAAAACTAAGCCCGCGTGCCACACTCGGTCGAAGGCCTTCTCCATATCGAGAGGGACCCCCAGACCGACACGGCCCCGGTTGTATTGGGCCGTGAGATAGTGTAGCTCACGGGTTCAAGGTCGAACCCGCGGAGGCTTCAAAACCGCAGGACTAAAAGAAAACTATACACTCAAAAAAAAAAATTTTACCAGATTGCATAGTAACAAGGGATCAAAAAAATATATAAAAAGACATACAACTCACGCAGAATATTTAAAATTATATTACTAATAAATATAATTTAAACATTTAAGTGGTAATATTCCGCATTTCATTTTGTTTTAATTTTGTTAATGTAAATTTATTAACTAAAATAACTAAGAAATTAGGTTTATGAAGCAATTTAACATGGTAACACTCGTAATAGAAATGTCGCCAGTCCTGCCTGTCTAGGTCTTTTCCTCTGTGTAAAGCAGAGTATGTATTATTGCCTACTATTAATGTTTAACGTAGTGTAATTATGTACTTCGAAATATTGTAACATCTGTTACATATTATTTAATTCAAGTGCATTTTAACGCATTCTACCATGAAGATTTGGACTTCGGAACACACTTTCAAGTATGTGACGCAATATGGACGGAGTGATAAACTACATTGAAAACCTTTTTTGCTATAATGCTTTTTATTTTTTAGCCATCCTTGGGAAACAGTTGCACAAGCGGCTTGGCGAAAATATCCTAATCCTATGAATCCTGCAGTTATTGGGACTGATGTAGTTGAAAGAAAAGTTGTCGATGGAGTACTGCATACACATAGGCTCGTTAGTTCGAAATGGTTTTTTCCAAGATGGGCACAAGCGGTAATTTAATAGCTTACCTTTTTGAATACAGTATGTAGTTATATCATAAATCGAAATGGATCGCCACAATATTTAACACCTATTTAAAAGGTTTTACATTTTATTTACAACTTTTATTTCGTTATTTCTTTAAAAATGCAATTGTTAAGTAATAAAAAAGTATTTAAATATTATAGAATTTATTTTAATTATTTTAGCTAATTGGAACTGCGAAAATATGTTATGCTAGTGAAAAGTCTGAAGTCAATCCAATACAAAGACAAATGACTCTGAAGACGACAAATTTAACATTTTGTCATTATATAGCTGTTGACGAAACTGTGACATATACACCACATCCCACTGATACTGCCAAAACATTGCTTAGACAAGAAGCTGTAGTTACTGTTCAAGTAAGTTAATTTTTTTGTCTACATCTAAATGTGTTTAATGGGAAGTTATCAATTTAACATGCTTGCAAGAATGTATTCAATGTTTGACTAATAGTCAAAGAATTATGTAAATAGTATGCAAGTCTGTTAACACTAAAAAAAATTCACTCTGGTAAATTTACCGGTGCTAGTGTTAATGGATTTAATGACTATTTGTATGTAAGTACTCATGTGTTTTAAAATAATTTTGGAGATTCTTGGGAGTAGAAGTCTTTCAAAATTAGTTAGTTAATAAAATAATCATATAAAATGAATATTTAAAATATAAAGTTTAATTATTTCCATAACAGAATTAAAACATTTTATTATTTTTAGGGTGTGCCTCTGAGCAGTTACATGGAAGATTTACTAACAAATAAAATATCGTTGAATGCTGGTAAGGGTCGTCAAGCAATTGAATGGGTTATTGGTAAAATTGACACTGAAATTAAAGATTTGGCACATACTGCCTGTAAAAGCACCGATGAGTTACTTTCGCAGACAAAAAAATCTTTTGATGATATTACAACTACTGCACGCAGATCCATGGATGACATTTCATCAAAAGCAAAACGGTCATTTGATGATATAGAGAAATTCACTAAAGCGAATGCAAATCAACGTAGCTGAAAAGAGGAGTGATATCCTCTGTGATAGTTCAAAATACTATTTTATTTGCAAAACATCAACACTATGCATTTAAAACAACTGACTGCTTTATTAAGGATGCTTTATGGGCATTTTGAAATGGCTGTCAAATATTTTATAACCATTAAAACTATAAGTATCATATGAAAACCTGTTTATTAATTATTTTCTTCCAAGAAATTGAGTAATGAGTTGCAATATAGTTAAATATTTTACACATGTGAAATAAATGTCATTAGTTAATGTAGTAAATTGTAATTAAAATCTTTGTTTTTGTTAGTTTAAACAATCAATGTGTATACTTTAATTGTTAATAGTACCTGTAATTTATTATTAAAATATTAGTTAAACACAGATTGCACCTCATAGTAATATTTATTATGGATTTATTAATGTAAACAGAATGAACAAGAGAATTTTTACATATATGTTATGACCTATCATTATGATATGGTGTTACCATGACTTTTGTCAATCAAACATAGTGTATTAATTTATATTAAATGTACACTAACTTTTACTTAATCTTAAACACAACTTTCAATTGAGAATTAATCTATTTCAGTTTTCTAAAAAACTTTTGTAAAAATTACCTTTATGTAATAAATTATGAATGGCATTGTGATTTTTTTTTTTCAATATTTTATTTTACACTTACTGTTTTCTTTATATGATGTTGCAGACATCTATAATTGACAGAAATCACTTGCCATCCATGTAACCAAATGTATCATTGAAAGAGCCAAAACCATTTTAGCCACAAGCAACAAATTAACAACTGAACATAAATGCAACTGTGTACAAACCTAGTGGTGAATGAATCATATGTAATTGACCCACTGACAATCCCGCTACACAACACTTCCCACACAGTGCTTAAACTCATAATGTATCAGTCTGTTCTCGCCTACAAGCATGGTACAACCAACAAAGACAACTAAGGGAAGAAATATATTTTTATTGACTGAAATTGTACATGTAATGTTTAACAATGATTTTTCAATTGTCTGTTTGAATTTTTATAAATGTTTAAAATATTAGGTACTAGTTCCAGAAGAAGTCATACTACCATTAGGGATACCAGCAACAGTACGGTTAGAAGCAGCTAAGTGAGATGCTTTCAGTCTATCCAGTTCATTCACCCAAGAGCGAACATGTTCCAGCCGGTGCCAAGCCATCTGTAGAACTTTCTGTGATGCATAACCAGATCCCTCATGAGGCTGTCCAGTAGAAACTTGAGTCAAATAATTTATTTGATCACTCAATTTTGATTCAACCTGACTCAGTGTTCTTAAAAATTGTGATGTATTAGTTTCTGCTTGTTTCTGACTTGACTTTTCTTTACCTAATTCCAAAAGAGCTTGAGCTGAAAATTTTTAAATATGGATATTACATTTCAACAAATTTACATAACTTTGAAAATTTGGCCACTGTAATGACATAGATTGATAAAACTGTACATATAACCAATATGCATGTCTAGACAGTAGCCACTAAGCTAAGGATATAATGACATAGCATTTTTGTTAGTAATGGAACAACAATAAAATGCTAAAAGCTTTCATTATTATCATACTTTTAAAATAAATTTATTAACTTATGAAGACAATTTGTAAATTTCAATTAATGAGAACACATTTTTTTTTAAATAATTGATGTGAACAAAACAAAAATATTCCAATAACATTTACAGCAATTATAGCAGTTTAGTCCATAATCATATAAATACAAAACACAACTATAATGTAATTTACAATTTAAAGCAAATGATAATGTATTTTCTTATTCAGCAATGTCTTGATTGGTAATGCTAGGATGGAAAAATTGGGACTTGACATAAACTGGGGCTAGTTATTTGAGGCAGCAAATGATAGAAAAAATAAGGCTTGTTTTTTTTGCCATATTAGTGTTTGCCATTAAAAAAGCCTGAGATGACAAGATTAAGGAGTTAGTAAAAAATTATGACTTTTATTTGTGAAAACTAGTGGCAATCAAATCATAATAATAATAAACATTTATATTAATTATAATAGACAACTTTTTAAAATCATACCTGCACTTTGTAAACATGTTATAATATCCTTCTCTATATCGTCGAGAACTTGAATTCTTTCCATTGGCCCTGCCATTTATTTCTCTGATATTTTTGGGCTTAAGAGATAGTTGAAAAAAAAAGGACGAATTAGATTTTGATTTCAAAACGGCCTGTTATTTTCTTATATACAATTTACGTGATACGACTGATTCATATTTTGATTTACTGATATTCATTGATATTTGATTATATAGGGATATTGTTAAATTCATTTAGTAACAGTGGAAATTCATTATTACCTAACTAGCTACCTATCCTTATTTCAACTTCAACCTATTAATTACAGAACCTTTACATTAAACACAGACCATGAGAACACTAAGCAATCTAAGCTTTTAACCTTTATTTTATCCAAACGTAGTAGTTATATTCTCTTTGATTTTATCTTATTGCTAAGCACTACTGACATCTAACCACAGACTTAGCGATGGGTCGTTGAAGGTATTTTCTTCAACTTAACGTTGATTCATGTTCGTCAACTAGTTAACGTTGTAACGTGTGATTTCATCACTTTGTCTAAATTGTTGTTTTTCTAAAGACTAGGCTGCATGTCATATGAACCTTTGCCTGTTCGAAAGGACGAATGTAAAAGTTAACTTCATTTGGTCGTACTTGTCATTTGAGATTGCCGCCGGTTCGAATTGACATTGGATAAATTAGTTTTTGTGGATCTATTATCTTCGACCGTGCATGGCTAGCCACCTCTAGAGGTTGAAATCATAACACGTTCCTGGTCGTATTATTTGTGATTGCTGTCTGGGAAACTCTGTGCTGGATTTGTTATCCCTCGTGGTGGATGCTGAAGGTATAGGTGGCTGGCAAGCTGGTCTGAGCTGCTGCTCGATTAAATATTGTTTTTTACCTCCAGTTGGAGGTCTCCTACTTACCCCCCAACAGTGTGGCTGTACACACTACACTTGGCCTGACTTTATCTACTGGTTCTGAGCTCAACACTGACCTGTGCACACAGGGCAGGTGTCTTTGCGGTGACATAGATTTTAAATAACTACCTGATTGGACTTTGTTTTTTAAATTGAATTGCATAAGTTTTACCATCTCAAATTAATTTAATTATTTAACCTTTTATGGTCGCACAAAGTAATGTGAAGGTCCTGTGTACTCACGACTCCCTGAGATACTTAATTGTAATTATTATAACAGTCTGTTCCTAACAGACAAGGCGCCCAACTCATTATTGTTATATTTTTAAAATATATTGTATCTGAGCTAGTCCAGGGATTGTAACCTTAAACTGAAGGGATAAATACAACATCTTAACTGCCAGCTAATCTTTTATTAAATAATCCCATAATTGAACAACAACTCCTAAATAAAAACGTTACAACGTGACACATACATAAGTATGTTAAATTGCAAGCTCTTTCTTCTACTAGGGAAAACGGATGAAAGGTATCTAACAAATCTAAATTATTTTTTTTCTTATCAAAATCAACCATCATACGCTGGTGTTTAAAGATTGGTACTAAAACACTGATGAAAATATTTAAATATATTTCCGCTTCAAGTACTTTTTAAAGTTAAAGTGGTCAATTTGTTTGATATTTTCTCCTTGCATACATTACAAACAGCTTTTCCGCTAGAACTGTCTTTTTAGGTATGAAACCATAACTCACTGTTATTACGTTCAATTATTTTGAATTTTGTACCCACAGCCCTCTACACACTTAAATAATCATGAATTAAAATAAAAAAAAAACACTAACCACAAAGTAAAATTCTGATAAACAAAACTAATAACATAAAATAAAATTCCAAATATAATTAATTAAAAATTAACAAATTCACAAAAAAAAACACTAAACATGAAGTAAAGTTCTGATTATATTTACGCAAAGCCGCAAAATATTCTATAACCTTGCGCGCAACTATTCACAAACTGTCAAACAAAAATAAAGAAAGCGAACTTAAACATGTCTATAAAATTAAACAAACATTTCAACTCAACTATGTGACGTTTTTTTCAACGTTAGTTTTTTTTCAACGTAAGGTTTTCCATTCGTTACGCCGTTCCGTTGACTTAACGTATCGTTGACTGCGTTTTTAAACGAATTGATTCAACGACAAAACTTCCGAAACGACGTTAACGAATTCAACTAGTTGATTTCAATGACAGTTAAAATTATTACGTTAACAAGAGATCAAGATTCAACTAGTTCGTTGATTCATGCCAGTAACCACAACTCTACAGTTGAATAAGAATATATGCTCTTTGATATATCTGACTACTAACTAGTGACGGAATTGGAAACTTAGGGCTTTTAGAATTTAGCCCCTATATAGCAGAAATATACATATTGGGCGTTTTTTTAAGGTTCAAAAAGCTTTATGGTCATAAATCAGGAATAATATTTCGCGCATTATTTTGACTGACCAAAGTGAGTAAAAAAAGCAAAATGTCTATTAATAAATGAAATGTTAGTTAATATTTGTAATGAAATTAAATAAAACTAAAAAGTAAACAAGAACTTTCAATAAAAATACAGGGCTTTTGTTCGGGCCTTTGAAAATTGCGTTTAGGGTTATTTCATCTTGATTTTATGGACATTTTTTTAGTAGTTGGCAGCACTGCTAGTGATGCGACTCGAACCGGTTTTTACTCGATTGATCCAGGAGGTTTTGTTAAACACGTCTTCGGGTGAAAGTTCGTTTACACTCCAGTTAGAGAGTCAACCAAGCATCAAGTAGATTCGGTAAGTGCGCAACCTTACGCTAGATGTCATTACATCAATAGTTTACGTCGGGACTTTACATGTTAATTACGGGTTGCGCAGCGGAGGATCTTAAAAAAAACTATTTAATTTTTTCGGTTTTTACAAAAGTTCTTACTACTAATACTTAATACACGCCGAAACGTTAAAAATTTATCGACGTATCGTAAGGCTTAACACATAAGAAAAGCTTAACGTCAAAAACTATTATTATTATTATTTAGGGTTTAGTTTAATGATGCTATGATTTAAATCACAAGGGAATTAATTGTTTATTCATTTTGTTAACAGACTTTAACTATTAAGTTTCATGATATAGTTGATCAATTGATTTGATTCACCTACTATAAATTACTGTACGTAGACATTACTGTTTCAGTCGTTGAACTGTACGGATCTATTTAAGTGACATTGTTACTTTGTGTTACTCTTATGCCGTGGTATTCATAATATGCGACCTTCAGATTAGCCGTAGCTATTACATTTAAAAAAGTATGCTATAGATTAATCTAACGTCGGGTGTCCAATCGGTCCGAAGCTAGAATGACGAAAGGTGCCGCGCTTTGCCGGTGGTCGATTTTGTTGGAGGAAGCACTGGTCATTGCTCAATTGATACAATTGCAATACGATGGTGACTGGGGATGTAATAAGTTAAAACTTGCATCTTGGATATAAATAAATATTAGTTGAATTCACGTGAAATCACGTGCGAAGTTTTATATATTTTTTTTATTATAATACCTACTGTATAGCATCCAAAGTGATTAATGATATAAATAAGGTAAATAATATTTTTATTTCATTTAATATTTACAAATATTACTAAACATAGACATTTGCAACCCTACGGGTGTTGCACTTAACATCAGGTTAACCACCAGCTCGTTTGCCACTTTCTCACATAGAAAAAACCTTGAGTGACTCGAAAACTCGAGTACAACTCGTGACGTAGTAAAATTACACGATTGCCTCAAGCCACAAAATACTACTCGAGTCGCATTACTACCTACTGAATGAGGTGTGAAACTGTGATGTGGAAAAAGTGTCGATATATCGATATTTTTTATCTTATATATATAGATATTTCATTCGACCATCATCTTTGGACACGATATATCGATATATAATTTATTATCAAAAAAAATTAAAAAATTAAAATAAAAAACTGCTTACGTGCGTACATAAGTACACACATGCTTTTCTGTTGTAACATTTTGTAATTAAAATCACAGTAATTCCGTAATTTTTATTATTTATTTTTCTACTTTCCTTTAAACATTCTAAAAATACCAATTCGTTTCAGCATTGTACATCGATATATCGAAATTATTGTATAAAACTCAACATCCCTACGTACACGTCACTAGACATATACTCTATAATTTACAGTTCAGAGATGTGAACTGATTACAATTTTACACACGACGGTTTTATTCCGTTTACTTTAAAAAGAAACCGTTTTATTTAGGTTTTTAAAGGTTTTTTTTATTAAGCTTTGTAAAAAAAGCTTATTGGACTAAAGTCATGACGGCCATAAACCGCCTTCCTTTACGTTCAAATGAAAACCTCTTCCTTAAACTAGGACTGTTGATAAAATATCGATATATCGATATTTTATCAACAGTCGATATTTTATCAACAGTATCGAAATATCGATATTATGATTTCGAAATATCGATATTTATTACTAATATTTTTTTCGACGATATATCTGTAGTTCGATATTGAAATATCGATATTTTTTTAAAATAATTTTTTTTTTTATTTTTTTTCGTAATTTATTTAATCTACAAAATCATCGTAAACTTAATCTACCGTATTTTATTTATGAAAATTAAGTTAGCCGACATTCAATAATTATTGATTTTTTTTAAATTAAAAAACTATTTTTCAAAAATTCCAGGTATAATTTTTAAAATTTTCTACTCGTGAAAATTTTTGTTTTAATTTTTTTTTAATTATTTTTTAATAAAATAAATTATAAAAATTTTCAAATGTTGTTTGTTGTCGCTGTCAGCGTTCACAGTTTAGCATAGTTAGTATCTTTACCTCTAGGCACTATGTAGATTAGTCTGTGGTTAACATTGAGCGAAGCAAATAGCACTTAAATATTTAATTTCTTCTGCTACATCTGTAGCATCTGAACGAGTTGCTTCTACAATCAATCTTTTAGTGCCCAACAATCGTATTAGCCAAACAGCTGAACATATAAAACAAAGAGTATTTTTAAAAACTCTTACTGAAAAATATTGGTATACATAATTGTCTTATTTATATTTAAAAAATAATTACTAAGAACTATAACCTCATACTTATGTACATTCGTAATTTCATTTGTTTAATAAATCTACTGGACTATAAATTGTGTAATCATTTTGAGCTGACTTACGATTTTTTTTTAAATAAAACCGATATATCGAAATATCGATATTTTTTTTCGATATATCGAACTCCGATATTGATATATTTAAAAATATCGATATGTCGAAAATCCGATATTTTAAAAAATATCAACAGTCCTACCTTAAACATCCTATGCAATCCTCTAGTTTTTACCATAAATCCTGTTAACCATAAATTGCCGTTAAACTCTGGAACTCTTTACCATTGTCTATAAAACGTGCTTAAACCCTAGTCCCCACATTCTTTTAAAAAACAGGTTAAGGAGCATTATCTCTCTGTCTAGCTACTATCTATCTTTCGACGTCTCTCTCCATCCCTTTTTATTTCACCCTTAACTCTATCATCACTCACATGAGGTATTTCATTATCTTATTAATTTAATTTTGATTGCTACTTTCTTTTTTATTTATTTATTTTTATTTCCTTCTTATACATCCCACTCATCAACAATTCCTTGTTCGGAGGTTCCCTGGAAGAAATTTCTGTCTATCAATATGGCCGTCTTTTGATGACCAATATTGATAAATATTTTGTTTTTCGGCCACTACCCTGAGACCTGAGAAAGGTCGCTGGTAGTGGCTGGATGAGGAAAGCGGAAGATCGTGCTATGTGGCGTGTGGGGAGGCCTATGTCCAGCAGTGGACTGCAAAAGGCTGATTGGATTGGATTGGATTGGATTGGATTTTGTTTTTTGTACTTTTTATTTTTATTTTTTGGTGTACAATAAATTATATTATTATTATTATGGGGGATATTCATTTGTTTTCTCGTCTGGTTGGGTTTATAAATATTATTTATGATTACTATTATTATCATTAGTGCGAAGTGCTTACTCACTTGTCATAGATTTCTGTTCTCTGTTTGTTATAAGGTACATGGTATAACCGTAAGATGTCGTACTAAGAGTTAGATGGATCAATATTTTGTTTTCAATAAAACCGGTATTCTTAAACAAAATCGGCTTTAATAGGTTCTATTAAAAACCGGTTTCTTCAAACCGGTTTACATCTCTATTACAGTTTTTAACTTTAACTCGGCCATTTTGTTGCGACTGTGGACCAACATGGTTAGTGCTCGATTTTTATTTTATGTAGCCGTATTTTAGTAATTAATCCGTAACATTTATATTGTTTTCTAGTAATGATGTTGATTATTTTGATCTACTAGTTCAGCACGTTTTAATATTTCTTCACGTATTTCACATGATGATACAACTAGATATTTTATACGGTTAGAACCTGAATCTGTGTGAAGATTTTTCTAGGGCGGACTGATGCAAATTATTATTCGTCAACTTTTATTTAGCAGTTTTGGTTTGTATAATAAACATAATTATTATTTCAGTCGCATAGAAAATTTTCGGCACCTCGCCATGGGTCGATGGGATTCTATCCCAAAAAGAGATCCCGGCGTCATCGTGGTAAGGTTAAGGCCTTCCCTAAAGATGATCCCAGCAAGCCTGTTCACCTTACGGCGTTTATTGGATATAAGGCTGGTATGACCCACGTGGTTCGTGAGCCTGATCGTCCTGGATCAAGTAAGTGTCATAAGTAGTCTTAATTTTTCATACTATCGTCATAGTAATGTAGAAGTTTTAGGAAGAAAAGTTGTTATTGAATAAAATGTTTCTGGTTAAATATTAAACTTTTTGACAATCTTGTACACAACCTCACCTGTAAAATCAGCACCTTAGTTTTTCACATACAGTACTATCATGGCTCGTATCTGTGCATTAAGTTTATTAATTTTTGTTTTTCAATCTTTCTAATTTAAAACGTATATATTAAAGGAATTGCTTGCGTTAAATCAACAATTTTCGATTCAATGAATTTATTCAATATTGATTGAATTCGATTAAACTTTTTGAAGTTTTTATATACTTAATTATAGTTTCTATAAATGTGTGGTATGGAAATTTTGCTTTTCTATAAATATATTATACTAGTGGTCGCCCAGTAGTCAAAATTTGACCATAGTTATAATTGTACATATAATTATACATGGTAGTGTGTCTATTTTTTTAAAATTGATTTATGTATTTTTGATGCATTAATTTTTACAAATTCATGTTCAATTCAATTCAATTCCCATCTGCGCAATTTTCATTATAAGGGGTAGAAAGTTTTTGCTTCACATATTAATTTATAGATTACATACATCATAGGGTTCAGTATTATTAAGCTAGTTGTATTTCACTTTTAGTTAATGCATTCAAATTTTTATTTGTTTTAGCAAATTTTCTGTCTTAGGGACTACTTTTGATGGCTTATAATTTTTTTTTAATGTTAACATTTAATAATTTCAGAGATTAATAAGAAGGAGATTGTAGAGGCTGTGACCATCATTGAGACTCCTCCAATGGTATGTGTTGGAGTTGTTGGCTACATAGAAACACCACATGGCCTTCGTGCATTGTTAACTGTATGGGCTGAGCATATGTCTGAAGACTGTAGACGTCGTTTCTACAAGAACTGGTATGCATATTTCTTTTTGTAAACGCATCTTTTATTCTATTTTTTTTAACTACTGATTTTTGCATAATAGCTCTCCTCTCAATCTGACGAGAGTCTCTCTGAATATGCTTGGTGCATATGATTACCATGTGGTCTCCGCTCAATGATGAGGCTACATGGTTTTTTTTGCAGCATACAAGATGTACTTTGATTTATCTAGGTACAAATGCAAGAAGAAGGCCTTCACTAAGGCTAGCAAAAAGTGGCAAGATGAGCTTGGGCGAAAATCTATTGAGAAAGATTTCAAGAAAATGATCCGCTACTGTAGTGTTGTTAGGGTTATTGCTCATACTCAAATGAAGCTACTGAAGCAACGCCAGAAGAAGGCACACATTATGGAGATTCAAGTTAATGGTGGAACTATTGAAGACAAAGTAAAATGGGCTAGGGAACATCTGGAGAAGCCCATTCCCATTGATTCAGTATTTGCCCAAGATGAGATGATTGACTGCATTGGTGTAACAAAAGGAAAAGGCTACAAAGGTAACAACAACATACTTAAATATATTATATAAAAACTAACTACATAAACACAAGCCTTTAAATTTTAAATCAATTTAAGGTGTTACTTCTCGTTGGCACACAAAGAAACTTCCACGTAAGACCCACAAAGGCCTACGTAAAGTGGCTTGCATTGGAGCATGGCATCCTTCACGAGTTTCGTTCACTGTAGCTAGAGCTGGTCAAAAAGGCTATCATCACCGAACTGAGATGAACAAGAAGATTTACCGTATTGGACAAGGTTTGTCTACTAGAAATTTTAAGTTGTCCATTGTATTATGTATATACTCATGTCTATTGAACATATTCAGGAATACACACCAAGGATGGGAAGGTCATTAAGAATAATGCTTCTACTGAATATGACTTGTCTGAAAAATCTATCACCCCCATGGGAGGTTTCCCCCACTATGGAGAAGTCAACAATGACTTTGTAATGATCAAAGGTTGCTGTATGGGTCCCAAAAAACGAGTAATAACATTGAGAAAAGTAAGTTCAATCTATTATCATTTTTTCTTTTATGAAACCATGTTTTTACATACAATTTTGGATTTATTAATACAAAATATTCCTTTAAAACAAAACACGATTTTTACATATAACATTTTCAGTCTCTGCGTGTTCATACTAAGAGAGCTGCCCTTGAGAAAATAAATCTCAAGTTCATTGACACATCATCTAAGTTTGGTCACGGTCGCTTCCAAACCCCTGCTGATAAGGCTGCTTTCATGGGCACTCTTAAGAAAGACCGCATTCGGGAAGAAGCTGCTGCTACTACCACTCCAGCTGCGCCGCAAGCCTAATAACTATTCTTAAATATTTAAGAATAAATGATTAAAAATGTTACTATTATTTTATTTACTCTTACTCTACGTATGTAATTTTTTCTACAAAAGAAAGAAATGAAAAAAAAAATAGATCCTGGGTAAAAATAAAGGTTAAAAAATTATAAAACTAACATTAACGACTGCACTAAAGGTAGAGAAAAGCATTCTTTAAAAACATCAATAATTTATTCAATTCAAAAGACCTGTGGATGATTTTATAGAGCTAATCTGCACGAAAAGTTTTTCGCTACTGCGGGAATCTGAGGCCACGTCTTAAGGATTCACGCCCAGCCGCTTTAACCGCTTAGCTATACGGTTGAAATGCGACACACTAAAATAACGTCTTCATCATCATTTCGGCCTGTTTGGAGTCCACTGCTGAACATAGGCCTGTGGGGGACCACAGACTGCCACTAAGCACGATCCTGAGGCACCTGCATCCATTGACTTCCCGCAAATTTGCACAGGTCGTCACTCCCATCTATTAGGGGATCGTCCCACACTGCGATGGCCAGTTCGAGGCTGCCACTAGAACCTTTCTTCCCCAGCGGTTATTGGTTCTACGAGCTATATGGCCGGCCCATCGCCACTTCAGCTTATTGACGACCTTCTGATCTATATCGGTTAACTGAACACACATTGGTTGAAGACTAGTCTTCAAACATTGAGGTAAATTCGACGAGAACATTTGCCGAAGTTTCCCGAACGTTGCCCATCTGAGATGGATTCGCCGATTGACCTCTGAAGTTAGACTTACCTAGGCGGACTAACTGTCCTAGGTATACGTACTCGTCGACAACTTCGAGTACAGTGCTCCCAACAACAACCAGTATAGGCGCAACATGGACATTAGAAATGATCTTCGTCTTGTCCATGTTCATCTTAAGCCCTATCCGTTGAGAGACGCTGTTGAGGACATTGAGCATAGTACTAAGGTCCTCCAGCGATTCTGCCATGATGACTATGTCGTCGGCAAATCGATGCCATGGTGTATTCGCCATTGATGTTCATACCACGAGTCCAGAAGCTTGAAAACATCTTCCAACGCAGCGGTGAAGAGTTTCGGGGATATAACATCACACTGTCTTACACCCTTTTGCAGTTAGATAGGTTTTGTACTACTGGACTGTACTTGGACGGACATCGTAGCCTTTTTCTATAAACACCTCAGCACCTCGATATACCGACAGTCAATTTGGCACCGCTGTAGGGCATGGAGTACCGCCCAAATTTCGACAGAATCGAAGGCTTTCTAATAGTTCTGTATAATCTGCAGCAAGGTGTGTAGGTCCGGCTTGTTTGGGAGGCTGGAAGTCGTCGAGTCTGGAAGCGAGACGATTCAAGATGACTCTTGAGAACAGCACGTAGACGCGGCTCAGAAGGGATGTTGGTCTATAGTTCTTCTAGAGAGCGTTATCGCCTTTCTTGAAGAACAGCACCACCACACTTCTGCTCTACGCCTCTGGTGTAGCACCATCCTGAAAGACTGAATTAAAGAGTCTCTGAAGGACCACAAGTACCGGTTCTCCAACCGTTTTCAGAAGCTGCTGTAATTCCGTTCTTTCCTGATGTTTGCCATTCTGAACACGTTCACTGTCCACCAAGTATTGAGATAGTTGCCTTTATGCCGCTTTGAGTCCATAAAGGCTATAATAATTGGGGGGGAACCCTGTAACCCCCCATTTTGAAGATGACCCACATACAAGCTACGAAATTAGTGACACACAATTGTCTGTCATGGACGTGGAGGTGAAAAATTATCAAAATCTTGCGTTACTTGTGGGTAAAAGGGATTCACTACAGCCACCTGCCACCAGCCACCAGCCACGATTCGTGCTACAGTGAAGACTGTAGCACGAATCGTAGCCCGACCATAGACTTCTTAAAAATGGCAGGTTGATTCATAATGGTTCATCATATCTGTTGAAGATGAAATTCTGCAGCGCCAACTAGCCGCAAGTAACAATAGATTATAAAACACGTTAATTTTTTCCTTTTAAGCCATTTTTCATGGCAGAAGGATAAAGAATTTTTTGTTATTAAAATGTTACTTTTACCTCTTACTGTAGAATAACATTATCTTGTGTTGTATGAGCATTTTAGAAACATAAAATTCAGGTGGACAAACACCCAGATACGAAACAATATCTGTGGGTCACACAAATACTTGTTCTATGTGGAAATCGAACCCACGACCCCTGGCGCAGAAGCCAATACTTTGACAACTGCGTCACGGAATCAACAAGATATTGAAACTGCAATCTGGTAGTGAAATAAAGAATTATTGTGATTGGTCAAACCATATTGGCCGATATACACATATTCAAACATCCACATTTAAACAAAACAATAGGCAACAAGCGCCGAGGCATAGAGTGGGGACTATCCAGCGTCCTGGAAGACCTGGATTATGCCGATCACCTATGCCTGCTGAGCCACACACGTGTTGACATGCCACCCAAGCTGGACAATCTACAACGAGAGGCAAAGGAGACGGGACTGAAAATCAACACCCGGAAGCCCCAGGAAATGAAATGCGGGGCGACAAGCTCATTGCCGTTGCCATTGGCTCAGAGGCTGTGGAAAGGGTCCACACATTCACTTAACTCGGTAGTGTAGACAGGGCCGGATTTAGCGGTCTGGAGGCCCCGGGGCAACAAAGAAGTGGAGGCCCCTTGGCTTGGCCCCAAATCATTTTAAAAATAAAATGAACAATTTTTTTGAGTCGAATTTTCCAATAAATAATTTATTGTGAAAGCAAGTAGAGATTCTTTAATTATTTAACGAACATAATCGGAAACAAGAATTAACTAAAAAAAAGTAAAGTAAAGTAACAGCCTATACATGTCCCACTGCTGGGCAAAGGCCTCCTCTATACAGAGGGTATCAGGGCATAGTCCACCACGCGGCCCCACTGCGGATTGGCGGACTTCACATATCTTCGAAATATATTTTTTTTTGTTATTATTTCGAAAATATGCAGGTTTCCTCACGATGTTTTCCTTCACCGCGGAGCACGTGATAATTCAGCACTTAAAGTTAAAAACTTCATTGGTGCCGGCACCGGGGATCGAACTCAGGTTGCTCGAGTATATTGAATTAAGGCGAGCGCCCGGACACTTAGCTATCACGGCTCTAAGAATTAACTAAAATTAAATTTTAGCGTTATCGGACGGAACCTTCCGAGCTTTTTTCGCCAAAATATCGTTGATGATTTCGCTGAAATCCAGTTCCCGAAGCAAATCAAATATATAGCATTTCTTTTAAGACAACTTCCGAAGTTCGTGACTTGGGTGTGCATCTTGATAGTAAATTACGCTTTCATTGTCACATCGATAAAATCTGTAAAAACACTTTTAAGAATTAAGGTTTCATCCTGCGCAATTCGAGAAATTTCAAAAATCCTTCGACTAGCATAATTTTTTATAACACCTTCGTTCGCAGTGGGTTGGCGTACAGCAGCGTTGTGTGGAACCCATTATAAAACGTTTGTGTCAAAAGATTAGAAAGCGTCCAAAAACGTTTTATGTGGCATCTCGCGTATAAATATGGTCTAGCAAAAAAACTACCCAACTATACAATACATACAATATCAGCTATTGCCGTCCACTGCTGAACGTAAGCCTCCCCCAAAGTGCGCCAACTATCCCGGCCCTGGGCAGCCCGCATCCATCCGCTGCCGGCCACCTTTCTTAAGTCGTCAGTCCATCGTGCTGCAGGGCGTTCCACACTACGTTTGCCTAGCCGTGGTGTCAACTCTAACACGTGTGGGCTCCAGCTACCATCAGTACGCCTGGAGACATGGCCAGCCCACTTCCATTTCAACGTGCTATTTCTGTGCGCAATGTCGGTAACTCTAGTTCTCTGGCGAATGACTTCGTTTCGTATCTTGTCTACCAGAGAAACCCCAAGCGTTGCGCGTTCCATCGCCCGATCAGCAACCTTGAATTTGTGGACCAGCCCCACGGTGAGTGTCCACATTTCAGCTCCGTAGGTTATTACTGGTAGGACGCACTAGTCAAAAACTTTAGACTTGAGGCATTGTGGTATTGACGACTCAAAAATGTGTCGTAGCTTCCCGTATGCCGCCCAGCCTAATCGTATTCTTCGGTTAGCCTCTTTCTCAAAGTTGTGCCAGCCTAGTTGTATAGTTTGGCCAAGGTAGGTGTATTCCTGCACAAATTCAAGCATAGCGCCATTCACGACCACTGGTCTTGGGATCACATGACTGTTGGACATAATTGTCGTCTTGTCAAGGTTCGTACTGAGACCTACTTGCCTCGAAGAATCACTTAGGTTGTTGAGCATGGTTTCCAGATCTTGCAGAGATTCTGCCATAATGACAATGTCTTCAGCGAATCGCAAGTGTGTTATTAATTGGCCATTAATATTAATACGGGGCATTAATCCAGCGTCTTAAAGACGTCTTCCCATACATTAGTAAACAGTTTCGGGGAAATCATACTAGACTAGACTATTGGTGGCGTCGTCAATGTCCTGCATGTTTTCTAGCAAGGCGAATCGATTTTGTAGTTCTAGCTGAAAATTTTTACATTCAGCTTCAACCTGGGGCAGTGATGGCCTCAGAGTCACCTACATCAGTCACGCACGTTCATTCTTGATGTTTATATTCAGGATGCCTCTTACAAGACGGTGATCGCTACCGGTATTTACCCTATTGATCACCGAGACATCTCTGAATATATGGCGCTTATTGGACATAATGAAGTCGATCTCATTTTATTCACCTTATCGGGGCCATGGTCGCGTACTCCCACTTTGGCATTAAAGTCACCCATAACTACGAGAAGGTTTTGGTATGAGACATAGCTTTTGCGACATCCTCGTACATGGCTTCGACGTCTTCGTCAGGATGTGATGTCGTTGGGGCATCAACCTCATATCACTTTTAGGGAGTATTTTTCTCGCACCTTTATTACAAGGTACGCTACCCTAGCCGAGTCACTGCTAACCTCCACGATGCTGTTTCTAAGCGACTTGTGTATTAGAAATCTGACGCCACCTTGGGATAGTTGATGTCCTTCTCGAAAGTGGAGCAAGTGACCAGCATAGTAGTGGACTATCGGATCCTCGCCCTGTTCTCGGATTTCAAATAGACCCACTATGTGCCAGTTAATATGACTTAGCTCTAGTTCCAGTTCGGCAAGGTGTTCGTTCTACCGCAGAGAGCGTCCGTTAAACGTAGCCAGGTAGAATCGCTTATGGTACCCTGCCGGGGATTCTTAGCACCCCCCCTCCTGTCGCACCGTTACCATGACCTGGAATAGTGCAACCACCGGGAACTGGGGCCTTAAATCTGAGGTGGTTTTCATTGGGGAGAAATCTGCCTTAGTTACCACGCTTGGCAGGCGGGTTGATGACCGCGGTTGCTGGAATCCTTCTCTGACGGCGCTGCTGCCCGCAGTCAGGATTGATATTTATGGATCCCAGCATTATTATGTGGTTATACCGCCATGATTCGGTCGCCAGAACTTCGTCCGTAGATTAGCAGGATGTACCACGAGAGGTTGACGGTAGGCGGCCTCAGATGTAAGCTGCCCCCCTTACATCCCTATATACCAGTTATAGCGACAGGCTAAATCATTTTGAAATGAAACCACTTGTCGAGCGAAGATATATATTAGACAACCTGTATAAGAATACAGGGAGGCTTTTCTAAGTGTATAAATTTTTTTTTCTTAAATTCTAGTCGTAATGTTATATAGAAAATGATAAATATTTAAAATCACTCGTAATTAAAGTCAAATAAATAAATATAGTCAAATAAACAAATGACATTTCGTACATCACAACAATAAATAATCGAACAATGATTTATTTTGAATTAAAGTAAATGCCTCATAAAAGTTTTAAGCAATTTCATAGCAGAAATTACTAATACAACTTTTCTTTATTACATGTTTTCTTTAAAAATTAGGCATTTTAATTTATGCTTTAAGTTAAATCTTAATGCTCAAGACTTATTACGTTATATCCCTCAACTAAAATGAAATTTAAAAACTATCGATAAAATTTCTTATATCGAATAACGACAACAATTATATGTCGAATCGGAATTTTGCCACCTTCTACAAATATCACGTAGCCTGTTGTCGTTGAATAACTACTGTAGTCCCAAGTTCAAACCTTCCCTTGAGCTGTGTATTTCTTTTTTTTTTTTCAAATTTTAATTTGTTAATCATTTATTATTTTTTTATTTCCTAAAATGGATCAATGTGGAAAATAACAAAATTAATAAAATAACATTATATAACTATTTTTCGTGTAATAGAAAAATTTTTGTTTTAGTGTTAAAAATTATATATTTTAATTAAAAAAAAACTAAAAACAATAGATTCTAGAACAGAAAAACAACTTTGGACGAATACAATAACATTTCGTTGTAATTTTCAGAACAAAGTCTCTCAAAAAAATTGCAAGTGCAACTTTGGACTGAATACAATAAAGATTGATGATTACGTTGTAATTTTTCAAAAAAATGTAAAAAAATGCAGTACTTTGAAAGCAAAGTCTCTCAAGAAAGGAAAAGTGTTTGGTGTTTCAACCATAAATCATGCAAGTGCTATCCCGATAGACTGCCACGAAGTACGATCCCGACCCACTTGCATCCATTGACTATTGAAAAAAATTCAAATTCAGACTAGTAAACACTAGTGTGTTTACTACGCACTGCGAAGTGTTTACTAGTCTGAATAAAAATAAAAAAACATTTCAAATAAAAAAAAAAAAAATATACTAACTTCAGTCTTTATTTTTTTTGCGAGTCAAAGAAGTTGTTTTTTACTACATGTCGAACGCATTGAAGAATTATGTTTCGTTCTTGTTTAATTTCCTTACTTAATAATTTGACAAGTAAAGTAGATGGCAAATGGTTTTTTGCTTTTTTGCTTTGTCTTAAATTTAAAACATTATTTTTTACACTTTTAATTGCTTTCATTGTCATAGAAGTATTGTTAATTAAAATATTGCTTTCAAGTGGTTCCTTTTTAATTACTACTTCTTCAGGTCCACTGTCATCATCATATAGGTCATCTTTTTTTTTTATATCTGGTTTTATGGTCTCGCCTGTTATTTTATTTTCTTCTGTTATTGCATGATCATTGCTTAGACTTTTATTTGCGTTATTAAAACAAAATTTACCAGGCGTAATGTCTTCATCAGATGATCCATAATTACAAATAAGAGATGATAGTGCTCCACAAACAGAAGGTTCTAACTGGGATGGGATTTTTGGATTTATTGACAAATCTCCATTTAAAACATCATCTTCAATTAAAGAGTCATGATCTAATTCAGGCTCCTCCTCATTATCTTGATCATCAATAATTATTTGTTGTATCCCGCCAAACGATTGAAGTTCACAAATATCTTTTTTTATGGATTTTGTTTTACATATTCTCTTTGGGGCTGGTGGCTTAAAATTATTTTCATGCCTTAACCTAAAATTATTATGCTGTTCCCGAGTTTTTCCTTTTCCGAAATGTTGTTTTGCTCTTGTTGGCTGTCCTGAAAACATAATAAATATTCATATAATGTAAACTTTATGTGAAAACATGATCTATAATGATGTCCTGTAGATTTGTTGACAACCTTGTTAAAATTGGGACCCGGTTACCACACTCACCAGAGAAAAAGAGAAAGTATAACTTTCACTTCACATGGTCCTCTGTGAGGCTATAGTACTTCTCTAGATGAGCCTGCCCATTCATGCATCAATAGATGCTTGGCTCTACCATAGTAAAGATTCAGAATAATCAAAATCATTTCAGCTGGTTTGAGTCCACTGCTAAACATGGGCCTTCTCCACATACTGCCGTGAAGCATGATCCTGGGCAACCTGCATCCATCGACTTTCTGCACAGCTGCACAGGTTGTCACTCCATCTGCTAAACGCATATTGAGTGAAAGCCCAAGACAAGATGCTCAAGCTTAGTCACTCCATGGAGCGTCCATGAAAGCGCGCTAAGAGCTTGGCGACCTCCCGGTGAAATCGGTGAAACTAATAGTGTGACGGCCCGAGGCGACACTCACTCGGGAGCCCTCGAGCTTAGTCACCATAATGCTTAATAATAATAATACGCCGAAGTTCAGGCTAGGCGCCCCGAGCACCAGGACACCTCAAGTCCATTGGAACTGTAAAGGCCCCTAAGGCCAACAGTGGCTCATCAAGCCCAAAAAAAACTCTGTCTAGTGAGGGGCTAATCAACCCATAAATAGATTGAATTAAAATCATACCTTGATTATGCCTTTTATTATTCTGCCCAAATTTAATGCCCATTTTTTCGCCTCTTTCTAACTTCTCTGCAATTTCAACTGCTTTTTTTTCTATATTTTCTTTTGTTGGATACCTTCTTTTTCTTTCTTCTCGCCATTTTTGTATGTCTTCAGGATTATTCAAATTTGCAATTTTCTTATACAAACCTGTTGAATGTTGCATTTGAATATGCTTTGTTATTACTTTGGGATGAGCGACAAATTGGCAACCATCAATATTGCATTTCTAAAATAAATAAATATGAAATTAAATTTATATTGAATTGTTTTAGTATTATCTCTGCACTTTAGATGAATAATTAAAATAAGTGGACGGAGTTTATGTAATTAGAGTTTTCGTTATACAAATTTTAATAAATAATTATCAGTTATTTTATAATAACATTGTTTTTACTTCTATTCCATCTAATGTTGTGATGATGCAACTATAGATGGTAAACATTGGTATGTTTCAAGGAATGAAACGTTAGTATGTTTCATTCCTTCAAGGCTTGCCTTGAAGGCACCCAATATATTGATAAATATAATATAGAATGGATTAAAAAAATTCAGAATTTCAGAACATTATATTCAGAAAATAGAAAATTGTTTTTTTCTTTTGTTGTGCTAATAATGAATGACAAAGCATATGGTTTGAGTGAACTAATTGTAAACAACAGCTTACTAATACTTATTTTGTTTGTTTTTCAGTGTTTCCTCTCAATTTAATTTTTATTGATTTGTTTGTATTTTTATTTTATCTTTTACATATGTATGTCTCCAAGTGTAAATCGTTACTCTACTCATACAGTTTTCTTATATATATATTTTTCCCTGACTCATAGTTTAATAGGGTTCACTGAAAACTAGCGCTGTGGTTGCCGAGTGAACGCCCATTTAAAATTGCACTGTTTGTCAAATATATAATAATGATATCCTAATATTTGTAATTTTAATTTACTTCCTTTTTCTTCTTGAATGTCTTATTTTTTTATTTTTCATGGGGTAAAATAAATTTCTTTCTTTCTTTCTTTTCTTTTGCCTTAAAGCTATAATTAAGTAAAACTTTTAAAACTAAACTATTTTTACTTATGGTTTTTATCATCATAAACAAATATAAGTTAACCTAACAATTACAACTGAGTTATGGGAATACACTCGCATGTTGAGCTACCAATTCTCTATCCCTTAAACATTTTTATACAGTTTCCGTAGTTTGATGACATCAAGATTTGTAATAATGTTAAGCCAAATGTAAAGGACTTTGTGGTCCAGATATTCACGTATTACAGACACTGTTGGGCTATCTTTACATATTTTGAATCTCGGCCAAGCCCACCAATAAAATAGGGAGTACTTGGCCATTAATCCATTAATACAAAATATTTAGACTTCGTTATAAGGCTTACCTGATGTTGTGATTTATGATGATCTAAAATTTGTAATGTTTGAAAACCTTTGTCACAAGTTTCACACCAAAATTCATAGTTAATTTGCATGGTTGGAAGTCCTGGTGGCCTGAATTGATTTGCTGTAAAATTTCGGTGTAAAAACGGTCCCCTTGGTTTTGCATGAGGAGACCTCTGATTAAAACGAGGGTTGTAAAATGGATGAAACTGAGGTCTAAACATTTTATAAACACATTCGTATACGTATGATGTATAAATAACAGGACTTTAGCGGGCAACTCGCACAGTAAAACCAGTATATATGTCTTATCTATGAATAAAACTTTAGTTTTTTTTGCAACATAACCTAGGTCCTAATCTTTCTTTTGACATCCATCCAAATTCCATATTTCCAATCCAATCCACATCAGTGTTACCAACTGTTAAAAAATATACTCTTAAAACAATTAAAAAGCCCACTAAAATTGACCGAATTCGAACAAAAACTTCCTAAATGTAAAATCACCATTTTTTAATATTATTAAGATGACATAATTATTTAATACAATAAACTCTTTCATTAAAAACGATCAAGAAATTTAATTATAATATTTATTTTTTTTATATTACTTTAGAAATGAATATGTTAACAATAAAATAAATAACAACTTGTCCCAGCCGGATATTACGCAAAAACTAACGGCGCATAGATGACCTGAAGCAGAGGATCGCTGCTTGGGGGAAGCGGATTCGGAGATATACCGAGAGGACGGCGCGGTTTAGCCAGAATCGCCTCTTCCAGAGTGACCAAAAGAGGCTCTACAAATCTTTGGAGCGACCAATGAGCTGTGGAACGGGCCAAAGACCAGACCAGGCCGACACTGTCGCCTTCTGGCGCAGCCCGTGGTCAGAGCCCGTAGACCACAGCGAGGGATCTTGGACGCAAGTCGTGGCGAGTCAATGCGCAGATATTACACCCATGGACCCCGTCGTCATAACACCCGACGACGTATCTGAGGCAGTCCGTAGAGCCCCGAACTGGAAAAGTCCGGGTCTCGACGGGCTGCATCACTACAGGCTGAAGGGGTTCGTGGTGTGTCATGCTGTGCTCGCCGGACAGTTCCAAGAAGCTCACGATCAGAAGTCGCTCCCGAGCCTCTTTACTACTGGGGTCACTCATTTGGTTCCGAAAGATCATGTTACCACAGACCCGAGTAAGTACCGCCCCATTACGTGTCTACCCACCATCTATAAGACACTGACATCTATTCTGAGTATGAGAATCACCCGGCATATTAATGCGAATCGGATTATGTCTCGTACTCAGAATGGATGTCGGGGTGGCGGTCGTGGAACCAAGGAACCGCTTCTCATCGACGTGGTCATTGGCAAAATGGTTAAGCGCAACCGTCGGAACTTCTCCGCTTCCTGGATAGACTACAAAAAGGCATTCTTCGACTCGGTGCCCCATACATGGCTAAAGAGGTTCCTCGAACTGTACAAAGTAGACTGTACAGTAAGAGACTTCCTCAGGCACTGTATGGGGCAATGGAGTACGATTCTTTGTCATCTAGGCGAGCGGATGACGGCTGCGGAATACCGGATAAGGATACGACGGGGTATTTTCCATGGCGACTGTTTGAGTCCAATATGGTTTTGCCTCTCCCTGAATCCTCTCAGCGTGTTACTGGAGGGCTCGGGGGGAGGATTTCAGCTTCGGAGAGGAGGGACAAAAGTGACCCACCTTTTCTACATGGATGACCTCAAATTATTCGCCTTCAATCGCTCCCATTTGATGGAATTGCTTAAAGTCACTTGTGATTTCAGCAATTCTATCAAAATGGACCTTGGGACGGATAAGTGTGCGGTCCTCCATGTCGAAAGGGGTAAGGTCGCTAACGTGGAGGGCATAGATTTATCTATGCCCGTTAACATAAGGAGAGGGTCTGAGGCTGAAACATACCGATACCTGGGTATGTCACAAAATAAGTGTATCGATGAGGCTGGCATGAAACAGTCAGTCCGTGACGTGTTTTTTGCACGCCTGACAAAGAAGTTTAATAGCCATTTGTCAGGCGTGAACAAGGCACGTGCTTTTAACGGCTGGGTCATGCCAGTCCTCATGTATACCTTTGGCATACTCAGGTGGACTCAAACTGAGCTCAACGCCCTGGACCGAAAAGTCCGCACAACTATGACGTCCCACAGAATGCATCATCCGAGATCGTCAGTGATGAGGCTGTACCTGCCGCGGAAGCATGGCGGGAAAGGCTTTTAAAGGGTCCTCACCATGCACAATCGCGAGGTGTGCAGCCTCTGTAACTACTTTCTGGCGAGATCAGATGAGCCAATCTACATGGACGTCATTAGTTGTGATAAAGGACTTACCCCTCTATCCTTAGCCAACGAGCAATGGCAGGACCCGGGTTGGGCGTTTCCGACCAAAAGGCCGTATGGAAGGAGAAAGAGCTCCACGGGAGGTGCTACAAGGCTCTACACGAGCCTTTCGTAAATACTGTTGCCTCCCTTAACTGGCTACGTTTCGGTGACCTCTTTGGTGAAACCGAAGGTTTTGTCTATTTTCTATGATTATTGTCGTCTGGCTTAAAGGTCATGTTACTTAGGCCATAAAATCTATATTAAAAAAAATATTGGTTGTTGGTAATTTGTCATTGTCAATAGTTGTCATGTCAAGTCAAAATGAACCTCAGATCGGGCTCGGGGACTGAAGTTATAAAGTTTTCTTACCGTCAATAAAGCGATATATCTTTAATTAAACATAATGAATAATTCTGCAGCAAAGGTAGTGCGTGTGCACTTTAGTTATCATTTTGTTTTGTAGAAATTGACATAGTATGACTCGAAATATATAAAGATATATACTAGTAGATTTATTAATATTTTTGCTAACAAAATAAATTCTGTTAACATTACTTTGTTTTGACGGAGGTTTCTGGCTAGATCTGAAATTTTTACATATTATTCTGATTCCAGGTAGGAGAAATTTTTACTGAAGCTGGTGCAGCATTTAATAAATTAGCAGAAATGACCATGTTGCTGCATCCATTAGCTGAATCATCCCCTAGGTAGTTTTAACCCTAAAATATATATTCCGTCAGTAAATTATTTTGATTTTTACTTTAAAAAGCTTTTTTTTTTATCTAAAGCTTTGATATTTAATCTATAATAATCAACTTCATCACAAACTTATAAACCTATATTACTCTTCCTTACTACCATATTACACAACTATTTTCTATTTATAGAGATTTGCAGTCCTATAATTATGTTAGGTATTTAATTCTTTTAACAAAATTTATTTTATATTTCATAGTTGTTTCTGTTGAAAAATATATCAGTCCTAAAACTATCGGTTTAACTTATTAAGTTGGTGGTTGGTTCATGGTTTATTTTTACTAATGCTTATTCATTTTTATTATGTTAATATATGTCCTAACTATGTGCAAAAAAGTAGATAACTTATTATTAAAAAAGCTGTTGCTAGGGTTAAGTTGAAGTTTTTGAATGTAGGTGGTAACCACAAAAATTTCCTACTTTTGATATATTCATTGCATTATGCATATACACAAGCGCATGCATTCAAAATTGGTGGTTTTTACTTTCAATAGGACACCAGCAGAATACATATACATTTAAATTACAGAATGAAGGGCAACAGTAATTTTAGCCAGTGCATGAAGTTTAACGAATGTTATCTGATGGTTGGGTTTTGCGGCTATAAATTGCAGATATTTTGTATACATTTTCATACTTTTTGTTTATTCAATGAAGGCTTAATACATTGAAAGTAAATTAAAATCAAACAGATACAAATTCTTTATTTACATTAAGGAATTATTCACTTAAATACATCAAATAAAAAATTTATTTTAGTTTGCATACAAAAACAACAGTAAAAAGGAAAACAGCTGAAGAAAAATCGATGCCTGCCAGCAACAATAATTCTGGACAGGTAAAGTTTAATTATTTTTTATTTAATTTCTTAAATGATGCTGATAGCAGTTAATGTTTATAAATACTTCATTGGCAAATCAGTAGTATTTATATTATTAACTGAATTCAGTCTCTTTTTCACTAACAGAGTACTGTTCTATTACTATCTGTTTGTGAAAAAGACATAATACTGTACATGTACAGTATGTACGTAAGTACACATAATTTTATTATTATTACAATTTACAGGTAACACTCAATATGCTCAATGCTCAGGAAACAGAAATGGATGTAGAGGGATTAAGGAACGATGTTAAGTTAGAATTTGAGTCAAGTGCAGAAGACGTAACAACATAAAAGTAAAAACAATTTAATTTCTAAATTCTATAAAGAACAATCTATGTACAAATATATTTTGATTTTGAAAATGTGTTTTATTCCTTTTTTTTATAGGATAATAAGTGGTAACATTGTATTTTACGGTTCCACTCTGAAGGAGGAGATTCATAAACTTTAGAGAAACCATTATTTTTAATTGTTAATTCTATAATAGTTTCAACATTATTTCGTATCTGCAGTGATTCAAAAAAAGGAAAATTACTACCAGATTTTATCATTCGTCTTTGGGCATTTCGATAACATTTCCAAGGTTGTGGCTCTATTATGATTGCTCTTGCATGTTCTTTTATGTACTGTAAAAACTCTAAAAAATCTTTATCACCATTATTTATGTGTATCCACATAGTAACAGAGAAACATAAAACAACATCAAATTTAGTTTTTTTGTGGATATTAAGATATTGTTGAATTATTTCACGATCCTGTAAATTCATAATATTTGATTTTACATATGTAATATTTGCACTTTTTTTATGATCATTGGCTCTTTGAATTAGAACTGGATCGATATCTATGCCTAGCATGTGTATTGTGGACCTAGGGTATACAATATCCCTTACATATTCAAATACTTCTGCTGTTAATTCCCCAGTGTTACAACCAATATCCAAGCAGACAATATCATCATTATTTTCATTAATTGGGAACATTGAAGAATGAAAATGTTTAACTCTTTGGCCTGTTTTATGAAAGGAGTAATAATTAATAAAGTTCCCGAATTTGACAGCACCTGGATTTTTACGGCGGTATGCGAGGTCATCAACTTCAAAGGCCATGATAATATTTCACTAATTTGCTGAGTTGATTTTTTGTACTAGAATATATTTGTAATAATTATATGTTCACTCCACTCAAGGTTAAATAGCAACTTAGACGGAAATGGGATTTAACTTAAGAACTTTGATTATATACTTGCCTACATAATCAAAGCTTAAGAATATGTCAACAACTAGGTTCATAGGTTATGAAAATATCAAAATACAAGCTTGCTTGCACCAGAATACAATTGCACTATACGATACTTTATTTCTGGACCAAAAATAAAAGATAAACTCAGCTTCCTAGGGATCAGTGTCTTCATCATCCCCTATAGATAACTTTACTCTTTCTTTGGTGATTTGGTCTCCAATTCTCCTTCTTCTTTGATTATTGGCCTATCTTAAAAGAATTCTGCCGAAGTCATGTCAGTAATGGAAGTAAAAATTATTAATAAATTACAAAAAAAACGGTTTGTAATTCTCCTGTAAACGTAAAATAATTGTACAAAGAGAATGTAATCACTACGTTTAATTATTGTAAATTGTAATGTTAACCAGTCTGGTGAAACTAGGAACGAAAAAATTTTTCTATGGAGTATGGACTTTACGTGGCAAATAATGGCGGACATTGCTATCATACTCCCTCAATGCGGTTTCTCTTTCTTGCAATAAAAGAAGTGCCATGTTGTTTGTCAAAACTTAATTTAGCACCGCGTATTTTGAATGTAAATGCTTATTTAATTGTAAATTTAAATTGTTTAGAGTAAAATTTCTCACGAAAACTAGTGACAGGTGATCGGGGTTGTACTTTTAATTCAAAATGCCTAAAAGACGGTTTATTACCTGTGAAATTGGTGAAAATCGAGCAAGTCATTCGATTCTTGAAAAAGAATTCTTCCCTTAGATGAAGCCCATGTAAGCACTTGAATATAATACTTTGCCATATGTAAGTAGAGCAGGCTAAGAACAAATTTATCTCATTTAAATTGTGTGCTAGTGATTACTGCAACTGTAATATTCAAATATCGATAACTACGTTAAGCTTTATTATTGAAAAAAATAAGAAATAAAATGTTGTGTGAAAGAGTAGGGGCATAAAGTTTTACATATTTCAATGGTGTGCCTACATAAATGAGCAAGGATCGGAATAGGTGAATTTTGTTCTTGCAAAATTTTAAACATAATCTCTATGATATTGATACGTCATATAATTAATTTCGTGCGCTGAGTACGCAAGAAAACTAAAATAATTTTCGGATTTTGATTCTATTTTTGTTTCAATTTTTTCCAGACTCGTGTACAGCAGGACAACAGCTGTTGGCTGAAAAATTAAGAGACAAAAAAGAAATTTTATTTCAGTAATAAAATTTTATTTGAATTAACAGAACCGCTTTTTATCTTATTTCAGGCCCGCATTTTAATCCAATCTTGTATTAGTACCGAATATACCCTCATCAACATTGGACATAAATACGGACTCGATACTTACCTAAAATTAATAAAAAAATATTAAGGGGAAACCTCGGTTTCTACCTAGTATATTTTATCGATATCGATAAGAAGCTAAGCTAGCTTGTTTAAGCACTATTTGGCTCGTTACGTTGGTAATAAAAAATAAAATGTTGCAATTGAAACAGTAGATTTCAATGTTTACTATGTATTTGTAACGCGTCGTAAATAAAATAAAAGATAACATAATTAATTTTACGATATTCATCCAGATTCAGATTAACTACTAGATATTGGGGATTACCTTGGAATTCTCAGCAACCAGGAGTAGTCCTGCCATTTAAAAATGTTACTTAAAATTTCTGAACCCATCAAAAAATAGTTATAGTAGTGGCCCTTGTACCAGCGGGCTGCCACTTACTTAATAAAATAAATACTTTCTCGGTATCGAAACGAAAGTACTTGGTATCGAATTGAACCAGATAGACCGAAATAAATGGTACCTAACATTTCTGAACGCAACCTATTTATCCTAGTGGCTGGCAACGGGCCTTACGGTTGCCACTTAATCTTACGGTACATATTTGATATCGAAAAGAAATTAGTTAATATCGAATTATTTCAAATCGAATCAGGCTGACCGAAACATACGAGTAACGAGTACTTTTAACCAATACGATACGATTAGTTTAGATGGATACGAGTACTTTTGTTTTTCACCGATAGTTACTCGATACATATTTAAAAAGTATCGATTCAAAAAGTACTTGGTATCGGTAGGAAGTATCGAGTAAGTACTCGTATCTTTTAGATCCTTATAACCCAAGATTTTTCAGAATCGGTGAATCAGAACGCCCGTATGTTTTTTTAAACTTTCGAACTATTAATCAACCGGAATGATCAATTGTGATCCTTATTCTAAAAGTATCGATAGGAGTAAGAATCGATTCTTTATGAGTACATATATAAGTATTATCGAAAAACGTTTATTATCGGAAATTGATCGAGTTTCCAGAAATACAAAATTTAATGAATTTTTGTATCACCACCGAAACACAATAATTAAAATGAATTGTATAGTTTATACCGTTTTCATATTTTAAGACTTAAGATGTTGTGTCGATATCACAATTGCTTTTTTCTGTCAAAGTTTTCTAACTCCATCTATTGAATGATGATGGTATTAAGTAATTACTCTATAAACTCACACTGTTCCGTGGTGGTAATGTAGAGGTCGCCGCTACAATTAAATGAAAATTATTTGTTAATCGAAAAAGACGGGTTATGGTTTTTTGTGGTATTGGCATGTAACGGAGTACATGCCAATACCACAAAAAACCATATTCCTTTCTTAGTTCGTACTTAAACTTATTGCATTAAATTATTTATAGTAAATTTAACCGCTAAACCGCGAATTTACAAATCGTGATGTTTTTAATGAATGAGTGTCAGTCTAACTATCCATGCACTGCATGCATTTTAATTTTTAAATGGTAAAATATCCTTACATATTCCGTTAGGTTACATTACAGGCTATGTTATCATTTATAAATTTCTTTTAACATTTAATTCATAAATTATTTTTACCGCTACTGACAAATATTTAATTCAGTATGATCTTTCAGCCATATTTTTCCCAAATTCTTACCCTGCATGTTTAGACCACGGACCAGTGGCGGATTTGCAGTCTTGGCCGCCCTGAACCCAGTCCACGTAGTGAGTTCCAGCCGCCCCTTTCTCAGCACCCATCATATTTATATCTTGTTAACATCAGTGAATTTTTTGTCACGATTGGCCGCCCCTAATATGTGGCTGCCCTAGGCCCGGGCTTAATTTATTGGGCCTTAGGGCAAATCCGCCACTGTCACGAATATATTATACACTTGTACGTACAAGCCTCATGCAAACATTTATATCATTGTAAGGCGATCACCTCCATTAAGCAGAAACGGCGTGTGATGTGAAATGGTGTCAGAAGATTTTATTCTTAACACTTCTTCTAAATCTTAGATAAAGTGTTAAGTATTCCTTGAATTATTATATTTTTGATATAATTCTTTTCGGAACACAAAACTTTAACAGATGTATCTGTAAGTCATCCTAGATGGGGTCGGCACAACATGTGAATCATGTAGTAAGCGGTTTTGGCTATGATTTTTACGACCGGTCGCCTGCCTGACGTCAACCCTTCTTGGGAAATCAGCACCCAGATCCGGGACAATTTTTTTGTGCGTCACACAAATACTTGTCCTGCGTGGGAATCAAACCCATACATGTCTTAATAGCTTTAGAAAATATGTGAAAAACATTGTTAATAGCTATAATATTTAAGGATTGCCCTCGATTTCTCTGGAATGCCATTATCAGATCCGGGTTTCCTTATCATGGCACCACCCTTGGGATATTGGATTTGGATAAGGACGAAGGGTTCCGTATCATTATCAATAAAAAGGCAAAAAACATGATATCAGTTGTTAGGGAGCCCCACTTATATATTTTTATGTTCTGTTTTTTTGTATTTGTTGCTGTAGCGGCAACAGAAATACATGAAAATGTCAACTGCCTAACTACGGTTCATGAAATAAAGCACCACCATTTGTCACCAGGACGGACATACAGACAGACAGACAGCGGAGTTTTACCCTTTGGGTACGGAACCCTAAAAAATTCCCATTTCAATGGTAAACTGTTACTTCAAGGTATTTCTGTATACGCACACAAATACAGTTGACGCGAGTGTAAAGCAATTCTTTTACACGCAAGAATACGAAATAATGCCATAAAATTGATATTTGTTATGAGGCGACACGGCTTCTTATACACGTTTATAATATAATCTAAGAGTTGGTCATTACACTAACATCACTAATAATCGTTTATGTAGTGTAGACAATAGCTCATAGCAAGTAATACACTCTGTACATCCATTGCAATCATGTTTACTTTCTCGTTTATCCACTACTGTTTACTTTCTCGTTGTCGTTTTTGCTTGATTAGCTTAACACACTTCTTTTGAAATATTACAAACCCTAAATTAAAAAAGTTTTGTCATTTGCCTTTGCATGCCAGATTGTACTTTTGGGCTGTACATTAAAAACACTAGGCGCGTATTTTGCGCATCTAAAATAGATTTGACTTAACGTAACTCCTACATTTCGTTCGTCAATAATGATTTAAGTACGAGTTACTTTTGAGTCCTAACTTTGAGTTCTACCCAGTGGAGTAGCTATCGTAGAGCCACGTGGTGCAGTGCACTAAGGCCCTGAAACTTAGAGGGGCCCCCCTAAGCTTTGAAAATAAAAAAGCAGCCAGCTCCCGAATCTAGCAAACTCCGAATTTTTTTATGATGTTAAATAAACATGAACAATTACAGAACTTTAAGCCTTTAAATACATGCGCCAAGCATATTTTATAAGCAGTGTGTTTGAGGAATATGCACGAAAGGAAATAATTTTTTTAACCATTACTTACTTCTATCAAAGACAAGAAACTATGAATTAAATTTTACCCAGGTTGTACACATTTATAATAAAATAGGTAACATCCACAAACAACTAAGTGTAAACAATTTCAAACAATTTGTAAAAGCTACCTTAATGGCAAGGGCCTACTATAATATCCAAGTATACATTGAGGACTGAGAAGGATGTTTGGAAATGACTCTTGCTCTGCACTTGCAAGACCCCTGGCTGCTGCTGATTTTATACCTAAATAAGTGTGTATAAATAATTGCATCAAAAAAAAAAAACAAAAAGAACAAGACCGCAGAGTTTCTTGCCGGTTCTTCTCTGTGCAGGTCTAGTTTAGTGAACCGGTGGTAGATTTTTTGTTGACGTTCAATACGAGCTTAAGTTAGGCCTATATTGAATAAATATACTTTGAGTTTGACTTTGACATAGTCCGTAAAAAATGTGTGAGTCCGAGCGCACACCGTAGTAAGGCGTAGTATTATTTTACTCTATCGCGCAGACGAATATTTCATTAAAAATGCTTGTGCAATAAATCGAGCCAGTGATAAATCGAACAACGTTTAAACTTTAAATCAATCACTTAAGATTCACGCGTTAGAATTAAATGTGAAAAAATGATCTATCACTATATATACAGGGTGTTACAGAAAGGTGTTGTAACATTTAAAAGCGTATAACTAGATCTATTACTTTTTTGAAACTATTTGAATTATGTACTTTGATATTTATTTTCGCTGCCTTTTTGAGTTGAACATGCTTTTATATAAAATATTTTAAAATAAATAAAATGTTATTAAATATAAGAAAAATTTTACGAAACAACACGATATACTTAGTATATTTTATGCGAAGAGGCAAATAAAATTCATATTTTCAAATATTACATATCAAATTTTTGAAAAATTTGCTCTCATTTGAAGATGCAGGAGTAATCTATCACCCAGTTTCCGAAAGCACAATCAATTTTAATTTACAATAAATCTCTTGTCAATCGTTGTTTAACATGATCTGAGTTGCTAGAACGTCTGAAAACAACATTGATTTTGATTTGCAATTAGTCACTGATTAACGGACAATCAACAGAAAATGGAGTTTCTCAAAGCGTTCTTCGGTGGTCAACGAGCTGTCAAAAGTTTTATTAAGTAATCTGTAAATTTGGACGATCAATCGTTTCTTAAAAATGTATTTTATCAAAAATCTTAATTTTTATTAAAAATAAACATAATTCCCTAATACGTTGTAAGGACATTCATGTGTTCTATTACCTATTTATTATTCAATATTATGCGAACATATCATGCGATTAGAAACAATACAAAATGCAATTCAAAAGTTAATAAATAATATGGATTCTTTCTTTTTATAATACTTACTTGTTTATTATGGATAAAAAAAGAAGTATAATATAACTGTAAAGCTTTTTCTTGACATTCTGCATGTATTTATATAAATTAAATTTTATTATAGCTCGGATTTTTACGTTGGCAATCACACGGTGACAGGACTGGATAGTGACGTTAATTTAAGTTTTGTTTAAAAAGGGACAGCTATACAATAGAAAGAGTTAGTTGAAATAAATCATTCATTTCATTCATTATCATTGGTTATACAGTGATTAGCTAATTTTTCTTGAACAAACCTTCCAGAAACCCAAGGCAGTTTAACAAGAGATTAACAGCTGATGATTTTTGACATAGTGTTATGTGATTGCTGCTTTGATTGGCCTTTCGGAAACTGGGCATAAATGTGATAATCATTACTTACATTTAGTTTAGTTTCTTTTAGTGTATTGCTGCGACAAAATGCAACAAAAAATGTGTGCGTGTACTGATGTACGTGCGTGAGAAGTTATAATACTTTGGCATCATTAAAACTTGTTTTTATTACATGCAAATAATTAATTACAATAAAATAATACGTGCAAATATTTTCCGACTAGTCTCCATTAATCAATCCGTACTTCGTTTCATTTGAACTTTCAGCCTTTAGAGAAAATGCGTTGAGAAAAACTTTTCCGTATTACTTGTCATAACAATTCTCAATTAATAACTACGCCGTTAGGTGCAACATGACTGGTTTTCATATAAAAATAAGAAAATAAAGTTAGCTTTACAATTAACGATGACTACGGAGTTTTTCGTTCAAATACATACTTCTTGTATACCTAAAATTATTAGAAATATCATAGTAGTTATTTCTAACAATTTTACCTTTATAACCTATGCATCAATCGTGGTAACGTTAATTTGCCATTCAAAAAAGAATAATTTATTTTTAATAAGTATAAAGTAATTAAATATGCAAATGTTTTTAAAATTAAAAATCATGTGACTCCATTATTGACGGACAAATGCTGTAAATTACAACAACGTATTTAATATTATAAAATTTAGGTCACTTTTTTGATTGCCTGTTACATAGTTTTCTACAAAGCATTTTCCATGATTTCGAACAAACCCTCAATGGAAACCATTCATTTCTAAAGCATTTCTTTTGAAAACTCACAATATTATTAACGGTAAGCGCCGTTTCGATCAGCTAATTTGTCTACTAATTTATTGTGTGTGACAGATTCAGTGCAATAAACTTTTACTTTCTTTTATTCGTGAAGTTATATACTTCCTTGAGTTAGATAACGATAATCGGCGACGACGGTATCAACTTCCAAGTGACTGAGGCCTGATATAAGCGGACGGACCTTGCACTCTATGAACGGATGCTTAAAGACTGAAATAATATTTATTCATCACTAGGCTTTCGCCTTATACGCTGAAGCCGGTCGTCCGTGGGTGAAACGTGGGTTCGCGTACTCACTGTAAACGCGAAGCCACCGGCAATGGCACTTTTTCACACACCCATACACATGCAATAAAATCAACACACAGAAAGCAATTAGTAACGTATACGTCTCACTTTTTGTCGGGCATTTTATCGGTGAAATTGGCTTAGAAAATAGCTAATTCTCAATCATTTCAAGTTCAATTACGTAAGCGCGCGTGCGAGAGAATTGGTGCGGAATGGCAGATGCTTGGCGATGTGCGTCGCCGTTATAAACCCGCGTCCACCGCTCCGCCCGACAGTTGTCGTTAGTCTACCCCCATACACGTCTATTTTTTTGATAATTATACATTAGTGTTGTGTGCGTAATTTAAAATTAAATCGACATGCGTGCTTCATTTCGGATAGCCCTGGTTTCAATCATCTGTTCAGTTATAGCTTCCGGCCACGTTCACGGCCCTAGGAGATCACGAAGGATGAATGTTGATGAAGACTACGCTCGAAATGAAGTAGACAGTGGCAGAGCAGATGAAAGCTCTTGGTGGCAATCCGCCGAATTTTCCATGTTACAAAAAGTTTACGACGATTGCAGTGCGCAAAAACATTTAACAATGTGTTTGAAGGGTAAAGCCTTAACAGCACTAACGAGGGCAGTGGAGCAGGTGAAGCGTGTGAAAATAGTGTTTATGAAGTGAATAGTGCAAAGTGTTTCTTAGTGTTGTCTCGTAGTGTTGTTTCTTAATGTTGTGTATTCTTAGTTTCTAATAATCCCATATCTTGTTTAGGACAACGTTCAACTGGCTGACGGTCTGACATTGGTAAAACAATCCGACGCACCTTCTGCGATGGCCGAGCCTCGATTCTTCTCTGGTATGTCCGCAGAAGAAAAACTCGACACCATGCTACGCAGGAAGTTCGAACAGTTGTTGAAAACGCATTCTGTGTCGCTTGATTTTGCATCAGAAGGTCGAGGAAGAGGTATGTACACTTTTAATTTGTTGCGTTCAAACTGTTGTAGAGTTTGATGACTATTCATGTTTCTGTCTTATAACAGGAAAGAAAGTACTTCCATACCTTATGCTTGGTGTCTTCACAACCTTAAGCATAGTTGGTGGTTTGGCTCTGAAGACCTTAGCTGCCATTGCCGGTAAAGCACTCATTGCCAGTAAAGTTGCTTTAACAATTGCCGGTATTATTGCCCTCAAAAAACTGTTTAGCCAAGAGGGGTCTACTGGTGAAACAACATTCCAAGTTCACGCCGATGGACATCATAGGTAGGTACAATATTCATGAATAGCATTACATGTCATTTGTCATATATGTACAAAAGAATAACGTTTATTAGTATTGAAATTAATGCTATCCATCTGAAAGTCAAAATAATTTGTACGACCCTAGCTTCAATTGAATTATTTTGCTTGTTAAATTTAAATTCTTAATCTTTATTTTAGTCTTTAATTCGAAGGCGGAATCTATACGTGGTGAGGCCAATCAAGGAAGATGCACTAAATCCGTATATGTATAAAGGGGAAGTACCATCCTCTAGTACATAAATACTAAACGGCGATTTCTTGGCGGTGACGACTGAGCTCCCACGATGAATCTCAAAAATAAACCCAAGCCAAAGCCACGTCCTTACGGTGGAGAAAATATCACAGGACATTTGTTTATAAACTCGATTTAAAATCTACGTCAGTTAATAATTTATTATAATTTAATATTTAATTGTGAGAACGTTTATAGATATAATTAACTTAATAATAATTTACCGAAATTGTGTAAGGCACAATAAAAACATAATTAAAATTTAAAATTTTTCGTTTAATTATTTCCGATAAAGTTACATCAATGATAAGCTCATTCGTTTTCTTTTTTTAGTTTTCTATTGATGATGAAAATAAAAAAAAATACAATAAAGAAAGAAATATTCGAAATGTAATTATTGGGAATAACACTGTGTTTGTAATTTCATGGTAAAAAGTTTTTGAATTTTTCCATCTCTTTTTAAAAAAATATCGGAGAAATTGCTATGAAGTTGTTAAGCGGGTTGCCTAAACTATTTTTTCAAACGCTTTCTCTACTCGCTCTAGTGGAGACAAGTCTAAGGAATATGCCGAGATTTTCCGTTAAGTGGGCGCAGCAACAACGTATCAACGTGGAAAGTAGAAAGTTTCAATCGATTCACTGCACATGCATGCACAGATCGAATTGTAATGACCAAGTCGTGGCGTTTTCCGCTTTACTTGATATCGGGGTAAAATGTCTAATTTATACTTTTCACACCTCTACGTATTAATGCCGTGACCCATCAGGCTCGAAATAATTTTGAATTGTACCAATCCTTCGCTAGTGTTGGAACTGATCAACCAGGTCCAGTTTTGCTAGTTTACCAGCTTCCCTAACTAGGTACATAATCAGCTGTTTTACATCGAATAGGGGTACGGAGCGAAGTGAAGCGTTTGTTCGGCTGCGGAAGGTCAGCCCGTTGATTAGTCGTGCGCCGGTAAAGGCTGACCACATTGCGCGTTTGTGCGCCCGGACGCTGTTTATAATGCAGATATGTGTTTGCCCAATCGGTGCACGCTACGTTGGCTATATGGCATAGTTAATGTGACCGGAGTCTCTTTGCATACGCAAATATAGGGCGGGCGGTCCAGGCCTGATTAAGTGGTGCACTGGCGGTGACGTTGGCTTCATTTCTGCTTTAGAAATAGTGCGTCACTTGATTACTTGCCTAGAATTTGTGCATCCGACATTTTGACTTGAAGTTATGCTTTTTCACTGATGTTATGTATACTCGTACATGCTTTTACAGCTTTTCTACTATCAATGTATCAAGTATAAATCTTATAATATTAATATATATATATATGTAGTATCAGTGGGTTTTCGGCCGGTGTCCTCGGACATAATGTGGGCAGACGTAGGTATCGCGCAATGAGAGAAGAGTACAAATCAACAAATCAACACAGTATGGTAACACTGACGAAACGAAGGACAGTTCCGTGACGCGTCTTCACTTGTCGGCGTCCACCAAAAAAAGTGTCGCCTCACGACTCTGTCAAAGCGCACCGGCCCCGTAGTTGCGTGATTTCGCCGCTAGGGGCGCGCTTGCGTTCCGTTTAGCGACCGTACTCATGACCGGATACGACACGGCCATCCTGCATGACACACGCCCTCGTGTGTTAATCTGAAAAAGGAAACTCCAGCACAATTTCCGTTCGGCCATCCTATTTCCTAAAAATTTTCTGCTAGAAATAATAGTTGTGATCTACTTTAGATGGTTAATTAATCACTCAAATATTAGCGGACAATTTTTTTTACTATCACTATACATTTTAAATCAGATTAAACTAGACACACAAATTGCAATCAAACCATTTCAGATCTTGTTCCAAAGACCACCAAGACCCCGTACTATTGAATCGCATTTAAAATTTTCAAAAGATAATTTTAACAGATTTTAAATTTACTACTATCGCAAACTGGTATCGCATTCGTGGTCCATAACTATCATAATAGTTTCAACTCTTTTCTGTGGACTTCCCCGCGGGAATCCCGAGTCACACTATGACTCTATGATCTATGCTACATGGCAAGATCCGACTGTACTACCCAGTACTACCGCCTACCGCTTACCCACGGACATCTCAACGAGATGACCCCGATTTCTACCAGGCTACGGCTACGATATACTGGTACAGTCTCCGACCCCCGAATCGATCACCAGATAAAGTAATTAACTTGACGCTTTATCGTCATCTATATCATCTTCCTCTACAACCTCAATAGGTACGTGGCCCTCAGGCATCTTCCTAATACGATCGTGAGCATACTTATAGGTACGCTTATTAACCAATGACCTCAAAACATATCGGTCTCCATCAAGAACTTCTGTAATTTGGAACGGACCCCTAAACTTTACATCCAACTTGGTTTGGTTACGTTCCTCATTCTCAATTAAAACGTATTCGCCAACCGAGAATCTATTCACTACCGCTTTATTCATATCAAAACGTGCTTTGTTGTAACCTGCGGATGCCTGTATGCCTTCAGACGTCTATGACGTCCTCGTTATCATTGACAATCAAATCCAGTGGACGAGCTACCTTCCCTATTAAAAGCTCTAATGGACTAGATTTTGTGACACGATTGACAGTACAATTTAAAGCAAGTTGCACGTCACCAAGGGCGTCCTGCCACGACCTATCCTTGCTAGTTTCTACTGCCGTTAACATAGACTTTAACACACTCATTATGCGCTCAACCTGTCCATTAGCGCGACTTGTCCCTGTAGCAATAAGGTGTAGTTTGATATTCTTACTATCACAGAAGTCTTGGAACTCCTTACTAGCAAAACAGCGACCCTGATCTGCGATGATGCGTACAGGAGCGCCAAATAATGCTACGCTATCCTTCACTGCCTTGATGCTGCACTTGGTGTCTATATTTTTAGTATGAAAAAGCAATACATACTTGAAACGCATCAATCATAACGAAAACGTATTCTTTGCTGTCGCTCTTTTCCGCTCAATTTTCCGGTCGCATCGATGTGTACTGTATGCCATGGTATTGCGGCTTTCGGTATAGGATGCAGCTCGGCATGTATCTTACCAGAATGGGGTTTTGCTACTTTGCAGGTCACACAGTTGTCCACAAACTTTCTTACATATCGACTCATACTCTCGAACCAGTAATGATCATATAGCTTCTCCAATGTTTTATTCCATCCAAGGTGAACTAGAGAATCATGGAAGTTGTTAACGACTGACCATCGCATAGCTCGAGGAACCATGGGTAAACATTTCGTTCTGCCATTTCGTTGTACTTTTCGATAAAGTATGCCGGATCTTACCTCATATGTTTTAGCGACGTCGTCATTGAGCTGTCCTAGGTCTAGGTCAGAAATAATCTTCTTAATACCTTCGTCTCTCTGCTGCTCGCATTGACGACGGCGAGTGTCTCCAACTCGTACGAGTGGTATCTGGACTCAGCCGACGTCGTGCGTTTGCTATAATAGGCCACTGGTCTTCGCTTACCATCAACAATCTGTAATAATATAGCTCCGTATCCATCGGCGCTTGCGTCTGTATGTAGTTCTGCAGGATACAAAGTGGTTTAATATTCCGGACGGAGGCTCCACCAGGCACAGGTCGACATGCTTCTCCACCTGGGCTGCAACACTGGCCCCGTCAGCTGTGCAGCGGCTGGCGATGTGCCCCTTTGTACCGCATTTGTAGCAAACGATGTAGCTGTTGTTGGGTTGCTGGTGTTGAGAAGTAGTCGTAGCTGTTGTTGCAGTTGCAGATTTCTTTGCCTCAATCTTCTTCGTCCTACAATCCGCTTGTCTATGCCCCAGCTTGCCGCAGGTATAGCACTTGATCTGTGATTGCGATGAAAACTTTGGGCGTTTTTCTTTCGTGTCATCTGTCCGGTTATCAATGGAAGCCTTACGTTTCAAGTATGAGAAAGCTTGGAGTTCTTGCTGTAGCTGGTGACGTGTATTAATCTCCGTAGTAAAGGCAAGTCGTTGCAAGCGAGTATCAATGCGTGCCAAGTGTGCTGTAACTGTCGATACCGCTATTTGCTCAATGCCCGTATTTTTCCACCGGCTAAGCAATAACGTAATCAGACGACTGGCATAGGCGGCATAGGTCTCATCTTCTTTAGGTTTATCATTACTTAAATTCATGAGGGTCGCCGCAAATGTTTCAACACTGACAAATCTTGCCGTAAATAATTCTTTGAATTGCGTCCATGTCATACCTGGATAAGTAATTTCCGATAGCCATGATGATGCTGAACCTTTCAATGCCTTGCTGAGGATCACAACGAGCTGGCCACCTTGTACAGCATTTTCTTCAAAAATTAAATCGGCTGTTGAACACCACAATCGCGCATCACAATTGTACTTATCGGGGTCGAATTCCGGCAATACCACTTTGTTATTTACACTTGGAGTTTTCAATGCTTTGATAAGCTCGCGCATTTGTTCATTTTGCATTTGGAAAAGTAGCCGCCATTGTTCATTGTTACTAGTCTCAATTGCACGGTTAGATCCCACTTCTGATGTAGTATCAGTGGGTTTTCGGCCGTTGTCCTCGGACATAATGTGGGCAGACGTAGGTATCGCGCAATGAGAGAAGAGTACAAATCAACAAATCAACACAGTATGGTAACACTGACGAAACGAAGGACAGTTCCGTGACGCGTCTTCACTTGTCGGCGTCCACCAAAAAAGTGTCGCCTCACGACTCTGTCAAAGCGCACCGGCCCCGTAGTTGCGTGATTTCGCCGCTAGGGGCGCGCTTGCGTTCCGTTTAGCGACCGTACTCATGACCGGATACGACATATATATATATATATATATATATATATATATTAATTTATATATATTAATCTTAAAATATTTTTCATAGACAAGAATCGACGTGCCGTATATAATAGTATACGGGCACATTGAATTTCAATTGTCTTGGTTGCATCTGACACTTATAGCGATGTCCTTTGGGAGTTGGTTGAGTGTCCAGTGCATTAGCTAATATACTTACTGTTCGGAGTTCAGGTGTCGACTGCCAGCCTGATTCGGATTAAATAATTAATGGTTGCTACAGTTTCAAAATAGAACATACCAAATCTTCTGTTTGCATATTGTTATTTGTATTAATTATATGTCATTTCCCCTAAAATATTTAAACATATGTGTAAGTGGTGATCGGCGATTGTTGAAGATAGAATGCTATTTATGCTCTTTCCAAAATTTTTAATTTAATCCAGAAGTACATAACATTAATCAATGTAAACCTTTTGACAAAGTATTGATGTTATAAATCATCATAATATAATCTTGCAGGAGACTAGAACATTATTGTAGTATGTATGAAATAAAATTGAATGATGGTAGAATTTTTCTCTAAAGATAAAATTTGTTTCCGTAAAGCGAAATATATATAGCTTACGATTTTTATCTTAAACAATCATACCTTGTTATAGCAGTACACACTCTTTATCGTAGAGACCGAATTATTGTCTGTCACCGTAAACTATTGTGAGAGATCTCTTCCCTATCTAAGATCTGTATTATTTCCAATAACTAGTTTAAAAAATTAAGTAGTAGCTTAAACAATATGTCAATACAAAGGTTATTTAAGCATTAGTCCGGCGTGTGACCTCAGTGTATTGCAGAATTCACATATATTCGATTTTTTAAATTCATTTTATAGCTGTACAGGTTTTTAAGGCGATCTACTTATTTGTCAATCATGTGATCAATTGGATTTAATAAATTCATTAGTCCCGGCCGGGACTTTAAATTTAGTTACTAGAGACACATTGAGCTCAAAGCGAGCGGCGGGATACAGAGCCAAAGCGGCTGAACTTAAACTCTTAACTTAGAGGATATAGATTTACTTTATACTTTTGCTTATAAACTTCAAGTAATCATCGATGTATTCTCATAAGCGAGCTTACAAACGAGTATAATGTAACGAGTCTGCAAACGTCACTCGTAGAGCGAAGTTACTTTACGGGCGAATGGTCAAAGTATCCGACATAAACCTATTTTGTTCTCTTCTTATATTGGATGTACGTTCCCTTCTTCGCCCGTGCCGCTGTCCGCTGTCCTTTGGGGCAGGGTTGTCTGCTGCAGTATTGGACGTTCAAAAGAAATGGATTTTTAAAGGGACAAACTATTAAAAGTAAAATGTGTGAAAAACTCAACTGATTCTAGATACACGGCACAGGTTATGTAAGTTAATTGAAATATTGTGTAACAGTTTTATAAAACTAAGTATGTCATATACTCTATATATGAACTGTATTCTTTTACTGTCTGTCTCTAATCTGTCCCCTAATAGATTCGTTTATTAAAAGAATATTATTTTACCACAAGCAGTTTTTATTTTACTTTCAAGATTGTGATATTTTATTGCATAAGTTTAATACCTTTTTAATTTTAACCTTGTATTTTACTAACTTAATTATTTGGACATTACTTTGTTTTTACTAGGTTAAGTGAGTTTTGAGGGTATACTAAAATAAAATATAGAGTTTTGCACATGGTTAAGAGGTAATAACATGGATATGGTATCCTGACAAAGACTTACTTTACGACTTAAATTGACCGGTGTAGTAAATAATGGCATTACTTTTAATTGTAGAAATTGGAGAGAAGGCTATACAGCTTTCATATTATTGACCCGATAAAATAAATAGTTTGAGACTATAGTCCCAATGGTCAAGTTGGTCTTTTGAATGTAAATACCTACTGAATGCATAAATGTCACATTTTTCGCCATAGTCACATTCTATTTATGGTCATGGTATTAAAGGTAGCGTAAAAGCCGCTAATGATGTTAGTTATATAAATAATACGATTTCTCTCTAAAAGATCTACTTACTACATTATTTAAAATTATTTTAGACATTTAGTGTCACTTTGAGTTAGTGTAACAATTTTTTAAATTTTTGAAAAGATTATTTTTAAATAATCGTACAATCACACCAAGAAGTTATATATGAGGATTTATTATATTAATATTCGTTCTTTTAAGTGGTTTGATAATGTTTTTTATCACATTAAAAGTGTTTTTAAATTACATTTTTCAATCCAATTATTAAAGTTGTAGTTTAAAGCATGACAAATTTTTAATATTTTTATGTAAGAGTATGGAAAGCTCTTTGTTGTCTTAATGTACTTACGGGTTGATATAAGGAATGTGTGTAATAAATAAATTACACGAATAGATGGATATCTAGTTTTGTTTAGGGTTCATTTCTATTTATCCTATATCTATCATACATTATTTAATATACGTATAGTTTGAGATATTTGAAAAACACAAATTTTACGTGTACATGATCTCAGTTTCAGAGAGTAAGACTTTGTAAAGAGTTTATACAGTAAATCTATCCTCTGCGACTAGTTATTGAAGAAATATGTAAATTTAGAATTGAATACATTAAACGGTACGTTTTCAAGAAAAAATAAATAAATAAAGAAACAGCATTAATTTTAAGTATAATTCTTATTTAAGAAACGAATAGTATCAAAATTAAAGTGGCAGTAACAAAGGGCTGAATTGATTCGTTAATGTTCAACCCTGCATTTGGGCACAGCGCTGTGAGGAAGTTTTGTTGGGAATTATGTTGGTACGTGCCAAAGCCATTATTGCTGTGAGAAAAGTTCATCAATTTCATTTCTAGCTTCGCACACGTCCGTTTTTCTTATTCTGCGCTTTGTACCGTGCTGAATACTGGATCCTTTATTGCACTCTGTGTTTCATATAGGTATACATTTAAACAACATATGTTGTTACATATGTGGTTTAGCTTTTAATAAACAAAAAATTGCTAACAATTTCAAGTGATTTCAACAGTCTTTCCAAATTTATCGTTACCTTTGAAATGATGTATAGATCTATTAGTTTTTGAGTACATATAAAAGTTCAGTCAGTGAATGTATATTTTATTGTATGTATATCTTATTAATGTGTATTTGATAACGGTTAAAGTTTTAATTGATACATTTTCGCCGTTGCCAGGATTCCAACCTGGGCCTTCCGAGTACACCCAGGTACTCTAACCATCAAAAATTTCGCAACGCTTGGCAACATCTAGTTTGCTTCCTTTACAGCGAACAACATTACGGTTTATGTTAATTTGTAATGATAACGTTAAACCAACAATAGCTTGCAAGAAATTTTCCTTTACATGGAAAAGGTGAAAGTAGTTGCATGTGCAGCTGTGCACGCGCCTGTTTCTAATGGAATTATTGCAATAGAAGTGCGTTTGGAATTGAATAGTGAGTAGTGCAACACTTTCTAATTTTCACCCAGTATTAATTGGAAAGCTGATATTTTGTTTGTATAATTGACGTTACGCTTTCAGTCCTTAGACTTTTAAAGCTATATCGAACGTAAAACCGGTGGGCTAGCTGAAACCCACGGTATTTAGTTTTTCAAGTATTTTTTTTTTCAAATCAATGAGAACAACACGGAGGGAAAATATTTGACTATTCTATACCACTATTTTCTGATTATAGAACAGAAAAATATCAGAATACAATAGTCATATTGGACGTAATGCGAAGGAAACTTCCAATTGGTGACGCAAATTATAAGCTTTTGGAAGTAACTTGGCGTAACTGTAATTTGAAGTGGTTGAATAATATTATCGATTTATGTGCACCATAAACTATTGTATATATATTGCAATCAAGTATTTGTGTATTTTATAAATGTAACTTTTTCTAAATCATGGGTGAAATTGTTTAAATTATAGATAACACTTTTTTAATATTGCAGTAGTCCAAATTAGTTCTGGTAGGGTTAGTCAGGTGCTCGTCTGCGATCCCGTCTGACTCCCGCAAGCAAGACTGTTTTGGGAGGCTAACTAACAGAGCTTGACTGATGCTCACGTTCCATATTTCCGTATAACCGAGCAATAGAGTTTAAAATCGTCTAAAGTAAAGGTAAGCTGAGTATTGCAACTCGTTACTCCCCCTGGACGTTAGTCCGGCCGTCATTATGTGTCATTAGTTTTGCAACACTGACCAAATGACTAGTCTGCGATATCGGATGACTCATTTCGTCCGTGATTAGACTCTACGATTTTCCAAATGCATAGAATTAGCGTCTTGTATTTATGCTCCGGATTTACCTTGCAATTAGCGCGAGTTGAACAAAGCGAAAGCGGACATAATGTATTCAAACAAAAAAAATTTATAGTGAAATGGTATTTGCAGATAGAAAGTATCCAGCATCTAAACTACATATCCTCTAGTGCAATATTTGGTTTAAAAACAGTTACTGTCGATCTGTTTTTATTTCTAATATATTTATTTTTTCATATGTAATTTCCGTTGTAACGATATCAATTCCTTCCAGCAAAATGTATTGGGGATAAGTTTGATAAGTATAATGTTATTGACTCTACGAAATTTACGATCACGCCGTGTGCGCTCATCGAACGTTATCCGCCCTAATTATCCCATAAATTTCACTTATCAAGATTAGTGTGTATGTTCTTTGAAATTAGTCAGTTGTAATTCTACTGAATCCAAAATCAAAGAGTCGAAGAAATGATCATTGCTTTGTACCGTATGATCGAATTGTCCACAAGATAGTCGTAGTCTTGGTTTCGGGATATTCTTAATTTGAATTCCAACATAATTAAAATAAGGAAATAATTTCCGTTTCGGTTCAACGTTGTCTTTTCGGCGAACAATGTAAAGTGTATCCGAAGGAAAACGCTTCATTCCCGCCGGAATATAATCGTCCGGTCGTAATTTATATTGTCTGCTGCAGAGGCGAGTCCCGCTGCACATTCATTTATTTTATGTGCCATTTACAATTGTCGGTCGATGGTCAAGGGAGCGTGCGGGGGTTGAAGGGAGGCCGCGCGGGGGAGGGGCAAGTCGCCGGACGACGTTGCCATCGCATTATAAAACCGTGCGGTCATCTGCGAGCAACGTAATGGTATTCGTAATAGGAGTGGACCCCGCGAATTGCGATGAACACGGTTGAGGGCTCCCCTGATCGTTTATTTATAAACGTCGCTTCGATCGCTTCGTAAAATGTGTTTCTATCCTTCTTATAGTAATCTATAGTTACACTATCAATTTCTATATGAAGATTTATACAAATCGTTTTCAAAGTATCTGCGTGCGTGCGAATTATATGGCTTGGCTAATTACGATTAATTTTAAGTATTCCGGTAGAAAGGTGAAGGGACGCTGCATTTCCTAAATTGCCGTACGATCGGAAATACGGGAAGCTTTCAACTCCAAATGTAATATAATTTTGTACTAAGACATTCCGTTGGTTGGTTGTTTTAATTTAGTTTCCTCAGAAAGGGAACTAAACTTTTTTGTAAATAAGAATGTGAAATAATTTTACTGTCATAAATATGAGCCAGTTATCAGATATTGTTTCAATCTCTCTTTTATCACATTTATGACGATCACTACCTGTGTGTGGTTGCTTTAAGTGCACTTGTGAAAAATGGGTCTAGACAAAATAAACTGTTTTAAACACATGTTGAATGAATCTTTCGCCCTGTTTCTGAAACACTGATCATCGTAGAAGTTAACTAATGAGCTGTCAAATGTCTTTTCAAAAGGATTGTTAAACTATTTGAATTGATCATTCTGATCATTAAGATCATTCTGATCAATTCAGAGAGTTTAACAATCCTTTTGGCAACTCTGCCATTTAACAGCTGATTGGTTAAGTTGTACGATGATCAGTGTTTCTGAAACCGGGCGTTTATCGATAAAATAGCGTGTGCTTTAGTTGGTCCGAATTTTATTGTATATATTCCTGTTAAATCATACATTCTCTCTATTTTTGTTTAAAACATATATTTCTTTTATTAGAAATTAGAAAAGAAAGTTGAAATTGAACATTTATGACTAATTAACGACGTTTTTCAAAACTAAAATAAATCAATACTTCAGGACATATTTCCACAACAAATTTAGCCCCAAACTAAGTAATGCTTATACTATGAATACGGGGTAACTGACAAACATATTAAAACATATTTTATGTTAGTAAATACATATTATAGATATTCATAGAAACACCTAGACACTAGAAATACACTATGCACAAAATATTTGTGATGAACATCACAAATATTTTCCAAGTAGTGGAAATCGAACTCACACCCTCTGGCGCTGGAGACAGGTACGTCAGAAGAATAAATCACAAATATCCTTGACTATAAAAAGAGAGGTTCAATTCTGCACCTTTTTAATTCAAATGTTCCACTCGCTGGAAGACTTTTAGAAATGTTACTGAGGACTAATAATGTTTTAACCAAATTTAGAGTTTTGTGTAATCTGTTTTGAAAGAATGTTATTTAAGCGAATAGAAATTATATAAACATTATGAAAGTCTTAATAGGCTATGTTAAAGATTTTATTATAATTATGATACCGATACATGTATATACGAATAAATGACCTTAAATTCGATCGCTCCGAGATCGAAATACTATTTATTTAAATTAATTTCCCCGGAGAAATTGTTTCGGCGAATGTGTTTTTATATGTTTGTAAACCCGATTGCATGCTCCTTATGCAATTGGTTCAAAAAGTTTAATTTCTATAACGAAAAAACATTAGTCAAGATAGAGGTGAAACACATGTGTGATTTAGTATCACATGTGTTTCATAACACACTAATATTATTATTGTCAAAAAATATCAATGTCTATTCTTGCAATTTACTTAAGTATTTCCTACGATAAAGCTGTTGAATTCGACTTTAAAGTCATTGCACTCCGCAAGAGTTTTAGCAGGCGGTAGCGGGCAAGAGGCTGAGTGGCTCTGTGTTCTTTTGTTTTTTAATTATAATGCCGCCGAACGGTGGAGGCTGCCCCCCTAGGCCGGTGGAGGTGCTTCTTGTTAAGCTCGGCGGGCGCTTGCCTCCTACGTGCCTCGGCCGTCCGTTTCGTTGAAACTTATAACCTGACCCGCGTACTTATGAGCGTCGCCAATAAATATAGCGATGCCTGTCGGTGGTGTGCGGAGCGCGGCGGTGAGGGAGAGGGACGGCGCGGTGGGTCCGCGCCGGGGCATTGTTAGCTAAATATCTAGGTGGTCAGTTGGGCGGCGGGGCCGGGGCGGCCAGAAGACGGGCGGGGCGGCGGACGTGCCCGGCGCGGCGCCGGCCGACGTATTGAGCGCGTATTGCAGACGCGGTCACGCGCTGCAATATTGCGTTCGCTCTACGATATTGCCCCTCAGTAACTCAATTTGATAAATTGTGCAAAGTTCGCCCGCTCCGTACTGCAGCCGGTTACATCGATACGCGCGTAATGAAACTCTCCTCCGTACCCAACTATGCACGATGCGAGGACTAGATTAGATATGCGGCAAACTGCATGCTGCAGACGAGGCGTTACATTCAAACTTGTTCTTTGATACTACTGAGATATCTTCGAATGTTATTTAATTTTCATTTTCAACATTTTTTTATTTATGGAAGAATGAAATGGAAACTTTAAATAAAAACTTTTTATATTCTTGAAAATTGCAAAGTGAATTAAATTTAAAGAAACAGAAATTTTCTTATAAAATTAGAAAAATGGCGCTCTAAAATCTTTCCGAACTGGCGCGGTTGCGTGTGGTCGCAGCTTTAACGGCGGGAAAATGATTTATATTGTTTGTGTAGCGGCGTGGTGCGCGGGGTGAGAGAGCGGGGGGTTTCAGGCCGGTCGCTTTCTCAAGCAGATCCAGTCCACTGCAGATATGGGCGAGTATTATTATTGATCCGGCTCGGGTGGTCGGCGGTTGGCATTTCCTACCGTTCATACTCGGGCGGGTGGCGGGCCGTTTCCGACATATTTATTGAGGGCAGGGCACCGCGATGTATACAGACGAACGTGCAACTTATTACGAGTTACGCAGACAACCTTGGTGCACTAGCCTTTAATGAAACGGGGTCTGGGGAGAGGGGGGAGCAACGTAGCTTACACCCTCGCCCAATCCGAGGTTGTTATGATATTATATCATGTTATAACAGCCAATAGGGAGCCGTTATGATATTGTAGGCGGGCGGCCGTAAGTGCAAGCAGTTTTCGAGGGCGGGCGGGAATATGATATTTTGTTATGAATGTAATGGGGTGCGATGACAACTGGCCTACGTCTACTCCAATAATAAGAAGTTGACAAGTTTCATGAGTTTATATGAGAGTTTATATAGTAAAAATTTGTAAGAAAAATTTACGAAATGTTAAATAGGGATGTTTTATATTGTTTTTGGGTTGTGTAATTATAGTAAGGATGTGGAAATATGTATTGAATATTTTTTTGTTTTTCTTTCACTTTCACGTCAACCAAATTAAGTTTAATTGGTTTTATTTTTTACCCACGACGGAACGGAGACGGTATATGCGTTTGGGATGAGAGGATGTTTGTTTGCTTGTGTAAATTCATGTTGCTATTTTTCTCCGAAACTACTAGTCTGATTTTGATGCAGTTTTCAGTTATGGGTTTGGCTTTGATAGGTGCACGTTCTTAGATAGGTATTACGGTGACAACTCACCAGGGGGTGCTGCAGCAAACATTACATAAATTGTAGTGCTCGAGTTCCATTTATTGATTAAAACTGAGCACTAATGAAAATTTTGTTTTATTTCAAGCTTTCATTACATCACGGTTACATTAATCATGTACTAGATATTAATATGTCGTTTAAAGGCATTGTTAATTAAATAGGGATTCCGGTCGTGTGAAAAGCGAGGTTAATAAAATTGAGTACATAAAAAGCGTATTGAATTAAACGACGTCCTTGTTCGACGAATGCGCTGATAATAAAACGATAATAAACAAGCGCCTTTGTAACAAACTATAACAGATCGGTAATTGCTTCCACGATACCTTCTCGCGTTATTACGGCTTTTACGACGCCGTATGGGGGTGAATAAAACATTTTTACGAGCGGCCATGGCTGTTATTATACATATATAGACGCATGCGCACATATGTGCCAAAAGGTAATAAACAGTATGAAACCTGTATAGCTATTCTGCAAAATACGGGCAAGTGTCTTTACATTATTGTGGAAATGTTGTTTGTAGCAAATATAGAACTCGCGACGTCCCTTCAACTTCTATCGCAGTAAGATAATTCAATACATGCAAAGACGTCGGGTAGTGTATAAGTCCCTCGGCACTGGACGGCAACGCAGACGAACACATTGCTCCGGGTCACTCAAATAGATTGCGTCATAGCGTAATGCCGTCCCAGAGCGCAAAACAATTATAGCAACGGAATGAATAAAGCATAAACCGTCTCGTCTCATCGCTTGCTTCGGCCCCAGACGGCCTTTTCCTTTGTCATCGACCGTATGCATGCTACATTCGTGAGCGAGCCAACAGTATATATCTATTTTTTTTCTATTTTTTTCCACCACTCTGGGGACACTTTTTCGACCCTCGTCCGAGCGGCCTCTTTGAAAAGTGGACATCGGAACGCGGGGGAAGCAGCCCCCGAGGACACCGGACAGAAAATGCGTTGTAAACATTGCAACTACATTCAATTTCCCGTCATTTTTCAAACTGATAAATAATTCTGTCATCGAGCTCTCGGACAGGGGTCGCTATGAAGTGATTGTCGACGGACTCCGCCGTAAAAAATATCGGCCGATGAGACCCGGCCCCATCTCCTCGCTTCCGTGTGTGCGATAAATTTCTTTTTTATTATCAGATATCGAGGGACTACGGAATCGAATAAAGCGCTCATATTTAATTCATAAGATACCGGCCATATAGTGCTACGCTACGCTATTTTATTTAAGATGTTGGAAGATTACGGCCGCTGCGTGCCTCGCAAAAATTTGCTACGTTCAAAATAACGTAGAACACTCTTTAATGTTAGTTCGATATTACTTTGATTTTACACTGTTTAATTGACCTTCTAATTGTTTAACAAATCAATACTATAACACTATTAGATACATCTTTATTTTTCATCTTAGATAATTTACAAGCATTCGACAATTAATTATTTTAAAACGTCAATCAATTGGAGATACTACTACTAGGAAATAATTATAGTTGCCCTTCATATTTTTTTGACTATGATGTCGTATCCTGGGTTCGATTGTTAAACGAGTAAAATTTTTGCGTTACTTTTGAGATGTCCTTTGGGTCCATGTTTCTTTGAGAAATTCCAGGTGATATTTGAATTATTTCTTAGTTAGAGAGGAGTATTTTTTTTTTTTTTAGCAAGAAATTTCTTTAGCATCTACGAAGTTCTATTATTATAATATTGCAATTACAAAAGCATCTACATGATATTGCAAACCAGTCCGTTCTTCCACTAAGCTATTAATAGTGTGGGTATAAAAGTGTGGGTCAGGAAAATGTAGCGACTCAATTTAGTAAGAGCTAGTTAGTGTCGTGTGTGTATTTAAACCAATCATTTTAGAATAGGGACTGCATGAATAATGATGTTATAATGCATATAACAGACATAAAACAAATATAAACACAAAAAAATTGTCACATAACCGAAACTAAATTTTCAATCTCTGCTATATTAGAGTGACTACACCTAGTTGATTGTTGTTGTTTTTGTTGATTTAACCAGATGTAGGTTGATGATGAATGAGACCATGATAACGACACTGTCTAGCATTTTCTAAATATATGTTGTTACGAGAAGAGATTGTCGATGCAAGATTTTAAAGTCAAGTTTTTCGATCGGCTGTGTGTTTTATTTTAATGAGTTTGATTGTCAAATTGTTTTAATTCAGTAGTTTTAATTAAAAAAACAATTGAACGCTTGCAAATTAATTTACATTATTTTATTGGATCCGTCATTTATTATCTCCGAGCCATAAATGTCCGGCAGATGTGTCCAATACATTTACAGTGTCCGTGGTAAGAATAGGCCATTGGGGGTCACTCGTATTAAATAACTTTCCGACGGCTAAATGAAATGGGGGAATCGAGTAGTAATGTTCCCGTTTTTAAATTTTTTCTGTAAGTCCTCTTTTATGAAATGACGTGATCGTTGTAACTGTGAATTTCGATGAAAACAAATTACCTATAACATTTTTTTTTACTTTAAAGTTTTTCATCAAACATTGATGTTTTATTCAATTTAATTTTTTAAAGATTTGAATAAAGATATTATATTATGATTATATTTTACTTAATTTTCACCCGATATTAATTACCCATATCAACTTTCTAAATAAACTCAAATAAGAGATTGTAGGTACATTGACGATCCATAATACTCAAAATAAACAGAAAACGCGAAGGTGATATAATTTTGGTGGATTCAAGTCGTAGCAAAGGGTCCTTTTTAGGTTAAAAAAAGTTGTCACTGCTTCTAGTAGTAACTTCTAGTAGATAAAAAAATTTTGCTGTTATGTTACAAAAATTATTTTTCTCCTGGATCTGCCGTCTTAACCTTTGCTATTTTAAACATATATGTTATTGAATAATAAATAAAAACAAACCAAAGAATATATTTTTCTCCCAATTACTGTTATTGAATATTATAAGAAAATATCCTGCAACATTTTTTAAAAGTATATTGACATAAATTAGCATAAATATTGAGATAAGGAAATTCCTAAAATAATTGAATAGCCGATATTTATTATTAATCTTTAATCCAGGATATTGGGCCTAATTTTGGATTACAAATTATATGAACGGGCATTTCATACAGAAATCACTGCCCATATCTTGAAAATAGTCAAGTCAATGTCGTATTATTATGTATTATTTACAAGTTTATCATGACCGGAATCTAAAAACAAATTCAAGAAGTTAATTTACGTAATGAGGTTCAACAATCTGACTAATTAAGGCACAGCTCAACTATTCAAGAACCGGAACGAGGCTTTACATAAAAAGGTGAAGTAACAAGGTACTTCCCCTAAATCCTTACGGCGATTGCAACGAACACGTCTGATAGAAACTGTTTATATTTTATTCATACATTGTATTGTTGGAATATCAATTGCCTCGCCCGGCGGTAGGTAAAGGGTACATTTCCAATCCGCACGGGATTCACTTAGATTTGAAGGAAAATAGATTTCGATTTCCAAAGCTGCGACAAAGCAATCCGATATATTTTTCAGACAGATATTGCTAGCGATTTCTTTTGAGCTTTGAAATATAAGGGAGGGAATCTAAAAAGATTGCGTGTATTTTCTTTTTCATATCAAGTTGACATGGTTCGAATAGTAGGCAAAAAATAAATAAAGTGTTGTATTGTCGTCGAGAACATTGTATACTTAAGCAACAAGAAATAAACTAGATGATTTGCAGTGTTTTCATAAATTAGATCATATCTAGATCTAGTTATAGTATTTTTATATTTTACATTTTAGAGAATAATTTGGCAGTTAAGTCAATGCCGTTTACAAACGAAGTCAGGATTTTCCTCTTTTTAATTTTGCCAGCAGACAATGCATTAAAGGAAAACGTTAAAGGGGAGAACAGCGACCCCTTTACGAAGTGATTAATTTATTATGCTCTTTGTTTCTATTTTGATTTTGCTGAACAAAAACAATGAAATATAATGCAATATATTTCAAAGGGGGGATCTATGTTCCGTGATAATAGTTCATTTCAGTAATTGCTACCGGTATTGCCTTTCCTCTGAGATTATTTAATTTCTGAGTTGAGATTTAAATCTTAATTTTGCTCTGGTGTTATTAATTTAAAAATTCTTTTAAGTGTTTTGACATTATTTAAATATTATTGACATTGCCATATTATGACAGGGTTGCTTTTATTAAGTTTTGAGGAGATAATTGTTGTGTTCAATTTAATATTAGATATAGAGTACCTATACCTATTCGAATCTAGCATAAGTTATGTACCAACTCGTAAAAGTATCACTCGTGCAATATAAAAGTTAACGACACAAGAAAACGCGTTTTCCACAACATTAAAGATAACAACAATACGGGGGCGAGCGAGTGTAGAGCCTCCCGTGAGGGTGGCGGGCGGGGGTTGAGAAAAATTCAATATTAATATGAAGGAGGTGCGAGTGAGAAACTCTCGCAGTCTCGCTTGCGCGACCAATGGCGAGCCCCGCTGCCGCTGCGATATGATGAATTTATGGATGTAATAAAAGCGCGGCGTTCGATTGGAGGAGCGGTCAGGGAGAGCTTATTTTCTTTATTTTCATATTTAGAATAACGTCTTTAAGTCGCTTCGTATGACTCAAGCAGTTACGTCATTCCTCTTCTGATATTATATTATATGCCAAATATATCTACTGCATACCGACTGGTATCTACTGCACCCCGACGTTATTATACTTTAATAAACTTTTATGAGCGAATTCTGTTACTCACGATTTATGTAGCCTTTATTTTGTGTGACATGATGATCATGACGACGAAGAATAATTTTCAGAATTCTGTAGGTTAAAATCTTATTTCCAACTGTACGAAGTTAGTGAAGGCATTCATAGTACAAAGGTTAGTAACTGGCAGTTGATTGAGGCATGAACGACGTTGGACCGCCGCAGCCTTGAATTTCTTTCTTGATTCGCTCCTCGAGTGGCCGAAAACGACACTTGTATTTGCATGAACTGTTTCGGGGATTTCGTTTTACAGTCCGCTGTTCAACTTTATGTTGACAACATTTCACGTGTGAATCTCTGTTTTATTTGGTTACTGTATGTTGAGTGGTTATGCCGACGTTGCTACGTAAGTTATCCGAATGATTTTAATGAAAAGTATAATTTGTTTTAATAAAAATATTAAGCTACTAAAAATTTACATTATTCAATTTGTTTTATTTTAAAGTACAACGTTGTAACTGTTATAAACAATTACTCAGATAGTATTACAGGAGATTGAGTGTTTTTTAACTGGTTTTGCATCATCACGATAGGAATGTGGTAAAGTAGTTGTTTTTCGATGATCAAAATAGCTGTTGTCGAGCTAGCAGCATTTAATTTCCAATGTGTTACGCAAATAAAAGAGTGTGGTCGTGGACTTGCAGTTTGCTTTGTTTTTGTGTGTATACTTATAAAAACCACTTTCATATATTGTTACCAGTTTCACTTTATTTTGGAGTTTACGAATTTTAATCTTTTCCTAAACAAATATTTATCCGTAACTTTACGATTACGGGATTGATATTGCATAAGCATTGATCGTGAAGGAAAGCGAGGAGGCAGCCCTGGCAGCGGCAAAGACAACGCAGACAAAATAAATAGGAGGGCGGCGGCGTGCGGCGGGCCGGTGAGGCGGAAGTATTGGGGATCTGCGAGCGAGCAGTTTTGAAGTCCAATTATATCGCAGGTGGTGCAGATACGGCCCGCGGCGCCACCGGAGACTTGTCTGAGCATACTCCGTACGTAATATCGTACGGAACTCGGCAGCAGCATTTGCAATAGATTGTGTTGGTTTGATTGAGTGCACGTCATGGAATTGGGACTTTCATGCGTATTGAGCGAGAAAATTACATCTTTTGAAACAGGCTTATCGATCCGTATTACTTTCTTATGTGTTTATTTTGTAAATTTATTTATTTTATTTAGTTTCAGTTAATTTTATCGCCTCATATATAGTTTCAGACATTCGAGATTACTAGATGAGGTTATGCTTTTGATATTTTGATGTCCATAATGACTTAGTTCTTTAAATGAAATTCTTAGCATGTCTATGGCTTCTCTGCTACAAGCAGTATAATTTAAATTCTTAATAATTATGGTAGTCTTTATAAAAGGCTAGTTACTGTTACGATTTTAAAAGAAAAATTAATTTATTATTCTTTTTATCATAAACATATTTTTTGCCCTTTATTTTATTCTGCGTAAATAATTCTAGAACATTTTAGAAGCAGCATATTTGCACCAATTTTGCCGGTCGTAAAACAAAATTTATAAATAGCGATAAATAAAACAATAAGCTAAGTACACTGTTTAATTTTGTAATTCGATTAAAAAACACTGTTTTTGAATAGAGCCTCGCTTTCCGCGGAATGCAAAAAATTCAAAGGTAATCACATTTACGTAAGTACTTAAAGGAGAACAAAAGTGGAAGTTTCTCCGCAGCGAGATTCTTTTTCTTTGTTTGGTGTATTTATTGTAAATCTACTCATAGCGGCTGCGCGCCTGAAAGTGCTCCGACATAACTTTTATCTGGAGTACCCGCGTGCCGGTGGCTAACGTTCTCTTCAAATTATTGCCATGTTTTTAAACATATTAAAACGAATCGTTGGCTTTGTGGTGGACTGCTTTTATTTATCTCTCTTTTATCCGTGCTACATTCTTTCGATTTGTTTATTTTTTTTTACAAAGGTTCGATGGTTTTTATTATTTCTACGAACATATTAGGTACTTATAATCCGTCTTAGCCAGGACTAAAAATGATAAATTTGAGGGAACAAGTATCAAAAATAGCGTTATAATGTTGTAAATATTTAGTGATTGCTGGTGAAAGACGAATCAAATAAATGCACCAAAGTCTAATATTTAATTTGAAACTACGAACAAAATTACTACGTAAAACTATAACATGATTGGCAATTATTGCACATTTTGTTTCGATACTATTATAAATATTATGTAATACATTCCTTTTGCCCATTCCTCAAAACTTTTGTAAATTGCATGTTTGCAAATTTTTAATACTGTTGAATTCAGAACAAACATAGCATGCGCTAGTGCCGAAGACTCGTCACATAATTGACAGTCGATTTTCGGTGTTCCGACACTTTTAACGAGTAGTCGAAAATTGCCGATGGAGTAGTGAACTAAGTGGGGCGAGGCAGATGCGAGCGAGCGCTACCTCGTCTGGTTAATATGATTTGCTCCGGCGGCACTACGTCGCACCGTCTGCCGCTGACGTTTTAACAAAGTTAATAAACCGGTGCACCGATGCACTAGTTTAACACTTGGCACCGGTTGTGATGTCACGTTTAAAAAAATACAGGTGTGATTCGGACACAATGATAATATTTTGAGGATAATCATGCTCAATGATTGTTTATAGGTCATTCTGTAACGGGATGCCTGTTTTCACACTATGGGTACTGCATAACGATTGAAATAATAGAACTTTAAATTACACATAGGAAATATAATAAAGCATCTACTAACACTAAACAATGTATGCTGATTATGTATAAGGGCATATGGGTGACATATTTCTGTGAATGGATATCATTTCCTTACAAAGTAAACTATAAAAGGGGCGCGTTATAATTGTTAAAAACAAAGAAAAGTTATATCATTTCAACTTATTCATAACTAGCGACCCACCTCGGCTTCGCACGAGTGCAATGCTGAATGTTTGTTTTCGACATCGCATTAGAAACCTTTAAAATAATCAGTGTTTCTCTTCTATATTATGCATAAATCTAATATATAAATTTCTCGTGTCACGGGGTTCGAACTTGAACTCCTCCGAAACGACTCGACCGATTTTTACCAAATTTTATATGCGTATTCAGTAGGTCTGAGAATCGGCCAACATCTATTTTTCATCCCCCTAAATGTTAAGGATAGTCCACCCCTAAATTTTTTTTTTATTTTTTAGGCAAAATTTTTTGTTTTTATTTTTTTATGACACAGCATACAAAAATACATACAACCCTAAATTTTCACCCCTCTACGCAGACGTAGTCGCGGGCAGCAGCTAGTTATAGCTATAAACCTTCCTCTTGAATCACTCTATTAAAGAAAACCCCATCAAAATCCGTTGAGTATTTTTAAAGATAAACTAAGCATATATAGGGTCAGACAGACAGCGGGACGACTTTGTTTTATACTATGTGGTGACTAGCTATTATTTATATTACCTCGTGTTTTATTGCTTATTTCAGGTACATTGAAAGTGGAGTGTTGCAAACAAATGCAATAATAATCAATCCTCATAAAGTACGCGCGGAACCATTACAACACGATGTGGCTAGAAGTGCCGCAGAAGATGTGTAGTGGGCATGGGGCGGTGGAGGTCCAGTCTTGAAGATACCCGCAGGGTGTGCACCTCCCCTCCCAGCGCATCCCCCCTCAACCCGCCGCCGACTTGCTTATTCTATCAAGCGTGGTCACACACGCGCGCGCCGTACGTACACAACGCACACGTGCACATGGCATTATACGGCCGGCCACCACTCCACTATGTCAATACAATACGGTCTCTTCAGCTGGACTTAGATTATTTAGAAAGCACTTGTAACGTTCATATAAGAAGCGCCGCGGAAGACGTTTTCCACGTCACAATGGCCGGTACGTGTCGGCTGAAGCTAAGACGGGATACGCTGGAAAAGATTAAGATCCTAAAAAAACAGCGTCCAGCCGTATCAACATTTTATATTCTTATACTAAGACTGAATTGATTCAGTCGAAAGTAGGTGTAGCGTTTCGTAGTAAAAAAAAAATTACTGCATACGAATCCTATTACGAAAATAAAATGTGTATTTTGAAAGAAGTTAAATATTATTGTGTAAAAAAATATGATTTTTAAAATTACTTATTATCTCTCACGATTTTATAACTGTAATACGATTTAATAAATAATGTAGACGGTCTTCAATAATTTAAGAGCATTGAAATAATGAAAATTTAATTGATTTTCGGGGTTGTTACATGCATTAAACATGACAGGGAAAGACCATCACAGCCATATCAACTGCTATGGGTGAAGAGCCGTGAGAGTACGCCGTTGGATGCGGATTATCCGCTACGCGGCTACAGCGTAGCCCTTAAAGCTGCAACGCTTGTAGAGCTACCAAGAGCGTAAGGATTTTGATTTGAATATGAATAGTATTTAAATATTCAAAAGAAAGAAAATTTTAACTAAACAATAAACACTTTATCATATAAATCGTGTGGTCTTAAATAGCTTCAGTAAAATTAATGAATCTATTACTATATGTGAAATTAATAAGTGTCTAACTTGAGCGAAAATCTATGGTGAGCGTGTGTGTAATTCCGTTGTATCTTAAACGATGGCTGTGAGTGTGCAGAGACAACGGTTCATGTGTGGGTACTTTCATAAATCTGTCGGGAGATATATGAGAGCGCAATTTCCGGTATCCGGCCATTAGCGCCGAGCTTTTATAAGCTTAAAGCTTAGGTTAAAGATTTTCTGGGTAGTTTAATGTGAATCTTGTAATAGATACGATAAATTTTCTATAAAGTATGTGATTGCTTATTAGGAATTTGTGCGGGACCTCTTAATGTGTGTAAGTCGCCTTAATGTATGTTTGCGCTTCCTTAAATGTTGATTTTGGTACCAATAAAACCTTTCGCAACACCGACGCCATGGTAAGTCCATTTAAGAATAAAGATTTAATAAAACGTTCTCTTTTTATTATTTAGCAGAGAACGCGCCTAAGAATCGACTAAATAAATAATTTTTAAACAATTGTGGATGGGACTAACGACTTGGGTGAAAAAGTTGAGTAACAACGACTTATTATTTTTACTGACCGTAAAACTTTCCAAACCCTAGCAGCATCTTTGTGCCAAATAATTTCATAATTTTTTATGCTACGAAGACCATATCATGGTGTGAATATATGATAAAATAATAATTCGGCTTAGTTGTTATTTTATAAAAAATAATATTTTAATAAAATAACAACTAAGATGTATAAATCTGGCTGGAATGAGTTAAATGCTGTCACGTTTGTAAAAAAATTAAAAAGGGCCATTTGTTCCGGCTGTCCGAGCGGAGTGCAGTGGTGACTGAGCAGTCACTTGTCTGCAGCTGCAGCGCCCCGCTGGTGCTGTCACTGGCCTCTCAATAATGCAACAATGCACACCCATTGTTCCCCCTAACGCTACAACTACACCTGACATGTGAAATTAAAAACCGTCACAATATAATACGGTATAGAATGTAGATATTTTTTTTTCAAATTTTTTGTGCAAATTTGTGTGATTTAGTGCGTTTTCTGACTTTCTTTAGAGTGGATGAAGTTATCTTTATTAGATTTTTTATGGTATTCTTTTATGGCTTCATTATATGTAAAAGCAAGTACTTACTTCCAAAATTTTGTATACACGTCTGTGAAAACACAATATTTAAATTACGTAGATATATAAATTATACCAAGTACTTCTATAAGTGGACTTATTATCTCTTAAAAATGGTGTTTCAATAAGATGTTATTCTCTTTGTGAGTTTACTAAATTTTAAATTAAGATCATATGAACGTATTGGATTATTATTTTTCTTAGACAGTGCCTCTACAAGAAATATTTTAAAACATTTTGAGTGTCTCTTTTCTCAATTAAAGGAACAATCTTCATAAATCAATTTCCCCTCGAATTGAATGTCAATAAGTAGGGACGTTTGTTAAACGACGCGCTGTAAAATAAAACTTTACGGAGGGCGGAAAGTTCGAGCCGAAAAGAATATTTACATCAATTCTCTTCATTATGTTTTGAAGAATAATCATGGACAGCGTTTCCTATTCCGCTTTCCCAATTGAGTTTTTTTTACTTGAATATTTTTTGCACTCCCCTGAGTTCTTCTCTGTGTAACAAAAGGAAGTTTTTATTAGCATCTTAATGATTTTACGGCGAATCCCCAGTTACAACAGCCTTTATGTCGTCAGATTTTCTTAAGGATTTTTGTCGACTTTTTTGCATCTTACATTATTAAAGTTTTCATTCCGTCACTTAATGAAGCTCATTTCTTCTGTTCCGTCCGAGCCTTGATTGCCTTTTTTTGCATAAATGCAAGATTTCTACAGATATTGCCTGGAGACCCGAGTAAATAAAAGGCTGGATATTTGTTTTAAAATAAGATAATTAGCTGTTACGCTCCATTATGTGTTATTCACTTATTCTGAATGTAAATGTGACTACCCATTCCATATAACTCTTCTGCCTTAGAAAATATTTATAGAATTTACGATGTGGCTAGATTGACTAAAATAAAAAAAATTATAAAAAAATTCCAAGAAAATCCGTAAATCCCAAGTATTCATTCATTATATAAGAACTATTTGCTTTATGCTGGCGTTGGTATCTTTTACCGTGGCGATTACGTTTTCCTGGTAAGCTTTACGCACCACAAAATAATAATCGTCTGGAAAATCGAGGAAGCTGTATGTAATGTTATGGGAGGAAGGAACGTCGTATTTCTCGAGTCACAATCGAGTCCGAGATCTTGCTTTCTTTTTAATTTCCCTGCGGCCTCCTAATGAGATCCCTCCGGCGGCTCCGCGCCGTTATCTATGATATTCTTGAGGTTGATGTTTATTGTGCGTGTCACTGATGACTTCCCTTTTTATTATCCTCTCGAAGACGATTCAGCGGTCGCCCAAATGAGTTCTGCTCATTTGCTTTGCTCTTTTTATTTCTCTTGGCGGTAGTTTGTCTTTTGTCAGCCTTAATTTCTTTTAACTTTATTACAGGGAATTACAACGAAAATTCTTTTTCATTTGTTTCATTATTTAAAGCATATTTAAAAAAAAATCAAAGGAAATAAAAAAAATATTTACTTTTAAATGTTCGTTTTGAGTCTTAATTTAAATATTTCGACCACTAGTTCGTATACCAAAACACGGTAGATATTATATCAGGATTAGACAATGAAATCCGAGATCCCAGGACACTTTCGCTTCGGAACAAAAATGCTACGGACCCTTGCAACAAATTACCCGACTCCGCCTACACTTATCTATTAAAATGAGAGATTATTGTCGGCTCAAACGTTACACCCAATAGTCTGGTGTTATTTTCACTGGATTGTCCAATATTGTCACAATCTCTATGGAAGGGCAATTAGAGACGTGTCGCGCGTGTCGGCCACGTGGCGTTTAGCCGTGTTGCGTAGCGCCAGTCGCGTAGGAAGACCGCACGCGCCCAGCCACCCTCATTACCACCAATGTTTATACTACGCACAGCACCGGCTTACGGGCTGTGAGCGATATATTTGATTTATAATATTTGACAATCCCTTATGCAACATCTCTTTTCGCTAACGCATTCCTCGCATTGTTTACCCGATGTTCAGACAAGAAAAAAAACGCTATTAATGTATTATTTTACGAAAAAGGTAACACCACCCAATGTGGTTTGATGAAATTAATTAATCGATTTGCAAGGGGGGAAATTCACGTGTTGAGAAAGCCCCCATTGAGGAATTCGCTTCATTTAAATATCGCATTTTTATCGAAGATTATACCTTACGACAGCTATAAAAGAAAACAGGAGTTCCGCCCCTCGATAATGCGACGGGCGTGAGGAATTTTTATTTCATTCAAATCTCTCCTGACATAGGTATATTTTTGCAAGATCGCCTGGAGATTTTAATACCCGATTTTATTTAAATTCGTTTAGGCGGCGCGGGTGACTGCGCCCCAAGACATTTATCGAGAGGGCGTGATTGTATTTATAAGTAGAAGGATTTTCTTTGCTTGTAATAATATCAAGTGACTTAGAAATATTAAAGAAGTATATTGATTAAAATTATTATAATTCAAAATTATTATAGTTTTTCTGGTGTTAAGAAAATAAGACAATATAATGTAGGTATAATTAAACCGGTCACTTTTCTAAGAAATAATCTAATAATCCAATTAAAAAAAATATGTTAATTTAATATTTTTATAATATTTTGAATTTTCTCTGCTTACACCCATACGCGGATATTTTTTTTATCCATTGAAGGTTAATGTTGTTATTATGATTCATGAGCATTCATATTTGCCATCTAAACCATTTGCTATATGGCTAGTACTAAAAAATTAAATTAGGTTTGTATTCATCCCTTACATTTGATTTTACACTATTTCAAAATTACATTTTTTACCTTTATAAAAGAAAAACTTCGTTCCCAATGCTCACCCTAATGCAATCTTTTCGATTCACGTCGTCATCATTCACTTAGCAAAACGTCATGTGTACCTTTTGCAGTTCTTTACAAGAAGTAACGTTGCAAGCTCCAACTTGTGCGGTGATCATTCTTCATTTGCAGGACATTTCTAGCTTTATATTGACCGATGGATCTTTATATTGTAAGAATTTAAGAATTAGGCTACATTTTAAGAAAACTTACACTTTTTTCGAAATCTGCATTTATATACTTAAAACATAAACACTTCTTTTCGGTCACTTTATCCTAAAAGAAAACAGAGTCCTAAAATAACAACGTAAAGCAGGTAGAATCCAAAGTGATTTGGAAAAGGATCAAGGCAATGAAATAGTTGCAAGTTGTAAATATGATAACAATGTATTAAGTGAATTCGTGTTGTGTTAAACTTTTATTGAACTTATTTATTCTTCAGCATTATGTACGTTAAAATGTTTAAATTATATAATAAAAAGATATTAATTTACAACTAGGAAGAAATTTACTTTTGTATGTTTCATACAAAAACGTGTTTCAAACAGGAAGAAAACTTCAACAACACGTCGCAATCAAATCACCCAGAAAAATGACTGTAATCTTTCGCAACGTATTCGTTACTTCTGTCCCAATGAAATCCACCGACAAAATTTTCCTTGCCATTTGTTTCCATCGTGCAACATCTTTTCGTATGAGGCGAGTTCCCCGTTAATATATGTGCCCGGAATACCGTGGTCATATATTACGCCGACCTCTGCCGGACCGGACATAACAATCCTCGATTTGCTATAATATCGCGTCGTGCGTCCTTTTCGGGCGGGCGACGCGGATGCGCGAGTGAAAGAGGCAGCGGCGGTCTGTGCGGCGGCTGGGCGGGCGGGGGCAGAGTATACGTGCCGCGTATAATAAGCATTTCATGCACGGGGTGCGGGCGCGGGGTCTGGAGGTTACGTAGGTACCATTTTCCGTAAGTCGTGTACCTAACCGGACCGTACATTATGAGCCGAGGGTCAGCGCGCCTCTTGCTCCGTCCCTGTCGCTCGCAGGAGCGGCCGAGTATAATTTCGCGTAATATATCGCGGACGCCCGGGTCGCAGTGATGGACCTCTATGAGGACATTACGCACATATACATTTTAGCAAGACTAAGGCACTGTCGAATATTTTCTGTGAAGTGTCGGTCTAACATTTTTTCTGATTAATGTTTTTGTTCTTTGTATTAAAACAATTTATATATTTCCCCTAAACCCCCCAACATTAAATCACTAGGTGCGTAGATAGCGGTCGCTGAATTCATCTTCTATCTATGCGATTTATGCACGAGAAGGCAGTAAAACGGAACAATAAAAACCCAAAACAGTAATAAATTTCCGGCAATAGACGAAAAGGTTCGAGCGCCTCTTATCAATTCCAGCCACGCGTTAGATTCCATTCGCGCAATAAACTTATGACGTAAACTTCCATTTCAGCAAATTATTTTGTTCTTTGAATTAGTCCTACAGAACTTTATCAAATGGAAGTTGAGGAATGAAAACAGGTAAACTGGATACTGTGTTTGTTTACAAGCGATCAACACTTGGCGGACAATTGTAGAGGGTCAAAGGTAGATAAAACAAATAGAGTATACGAGTATACTGTCCACCGAGGGTGGCCCATCTTAAAGGGCAGAAACACGACCGCGTCGTGGACACCGCAAGATGTTCTTTATGCATTAGTAATGCCTCCTAATTGAAAACGAATTAAACTTTCATCTGATATCTCCATCTTCTATTCAAGAGACGTTAAATATTTTAAACTAGACTGTGGTTGATTTTAAGTAGTATCTTGTGCCATTATATTTTTTTGCGAAGGCAATATAACGAGCGCCCCACGTTGTTAATAATTCGTAAGTCGCGCTCCGGTGCACTCACAATAGTAATTCATTATCATTAATGCCTCGGCCCAACGGAGATATACGATACATCGCACTGATTGACCCCGCATTAAAATTACACAGAAACGGACAGAGAAAATGGAAAAAACTAACGGGGCCACTTGCCTTCTTTGTTTCTACTCGTGCACGGCATATAAAATATTTATAGCACGGTGAATCGATAGCAATCATGGTCACCGTTTACGTCATGGGCAGGGATTGCACGTAAATGTGGTTAGGAAACATTTAATAGCACCTTTAATTCGTTAGGTTAATTTCGAGGGGGCACGAGGCAGGCGGGCGTAGCGATGGCCGCCGGAGGGTCGAATAAATATGTCCCAAAGAGTTAAGTAGCGGAGAAGTGCGGCGCGGGGACCGCGTCCGACGTTTACTCTTCTCCTAGCGTTGTTGCACCACTTATTACACACAAAGTTCTGCTAAAGTTTCCACCGGCACTCGGGCGCGAGTTTAATTTACTCGATAGTGTAAATAAAGCGGGCGAAGTGGGAAGTTTCGTGGCGAGACTGCCTCTGGCGGCGTGGCGGCCGAGTGATAATAACCTACCGCCCGGGACTTTCTTATTAATCGAGAACGACAAATTTTAACGACAAGAATTAATGAATCTCGTTACATGGGTTAATCCCCCGGTCGTAAAGTGCGCGGCGTTGTTAAGGTGTGCGAGGCGGGCGGCCGCCGCACACCTACGTTAGACTACCTCTTTAAATGGCCTTTATTGTTGTTTCATTTTAATGTGTATTGACAATTATTTTATTATAAATGAAGGACCACCAGTCCTTTTACCTCTTCTTTTTATTAAAAGATGCCGAAAACTATGTACACGTAGGGTATTTGGGTTTTGTATCTTTTTTATATAAAACAAAATTTTTATTGACAGCGATTATTCCATATAGAATATCAATTCCATATATTGTCTTGGCATAGCATTTAAATTAAAAGCAAATTTTAAATTGCCTCTCAGATTATGTATAGGCGGCAAGATGAAACTAGCGGAATGGCGACTTGACTGAGGGGCCCGAGATATATTGCCCAGTTAACGAGCATGTGTGAATGGAACTTTATTGTAATTGCCTTTTGTAAGATCGGGACAGGGTCATTACGATCCCTGCTCATAGCCTGACCTCCATTTGGCGATTCTTACTTTTAGATGTTTGCGACAAATCATGTACCTATAAACACTCGAAATGTGACTAGTAATATGTTAGATTATAATTAAATAATATAATATAAAAGATGCATCAAAAAGATGTCTAAAACATCTGATATTAAAAAAAAGTTAAACTGATTGTTCCATTTAACTTTCTTGCGGTGAGAAATTGACACATTTATAAAACACACGATTTCAATTATGTTTAAATGAGTCGTTGATATTGAATTCTATCAGCGGGTAGAGGTAATGCGTGTATATTCATCAGGCGAAGAGGCGTGCGGTACATTAGGGGGCTCTGGCGGCCTCAAAGCCAGAAGACTGATTGTGTCTATCCGCAATTTCTCTCCTGCCCTATTCTCGCGAGCTAAAACTAGCGAGTTTTCCGCCGCGTTATTAAGCGGTCGCTTCTACATTTGTCGTTATAATGGAAACGTGTTACTAATTAATTTTGAGCGCGAGTCGTTTATGTGGAAATGCGTGCCTATTAAACGCTGGTGAAGGGACGGCTTTCAGGCGTTGTTCATACGAGACGCGTAATTATTTTCGGAAAAGTTGAGCGTTTCTGCACCATAGATGTGGACTTGGCGTATATTTAGCGAACGCGAAAATTATACGTGGTCTGGTTACAAGCACTCTCCCCATTAAGTAGAAGCGAACTCATTCTCGGTAAGACTAATCAAATAACAGTCTCCCCCATCGGGCGCCCCTCAGCCCGGCTTGCCCCCGCCTCGCGGCCAGTGGTCATCTCTCTTATCGATTGTGGTGGAATTCGTGCAGGGAATGCGATGTTTCCCGGCAATCGCTACAACAGATAAGACTTTAATTTTCTATACGAGGCGACTAGAAAATTGTCAGTAGAAATATACTTACTGTTGCGTCTCAATATATTTATTGTAATATTTTGTATGTTAAACATAATATTCATAATTATCTAAAGAATATTGACAGACATAAACTAAATACTAGAAATAAGGACAAATTAACTACGCCATTGTTTCGTCTACAAAAAGTAAACAGGTCGTTCATGGGGCAGTGTGCGCATGTATAATAAAATCCCACAGTCAATATTGAGTGTGCCACTTGATGAATTTAAACGAAAAGTTAAAAGTAAACTTATGGCTAAAGCATATTATACTATTGCTGAATATCTTGACGACGCCAAAGTGTAGGGTTAATACTGTTGATACTCACGTAGGCTAGAAAAGACTGAACATTAAAACATGTAGAAAAAGTACGAAAAGATTGTCGCCGCTGTGGGAATCGAACCCACGTCTTCGGCATTCGCGGCCTGACGCTCTAGCCACTGAGCTAAACGGCTGATAGCCACAGCGACGAAAATCTTAACGCCTTCTTTCTACATTGTTATTTAGCATTTGAAGCAATGCTTGGCGCATCTATTGTTATATCCTTTCTAGCATACAAACAATTTCGAATATCGTTTTACAACGATAATTCGAACGAGAGATGTCGCCATTGCTTTTTATAAATTTTTAAAGTTTTTTGTAGTACTAATCTCTGCACTTAAGATTGAACATTAAAACATGTAGAAAAAGCACGAAAAGATTGTCGCCGCTGTGGGAATCGAACCCACGTCTTCGGCATTCGCGGCCTGACGCTCTAGCCACTGAGCTAAACGGCTGATAGCCACATTTAATGTTCAATTTTAAGTGCAGAGATTAACACTATAAAAACTTTAAAAAAATTTAGAAAAAGACTGTTATACCTGTAACATTATATTGTAAACTGACCTTTTAAAAAAGAGCAACTGTTGAGTTTCTTGCCGGTTTCTTCTCAACATAAACTGCTTTCCGAACTGGTGGTAACTTACGAACATATTAATTTCCTTGTAAAATTTCGACGTTTTATAAGAACGCACAAGCGTCTATGTGAATAAAGATATTTTATTTTTATAGTGTAGCCAAGGGCCGAAAAAGGTTGCCGCATTTTAGTGTTGTTTTGAAATGTTTTTATTAGGTCATTTTTTTTGCAGGATATTTTTGTTCCTGCTGGTGTGGTGAGAATAAGTACTATTTAATAAAAAAAAAATATTTCAATTCGACAAATACTGGATTTGAAAAGAGAATGTTATAATTTCATGGAGGAATTAACATTTGACGATCATATGAACTTACAATTCACAACTTTTAATGGATTTTACATTTACAACGCTCTATATTTAATACGTGAAATGTTATTGGCGGATACTAAACATAATGCAATACGATGGGTGATGAAAAGCTAGAAAGTCTGTGACAGAAATGGCATAATTAATATGAGTTATATTATAATGTAGTTTAGTAGGTAAAATATTCAAATAAAATACTTGTTTTCACTGACAATATGCCAAAAATGAAATAGAATCTATGAATATTGTTTTGTAAAATTAAAAGATGCCTTTTTCGATAACGACAAGTCGACAGAAGGTCTTATTCTGCATTTATTTGAACAATTACGTTTTGTTGTTATCATTAAATACACATTGAAACATATCTCGCAGCTGTAACTTTCGATAGGTCTATCTGTATTAGTTTTTACATATTGTATCACAATAATTTTTGTTAAACAAGTACTGTACAAGTTTGATAAGTACTGCACTAAAATTTGTTTAAGTTCTGTATGTTTCTACGTTATTCAGCGGCGCACTTTCTCGCATTTTCTTTATGGGAATAATCCTTGAATCCTAATTGAAACCTTGAAGCCCAAATTGAACTACGACATTTCGACTGAGTTAGGTGCTGAAACTGCACTCAGAGTGGGCAGACGGGGCCTGTGATGCCACCGCCTCGTTCCACCATGTAATTCTAATGAGTATTACTGTCGTCCGTCTAGCCCGTGTCGTCCACCCCGAGTTGCGGCTACATCGTTGTGTTACCATACAAATGCGTCTCTACATTGATAGAGAACTAAATGCTCACATGCTAAGCGCGTGTACGATCGCTCTTCGCTTGAAAATATAATAGAAAATTGACACGTGCCAGTGTCAAAAGAAAAAAAGTGAGTCCCAATGTAAACGTTTTCCTTACGCATCCTTAATTGATTATTTTTGTTTATATTTTTGATGAGAAAAGTCAATGTTTTTAAAATTTGATTTTTATTCAATAGGCTAAGTAATAAATTATGGAGCCTATGTTTAGAACTATAAAGGAAAGTGTATGTATAGCGATAAATATCTTAAGAAGTGGAGTACATTTACTTCTGATTGTAGGGTTCCGTAACTTAAGGGTAAAACGGGATCCTATTACTAAGACTCTTCTGTCCATCTGTCCATCTGTTATCAGGCTGTATCTCGTGAACCGTGATAGTTAGACAGTTGAAAAATTTTCACAGATGATATATTTCTGTTGCCACTATAACAGTAAATACAAAAAAAAAAAGAATAAAATATATTTAAGTGGGGCTCCCATACAACGGACATGATTTTTTTCCGTTTCTATAGATAATGGTACTTCGCCGGTTTTTATAAGAACAAACAAGTAGGTTTGTAACTTGTCCGAGACGTCAGTTGCATATTTGCTTTTACGCATATTATATTTTATAGTTAAAAAAAGTAAAATAAAGTATCAGACTATATATGTATGGGACATATATAGTCTGATACTTTATTTTCCTGGGCAAAGGCTTCCTCCATACTTTTTATTTTATTTTATTACGGATAACAAACAGCTAACTACGCTGAGGTAGTAATAATATTACAGCCTACTACATTAGCCTATTACGGCATAGTCTCGTAGGCGACCCCACTGCGGACTGGAGGACTTTACATATCTTTGAAGTATTGTCTTTTTGCTATGTTTTCCATCACCGTTACAATTTTATTACTTGCACAAAGTAATAAAATTGTTTTGATATTTCGTATTTCTTAATTAAATAAATATTAATTGAATTGCGTAGTTTGGGTATTTTAAATTATTAAAAAGATACCGAATTTACACGAGAACTATTCCACTGACTTTTTTGAGGAAAGAAAAGATTATTACGTTGTTATTGCATTCGTATATTTATGAACAGTATATTTTTATTTTCTCCAAAGATTTCCTCCACCCCTCGTGTTTTATAATCTTTGTCACTAATTATTAAATAAAAAAATAACAATTTCCTTCTAGTATACTTTCAATATTATAATATGTGTATCAAATGAAACGTCGTTGTAATATTACAAGTATTAAATTAAAACAAAGACAGTTTTTATCAATTATTGTTCTAGTTATTGTTCCAATATTGTAATAGGAAGAGATTTAATGGAAAAAGGTAGTTTGTATAGTCCGGTACAACCATACAACTTATTATCACAGGCCAAATGACGATTTCCGAAATAGACAGTCATTAGACAGCACGCGCTGCGCTTCTCTGTACATACAACGCTTCAGTGGACTGTGAAAATGATTTTGATTTGACCCTTTGCAGGGCGCTCCTACCGCAAAATTACATTTCCATTTCTGAGCTCGCTTTTCAAAGTGTATAACACTCCATTACAATCAAGTTTCATTAGTCAAAGATAAGTAACTAATTTATTTGTTTTATTACACCTTAATAATTGAAAATCTTATTCGTAAAACGGACAAAAAAATATTTAAGGGTATATTTGCAATTCATTAAAGGTAAAGGTTATGAATAATTTAATCTATTGACTCATTGACTGAATTGATTTCTATAATTTGACATATTATTTCATATGTTAATATCTTTTTTGTATTAAGTGCTAAAAAAATAGGATATCGGTATTTATTTTGCTTTTTTAATTAAAGAAACTCATAAAATTTCGACATCGAGGCAACGGTGCGTAATGGGGCTCTTATCCGTAAATGTGGCGACGGAGATAATTTAATTCCGGGAGTATCTCCTCTCATTGCTGATATATTCAGCAGCATATTCCCATATGTGCGTAATTCTGCGGAATGGCAAAAAAGGTCTGTTTGAGGGGTGAAATATGTAAATTTATTGTCTTGGGCGGCAACGTGCGGCGCGTCTCGCGGCGCCCCCGTCATATGCCGACACGTAGGATAAAGGAAATGTTAATGCGCGCAATTTATGTGCTTTTCTATGATTTCGCTGAATCGAGCCCGCCGTTTCCCCCTTTATAGCTTAGCTGAAAGACGATCTGCTCATGGAATGGAGTGTTTTTGATGTATTTAAAAGACTTCCTCGAGATATTTGATAGAACGTCTCATGTAAAAATAACAGGTACAAATGCTCATTTCTGATGTTGAAGAACACGTCGATGTATTAACTTGAATGATTATAATATATAAATTCTTTAAATAGTAGAATTAAATTATAAAATGGCAGTAGCAATGAATGATTACGAATCCACGGTCGGTAGACAAGCACCCAATCTGTTCCCCTCGCGATGTGCATTGACTAATTCACAAAGGCCAAATGTGACATAATACCAGCATAATTCAATGTTTTGCTCACCATATTGTATTTTATTTATGAGTTATGCCTCGTTGGCTATCTTGCTACCCTTTCCCACTGTTCAGACGGCATCGCTCCTTCCCTATCGCTCATCATATCGAGGGTGTTTTCATCCCGGCTGTATGAGCGGATGGTTAAATAGTACGAGTTAACTTACACCGCATCCGCTATGTGTCATTTAGGGGAACTGTGAACTTCTTTATGCTTTTAATATAGACAATTTGCAGATATTCATTTGTTTGTTTAGATCTGCAATAAAATACATTAAAATAATTGAAATTAAAATAAAAAATGGTAAATAATATGCAACCTACATTTTATAACTTATTTCTTTTTAATTTATTAAAGAATGGGGACAAGCCATATTAAAATAGTGATTAATAAAGTAATGAAAACACGTGGCTGTCTATCTTGAAAAGGTCTCTCTAATCTCTTTGAATAATAACATAGCGTACCAACCACATCACAGTTTCGTTATAACAGCGTGATCCTGTCCAAAGCACTCGTTTTATTTAGGAGGGATGGCTGTCAATATTTAAATTTTTAAACGTCACCCAGACAGACGCGCATTTCGGCCGCACAACCAATTCGTTTGTACAAATTCGTCAGACAAGCTGAAACTTGCCGTTGATTGTCGAACTCGTTTCGAATATTAATTATTACATGTTGCTTGTTATATAAATTCGAACCTTTACTGAAGCAATTCGTGTTCACTTGTTTCATTTACTTTAATGAAATTTAATTTTTCCTTTTTTTTAATTTATAGTTTTTATTGTTTGTTAAAATCACCAACCATCTTAATACTTTTTGGAGATTATAAGTTTTAAAAATTCAGTATCATTTTAATCAGGATGAATATTCCGATGTTTAGGTGCTTAATGAGTTTTTTTTAGACTTTCAGCGACACAAAATACATTCGGTAGGCTTCTTGGCCGAATAGTCGAAAATTATCAATGTTGTGCCGAAGGAAAAGAAGCAAACTTCTATCTTAAATTTAGAAAAATCGTCTTTCTGCTCTATAATCTAGCACACTGAATTGTAATTATTGTGATAATCCAAAAGTATAAGTATAATGGTAAAAGTCGGCGAAGAAGCCGAATATTAGTTACAAGTTTTTTATTACATTCTAATTTGTAGTGACAGTAATTTTTAGGTATCAACAATTTACTTCGCTTTTATGAAACTACGAATGAAATAAAAACACCCAGAATTGGGCAGAAAAGGTTTTTAGCGCGATTGTAGTCACGCAGTAAGTACTAGATTTTAATTCACAATGACGGATTTCGGCGTAAGCTCGCGAGGCCCGGACATAGGGCGACAAATTTTAGGGGTGTCAAAATTTTTAAGATGGTTAAAATTTAAAATCGACTTAGTTTTCTTTTCATCTGTGAGATCGAGCTTTTTTACTTCTTCTTTCTAAATACTTCTTTTTAAATATAGCTTGTATTTATTCTATATTGTTACATAAACAAGATTAACTTATCGTAAATTATATATCGTAAATTCACATGTCTTAACAACTTTGTTAGTTATATGGCTTTTTCCAAAGTTTATTTATTTATTAGACAAACGAACAGTATACATATTTAAAAATTGTGATGTGACGTAACATTTAATTAATAATTTAATTACATAAGTCTGATTGATCACTGCGATCTTCGAAATAAAATGTTCAAGAAATTGAATTCATACTCATATCAATAATATTTTCACTATGCATTTTCCCTGTATACAGAAGATTCGTGAAAGAAGTTTGATCAGACCGCCCTATGATGATACTGACCAACTACCGACAATAACTTTGGTAGGGCAACGTGTTCACTGCTGCACGAATGGGCAGGTCCGTCCGGGTAAGTACCGCGACCTCACAGAAGACCAGCGTAAAGTAGAAGTGTTACACTTCTGTGTTTCGTCTTTCGTGAGTGAGGAAGCCGGGGCATACTTTATTACAAGATGGCAACGTATTTGCAATCCTACGGGTATTGCTAATGTCCATGGGCGGCCGTTATCACGTAACCTCAGGTGAAGCGCCAGCTCGTTTGCCACTTTATCAAATAAAAATAAAACGACGTGGTTAAAAAAATTCTTCAGATCTTCGTGTTTTATTCCTGAGGAAACAAAACTTCGACTGGTAGTGTACATTGAGTTTTACATGAATGCTTGGGGATGAAAAAAGTATCCACACGGTGGGTCCCTAGGATGCTTACCGATGAACAAAAGCAAACCAGGCTGAACATATCTTCTCGAGCTTCTTTGGAACTTTTGCGACAAGATCCTGATCTTTTTTAACACGATTTATAACCATGGACGAAATGTGGATACAGTATTACGGTCCACAAACAAAATTACACTCTATGCCTCGGAAAAGACCATCATCTCCAACCCCTAAGAAATTTATGGTGAGCCTTTCCGCCGGCAAGGTCTCTCTTTTCTGGGTTAGTAAAGGAGTGTTCATAATTAAATATATAGACAGTTGCGCAAAAAATTGCGCAACAATAAATCCACAAGAAACGACGAGGCAAGCTAGCAAAAACTATTTTGTTCCATTAGGATAACATACCGGCTCACAGGTCTGCCGTAGCGATGGCTGTAATCCGAGATCCCTTCTTCAAAATACTTGATCATCCTCTTTCTATCTATTCTCAAGGTTGAATGAGTATCTGATAAGGCAAAAATTCGAAGATACAATAGTTACAAGTGTGCAAGATGAATAGTTTTTAAGAAGGGAATTTATAGAAAAATATATTCCAAGTGTATTACGCTAATAAGCGACGATATCGAAAAATAAAATAACATTTAATAAAAGTTGGCTGCAACATACTCACTTTTTATTGAACGGCCCTAGTAGATATATTATTATAGGCGTCACATTGATTTAGACTTTTTTTTTTTTTTTTTTTTTTTCCGTGGGAAAATCCATTATGGATACCTGAGCTCCCTGTGAGGGATAACCCAGATTGTCGGACTCTCACCGACTAAAACCCCACGTGCGTCGCCAGCTGCTCAAATGAGGGGTCACGGGATCTCCTTTCGGAATACTACCGCGGCCCCTCCTTCGTATGGCTTAGATAGCCCCATTCTCGCAGTGCTAGATATTTAGGACTGTACCTGCATCGGTCTGCTGCCTTCACAGCGACCTTTGTGCCCCTGTTGCAGGTAGGGGAGAACCATTATTATTATTATTTAAAGGGCCATGAAGAGATGCGCGAGCATGTCTGCGGCCCCGCCTCCGGGTGGGATCCATTCTCTCTCTCTCTCTCTCGCTCAGCAGCCTCCTTCTGGACCATTACCTTCTCACAGAAGGTGGCTACGGCCCTCCATGCCGTATCTCCACTCAGCATCACCGACACGACAGCTGGTAGAGAGAGACATTGATTTAGACCTAGGGTCACCAAATCTAAAACCACGACTGTTAATTTTGCTAAAATTACGTATCTATTCCTGGATGGATTATCATTTCAAGTCTCGTGGCAATTATTATTAGTGCTGTTTATTCGAAATTTTTGAGTTTACTGGATAAGTGGAAGGTATTTTTTCTACTTGTATGTATTCTAAAGTCCAGATAATAGGATTACAACAAAATATAAACAAACAGAATGTATTAAATCTTGACCTTATTAATGTCTCCTTTTACAATCGTCGAAATTCTAAAAAATGTTATTTCGTTTCTTTCAATGAAGCCATCATTTAGCTTATCAACTTCGTGGCTTGTAGGGTTGATTATTAGCGGCAAATTGCGGCAGATGATGGAACAAGCGATATATCTGCCGTCGTAATATTTCAGAGGATGATAAAATTTAGTGACAGGCGACGCGTGCGCCCCGCAGGGGTCCTTGGATTTACATCAGAGATGCTGAGATTCACCAAGGGTGAATAATATCAACATATATGTTTCGCAGTTAATGAGTTAATGTCTCATCGGGAGCGATAACCTACAGGAATTTATTTCCTTTATTTTATTACAGCATTTAAGCTTTAATAAGTAACAAATATATGTATTGTTAGGTTTACTTTGTTTTATCAAGCTAAGAAGGTAGAAATATAAATGCTTTTACCAAATGACCGTAGTTTCACTTTGCACAACAATAACACTGTTACAATCACTTATTTTATCATTTTATTGACACTTTATCACTTATTTTATCATTTTATCACTTTTTGTTCACAGCCAAAGAAGAAGAAGAAGACCATGAAATGCTTCTTGCAGCTTCATCACAGAATGACACTTCTTTTAGTGTTGCCAACAACCTCAAGGAATGACTTCCTTTAGTGTTGCCAACAATATAGTAATCGAGTTTATGGGCGATATGTTTTATTCATATTGTCGGTACTTCTCTACTGGTTAGTCATTTTTAGGACACGATTAAATATATGAAGTGAACCGCGTGTTATTGTTAAATAATTAAGGAACTTGGAATATAAGCGTGTTGGTCTCATTTATTATTCTTCATAAGGAAACAAAAGCGAGGGTTAGCCGTAATAAGGCTCCACCACCTCGCCGGCTTATCTTTATTGCCTCCAACCCACGTAGAATAATAAATCGTTTTCATCAAAAACAAATACTCGACAGTTTTTGCCGGAGTCGAGCGAACGGGCGGGAGGGTGGCAATTTCCACCCCCCATAATACAATATTTTCCGACATTTTCCACAGGAATACAGTTTCGAATCGCTCGCAACCGGCAGGTTCCTTTAATGTGTATTTTTCGTCCAATCAGAGAGCGGCGAGAGTCTCGATATTACCTCAACTGTCACACATAAAGTGGAAAATATGGTCGGCAGATGTGGGGATGGCGGGGATGAGGAGGGGTGAGCTCAGTGCGGGGGCAGGGGTGGGGACCTGCTTGGCAGTCGGCGCGCGTACGCGACGCTCCGGCGCGCCGGAAGAAACGCTCCGAACAGGTTTATAGCTTTTCTTTCAGCTCCACTCAGGTACGGGCCGTATCATAACAGGGAATAGCGGAGCGTGATGTGAACTCGCGATAAAATAAATGTCGAGATAGGCTTATGTATTGTACTGTTTATCTTAATAATGGCCGCCGGGAGGAAACTTTGGTTTTTCAACTTGGATTTTTTGTTACGCGCCTCGGTCTTAACTTTAAAAATAGAATAACAAAGGAAAGGGGAAAGTTGCGAGCGTTATCGTGGCGCGGAATGGGTGGCTAGATTAATTAGATTTTAGATTTGTTGTGCAATAGTATCATAGCACCGTAAGGATATAATTCCGTAATGAATGCAGAGAATTAAGCAAAGCGTGATTGATGCCCTCCTCGAAATCGTAGGCGACGTCGAATGAAATTGTACGAGAGGGCCTACGGTGGCTGTTAGAGCGCGGGTCGCGGACGAGACGTCGGCGCTGCCTCGTCGGATATAAATCGCGATTCATTTCTCATCGTAACTTTTTGTCGGTTCTTATCTGTTAGACTTCACTTTTCATCATCCGAGGGGATTTATGTAATGCCTAGTCATTTCTCGGCGTCGGGGCGAGGCTTATCGACGGAGAGCGCGCGCGCTTGATTGATGAGCGCGCAAAAATAAATGTTCAGTTAAATTATTCGATAAGTTGGAAACGGAAGTTAAACGGGAATTATCTTTGTCTTGCCCCCCGAGCGTTTTACGGTTGTAGCCGCTATGTCGGGGCTGATTGATTGATTGAAGCAGGAAGGTTGCCGAGTATTATACCTTTGACATTTCTACTTGTTCGCCACATTACGTACAGTTTTTATAGTGTACAACATGAATAAAAATGGATTTCTGTATAAATAATCGTATTGATAAAATGAATTATCATCTGTGTTTCAATTGTTTAAATTAATAAAAATAATGTTTGGGGCAAAAATTATGCTTGGGGCACAGATTATGTTTGGGGCATAATTTTTATGGAAAACAAACGTGACGAATTCTCTACTTTTATTACAAACGAATTAATTTGGGGAGCTTACTGACGCCTACGTTAAATTAAGCATGAAAGCTAATGCTATAATTGTAAGCAATCATCGCCCCTCCCGATGATTTATGAACGTCGCTATGTCCCAGTAATTCTTTAATGTTGCCTTCATATTTTACTGTCCAATACTTTAGAGTATAACAAGAGATAAAAGACTAACAGTACATAAATGTGACTGTGCTTAAAAATAATTCTTCTCGTTAACCCACGGGTAACAAGCTCAACTTAAGTATATTGTTTATAGTTGTGATATAAACGCGAATATTGTTAGCTTTTCCAACTTTTCTTTCGGCTGCTCAAATATTTAGTTTCTTAACTTAAAATTTACTTTCATTGAAGGCCGGATAATATATTTTAAATTGATAAAATTTATTAATATCATATGTAATTCACTTCAGAGATTACTGTTAACCTACAATCTGATAATTTTAACCTCTTTATATCAGTATATATTAGTTATATTAAATCTCGAATAAGATTCTATTATGTGGATTGATGATATGTGGTTGTAATCTTTTTTGAACAGCTTTCTCTGAATACTGGAAAACGTAGTTAGAGCGTCATTGAGAAGCTCCTAGATATGGATTAGGCCACAGGGGGTCGTTAGTCGCAGAAGACTTGTTTTATGTCAATTTTTGGTACAGACGCATGTTAGCCAGTAATTATCAGCCCATAATCAGGCTATTTTTGAGCTTATTACAATGGAACAATGTTTGAGTTGGTATATGGAAGAAAAATTAAAGAATGGCAACTTTCAATCATCTGCTTCGTCAAGAGTTTGTTATTTGCTGTCACGATCTTATTGATGACTCCTCCAAACAGTCATTAAAAAGGCTTTGACTGGTGACCTTAGCATTTGTTGGTTTTTTATTGCATGAAAATATACTGAGTATTAGCAGACCAAGAAATTAAGTAATTTAAGTCACCTCAACGTATCCCGTTCCAAACAAACGGATAGCTTCCATTTAACGTGCAAAATTGCACTTTAGACGCTTAAATTGCACACGGGACTGAAGCCGGTCCACTTAAAAAGAGCATTGTGGCTAATCTCCAGCGACACACGTACAAACAAAGTTTAATTGTGAGCGGTGCGGGGCACCTCGGGCAAAACCGATTACAGTCTTAGCGGCGCTCACCTTCGATTCCTGCCCCCCTCTCTACCCACACACGTCCACTTCCAATCAATCCCATCACACATATTTATACACGTAGACGGTGGTCGCGTGTGTTTATTGGCGACTGCATCGAACGACGGCCGCAAACATTGCACCCGGCCCCCCACGCTCGGATCGGGGAGGCTTTTTATTTTTTAATTTCGATTTTGATTTTTCCGAGTGAGCCCCGCGCCGCGCCGCTTTTATTTCGTTTCATTTCATAGCGGGGCGGGTGCGCGACAGATCGGAATTCCAGATATGTACAATTTAAAATCGTGTAAGTACGGTCAGCGCAGCGGCGCGGGCGGGGGCGGCCCGCTAGACTGACGCCTGTCGGTTTGTTTCCTTTGCCTTTTTTCACGGGTCCTATTTTCATTTGATTGCATTTGAATTTCCGCCGCCGATATCTCGCTAACTAAACACGATTAATGCGGAGCGGAGATGGACGGGCGGGCGGGCCGGCGCGTCTGGGCCCGTGACGCTTCGCAGGCGTTTTGTCGTTTTTTATTAGAAGCCGGCTAATTTATTGCAAACCGCTCCGCGGGATTTCTCCTGCGATATTGAAGCCGGGTCGATATTACGTTCATTATGCAAATGTTGGTAATCTAGGCGCTGATTCTTTGTTGTTTTATTTTTCAACCGACTTTACAAATTAGGTGCTCATATCAGTTACATGTATTTTATATTTGTTACCCGAGAACTCCGTCATTTATGAACCGATTTTAAAATTTTTGCATTGGGTTCGGCTTAGCCCTCATCTTAAATTAATTTCATTGATATTTGACCTCCAAAGGTTAAAGTGTGTGAGATTTTTGAAGTCGGTTTTGTTATTTGTTACTAAAAATGTTTTAAATTATCATAGTAGCGGTACTGGTAACCCTGTTCATAATAAAATATTATTAATGTAAAAATTAATAATTAAATTATTAATGAAACTTAGAACAATACTAGGATTTATTTCATTGTGTTCAATAATTTTTTGAGGGTCTTGGCTTCCAGTATGCGTTACAAATCACTTCATGTTTTGTGAAGTTGGCAAATTTTCTTAGCAATGACAGTCTTTACGACAAAGTATGCGCTACGGAAGAGGATTTTGCTAAAAGTGGGCGTATTTAATCAAATAAATTTGATAAAGTTTTTTTTTAAATGTGTAGAGAGGTGTCGTAAAATTTTTTGGCACTGCCAGGATTCGAACCTGCCTCTTTCGGATTACGCGTCCAGCCTCTTTAGCGGCTTACCAGCTTAGCGGTTTAAATTCTTATTGCACGAAAATCTCTACGTCTGCTTTGTTTTTATGGCATTTTAGCAATGCTTGGCGTTATGTAAATTGATTTCTTTACAGCAAGCGCAATTTCTCAAATTACATTTTTACAAATAAAACAAGTGTAAATAAAACTATTCCAGGATTCGAACCTGCCCTCCGGTTTAAGCTGCTTATGTGTCTAGTTTAATTGGTAATTTCGAGAGCAATGTACACATGCATATGTATTAGTGTACACAGCACTAATATTAAATCTTACGCTTGAAGACGCACTGGATATATAAAAAGGCTGTAAACCGATTGAGCTCCTGTGAAATGAAAGATAAGTTTAAAAAAATAAAAAAGGGAAATTGGACAGGAGCGCGTCATCATCCACCGCGTCGGCGTACATTAGCACAACAAACAGCGTTGTAATGCGACGACAAGTCGGGGCATCGAATCGATCACGGCGTCCCGTTATTGGCAAACTTCTCCGCGACACGGCCCTTGATTAAAAGTATGCAAATTTTATTACATCCCACTGGTCCGGACTTAGGGGCCCGCGCCGCTCATACATTCGATTGGGGTCAATAGACGTCTATAACGCAATTAGTATCTACGTATCGGTCTTCAGAGTAACACATTGTGATGAAATTTAGTCTTAACATAGGTTTAAAGATTGAAGACAAAAATTTACGTTTTTTTTGTATTAGAACTCAGTGAGAACCTTATGTATAAATAATTCCAGATTACTTCGACAGCGCCAGAAAATATTTACAGAGCCGTAGGCATCTATACCCGTATCAATTTGTGTTTGTAATAAATAATTCGATGCTACGTGTAGGTACTACAGTGGGGTTTTGTTTGTGTCAAATTGTAATTTATTGGTTACTCGGCTTCACTTGGATATTACACCGGGAGCCCCGCCCTGCTCTGCCGTTCCCTCCTTGCCGGGCCAGTTCAATGAAAATTTTATATTGCCCTATTGTCCCTGCTTCATCCGGTTTTTCTTATCCATGACAAGCTTAAGCGATATTTTGATTAAATTACGGCGATCGCCCGAGAATTTTTAAGCTGATCGATAGCTTGACGTGTATTTTCGGGGATGTTTTGTTTTATTTAAGCTTGAGGCCTATATTATGGTTCGGGTATATGATGCTACGTAATCTAACATATTGTTAATCACGTCATTCTCTCCTTTACCGACGCAAATAATCATAGTTACGTCGGTAAAGGAGAGAATCTTTAACGTGGCCAGATTCAGTTGAATTGTTTGAAAATTTCTGTATAAATAATTATTTGTAATGGAAAACAAAAGATCTAGTTAGGATGTTAAACTGGAAATTAACTATATTTAACTTGAATTTAAGTCAGTGTCTGGGGAAAAATCCTAGTACTTGGATAACCGAGATTTGCTCGGTTTTTTTTCTCACAAATGAACGAAAAAAGGGAAAAATAGAAAAAAAAGATCTGGAGTCAAACCGGGGTCTTCTGGTTTCAAAACTGTCCGTTTTCCCACCTCAGCTTAATAGCTATATATTAGGTTATAACTAACCTAGTAGATAGTGGCGAAATTCATCTTCGTATTCTAATGTATTGTAGCAACTGAAACCTGCGGCATATTAAATATCATGAATATCGGTGGAGCCGATTCCGAGATTCAGATTATGTATACAAGAATTGTTCGTTTAAAGGTATTAGATTATGATAATGTTTCGAATTTAACTGTTATAATTTTAAGGGAGAGAACAAAATGAGTTAGCAATTTAGCAACGTTGTTATGTTGTCCACGTAAAGTGAATATTGGCGAAGGGATGACGCTGAACAATAGGCAGGAGCGGTGCTGGCGACCCACGGCATACCAGGCCAGAAGAGTGATTGTAAAAATGCATTCACCCTACCTAATCATTGCAAAATGTTTGCCCAATTTAGTGGGCACTCGTTTAGCACTTCTCTGTTTATTTTTTACAATTTGTAGTTTCTTACCAACTTATCGACCGACTTCAAAATAGAAGGAGGTTCTCAATTCGGTTCTATGTTTTTATATATTTGTTATCTCAGAACTCCGATATTTATGTACCGATTCAAAAATTCTTTTTGGGGTCGTTTTTGGTCCCATGTGGTCTCATATTAATTTCATTGGTATTGGACCTTAGACTCATCCATCAGGGAACTCCTCAAAATCAAAGAGAAAATTTTTAGTGAGAAAAATATTTGAAGTCGGTTTTTTTTGTTACTAAAACTATTTTACTTGTATCTTTTAATAATCCACAAAATTTCCCAATATTTATTTTTGTATGGTTTATAAGCATATAGTTTTTTTTTTATATATTCAGCCTCGTACTGGCCATCGCAGTGTGGGTCGATCCCCACTAGATGAAGTGACGACCTGTGCAAATATGCGAGAAATCGATGGATGCAAGTGGCTCAGGATCGTGATTCATGGCAGTCTGTGGGCAGTCCTATGTTCAGCAGTAGACTCAAACAGGCCGAAATGATGATGATGATAATAATGGATTATAAAGGGTTATATAATTATAACAGTTTTTGAAAAAAATTGAAACAAAGACGTATCGTATCGTGTGTAGAATAACGTTCCGTGGTCACATAGAACGAATTTGATTTTATCGTCGGATAGTGTTAATTACTGTCTACGTTTTCAGATAACATTTTAATTTTTTCTTCTGACTTATAGATATAGAGAGATTCAGAATAGAACAACGTTCTTTCTGATTTGTGCTCCGCAGTACAGGGACATATGTACTTTTTGACACTGTTTTTTTGTACTGACTAGACTAACCTTAGTAATGTAATAGACGAGTGTAATATACTCTATTAGAGTCAATTGATAATTATTGCACAGTGACCCACTTTTTTATGGATATTTCGTTAAAAACAGTGCTATATGCGTTTATGTCATATATATTATCTGAGTTTTTAGTAGTTAGCAACGTTGTAAATGAACGTGTGACCTATTATTTTTTGTAATGTGCCCTTGAACAACGTTATATAAACGTGTATTATGTGATCTTGTGACTCATTAGTTTTTGCCATTTTCCGTAGAAAAACGTCACTATTACACATGAAACCTCTTATTTCCTAAATTTATATAATTATTTATTCCAAAAGTATACTGTTTGTTTAAATACCTAATCATATTACAAACCTCAAAAATTGTAATATCAACTGCTATGTATAAGAAAATTATAACAAAAGTAAAAAAAAGTTAAAAAATATATAATTTGAATCAGCCATCCTTTTTACGGTGGGGCCACGCAGCATCCTCGGCTGTTGCACGAATGGGCAGGCCCGTCCGGGTAAGTACCACGACCTTACAGAAGACCAGCGTAAAGTGGAAGTATGACAAATACTTTCGCGTTTCGTCTGGTGAGTGAGGTAGCCGGAGCCCAATTTTCAAAAGGTTGTCAATGCATCTGTAACCCTCGGGTGTGGAGCTTTTCAGAACGTTTCGTCAGGCAAAAGATTTGTACATGTAATCATACAACTCTTGAATTGAAAATAACTTTTGAAAATTTCGATGTAATTTTAATTTCATAAAATGTGATTTATTGCGTCTGTGATATAATAGCATAATTATGCTACCGATATACTTCTGTATCCAGAGAAGTATCTAGGAATTGGAAATAAGGCACTTCTGGGTTAGTTTTTGGTTATTGGTAGTTAAGGGCTGTTGCTCTGTTGGAAAAACTAAGTGCTATTGTTATCCAATTATTGAGTTATAGTTGTATAAGTCGGTGAAAGCTGTATTTTATAACTTGTCTCCAGTAAACTCTGTT